AGGTAGGCTTCTTGACCATAAGTTCTTATATCTTAAAATCATTGATGATTTTATTAACAGAAGATATAATCACCTGCAAATATTTTGCATTCCGGGTTTAAACTCAGTGTCAGCTAAATGTTATCTTTATGCAAGCTGTTTTTGAAGCTCACATTTGGCTAACTTCAGCCTCATCTTCTGTACTTTTTGCTATTAAATTATTCCACGGTTTTTTCTTTTCAATTTTTTTTCCAGGTGCTCACAATGTTAAAGGTTCTTTAAACAGATTTTTTGAAAATTTTATTTTTTATTTTTGGGTGTAGTTTATTAATATTTTTCTGTTTCCATATCTACCTTTTAATATTTTTTCTTTATCAATTTAATGATTATTCCAAGCAGATGAACGCTATAGGGAAGAAAGAAATACAGCATATGTGTCCAAGTGGCTAAAGAAATCCATCAGACAGTATGAGAACTTTGACAAGTCATTGGAGGAATTAAAATCCTTTTTCAGTGATGTCAAGGTTAGCTGCATGTTCCCACTATTTTTCTTTTCTCTAATACTACTTTTCTTATTGCTTTTAGTTGGATGAACAATACGAAGTATTAACAAATTGGTTAACCTTCATACAGGAAAGGGTAAGCAATAACATGGTTAACGTATCACAGAATTTTGAGAATAAAGATGAAAATATTCATTCTATGGGTAAAAGTGAAGGATTTACAAAAGTGAAAGAAAAGAAATTGAAGAAATTTGATACCTGCGAACAGCCAGAGAATTCTGAGATGAAGCATGATGCCCTGCTGAAATCTCAAGATGCTTTGGAAGTTCAGAAATTTGTGCGAATAAATGAGGATGCAGACCATAGCAAGGAAATTATTGATCTAGAATGTCGTCTTCAGAAAGATTCAAGGTAAATGTTGCACTAGTTTCTCTACATTAAAATTCATGATTGCTCAAGTAGAGTTCATAGCCTAAAATTAACTAGTTAAGGACACGAATAAGTCTGCTTTCAGAGCATAGGAAGTTCCTATTCTAAATGAGTATCCTTACTAAAAACTAAGCAATATTGTGCGAAATCCATTGATAACTTCTAGAGTTATTTTGATTGATTGTGAAGTTTTCTAGAGTCTCTGTTCATTTTTTATCAATCTAGAATGCCTTTTAGGTGTTGGCCTGGATTCTGGTTGTGTGGTAATTGTTTGTAGTTGCTTGATTTGAAAGTTTCCAACCAAGTTTGAGTTTCCCTAACTACTTGATCAGGGCAGCTAGAACCTAGCTATGTTTGTATAGTTTAAGGGCCTCTCTTCACTAGGCAAAGAAAAAAAGCCAAAATTGTTTTATAGCACTAATTCCGCATTCAATTTTCTGGCTGTAGGAAAATTTCCCACTCCATTGTCACTGTCATCTTGATATTTGGTATTTGTCCCCTACATTGATACAGTCATTATAAAGGAAGTTTTAATGGGTTTCTTTCCGAAGGCCTTTGTGTTTTAACAAATCTCAACCCATGAGCTTCATGATCACAAATTATATGGCTCATGTTGAACTCAGCCTGAGCTCTATATGTGTGTTGAGGCTAAAGCTTGGCCTGGATTCTTCTTAGTCAAGTGAATTTGGAAGGTTCAGTTTAATGTCTTCTTAGGGCGAAACATTTCCTATACAATTAACCTTGTCCATTTCTGGGCGGAAACAGAACCATGGAAGTCGTATATTCATGTCTTCTTTGTGGCATCCATAATAGTGAGTTAGATGTGGATAATGATCTAGATGGATTTGATTAAGACAACTTGTATATAGTTGATGCTAGATAATTAGATATGTTATGATATATCTTCCTGCTGACAAAGAAATTATTAAACAGTTTAATCTCTCACATAATAAAAGCCATTTCTTTTCAGGTACCCAAAGCCATCTCTGTTTACGGCATTCTCTGATGCAGATCCTGACATTTCCATTGTCCAGGAAACCCCTAATATGGATGGTATCATTTCCACATACAGTCCAGGGTACTTGAATAAAGATGAGAATTCTGGTTCAACTTCAAGCACAATTGAGGCCTCTTCTGACTTTACAGATCATTTGTCATTTCAGTCAGCATCCTTAACCAATAGTAGCAAAGCTTCTCCAAAAGCCCAGTGTGGCTTTGCAGCTACTCCTGAAAAGAATGTGAATTTGAGCATACAGAGCTCGATGCTAGAAATAGACTCATCTTTGAGTTTGAGTGTAAATTCTCATACCCAAAAAAGGAGAAAGTCCATGTATTCACCACTGGCTAACTTTGTTTATGGACAGTGTGATGCTCCTGATTCCAGAAGTCCTGATTCTACTAGTTCTGTAAGATCAATGGCAACTGTAGACACAAATCGCCAAATTGAATTTAGTGTTGAGAATAATTGTTCAGGACACAAATCCAATGTTCCTCATGTGCTCACAACTAGTAATTTGGTTGCTTCATCCATGTCCGTTGGTTGTGTAATGGACAAAAGACTACAAATTTCTTGCTTACTCTGCAAAACTCCATTGGGCCTTCCTGAGAATCATCTATATCTATCATGCTCAATAACTTCGTCATCGAAATTTCATTTAGAATCTCTTCATAAAGAAGTATTGAAGTCTCACACTGGGAACACATCCACAGGCATGCCTGTTATCATAACTGACATTTCATCAGTTGATCAGCGACTCTGTAACAGAACTTCTGAAGGTGCTCCTCGGCAGGGTATATGGTGTGAAGAAGATGGTTGTGTTTTCAGTACCATCTTCTGCCCCTTCTGCATTAGCCACAGTAATTGCCTTGGAGTACAGGTCATGGCGGCTAACGCATCAAATGTTCATTTACTGAACAAGGTAGGTTCTTTTTAAATTTTACAGGTCACTGGATTGCATGCTGCTACACTACAAAAAGTGTTTTCCCATTGTGCCTGAATCTTGCAGTCTTTTTGATAGAAGTTATTGTTGAGTATCACATTTCAATGTAAATAGGATTTCAACTGTGCTTACATCTTTGCAATCTGTTAGTATTAAAGCGTGGTATATGGTTATTATTAATAGCCGGGATTATTTGGTGTCTTTTTTTCTCCCCTGACTTATTGTTTTGTTGGTTTTCTAATCGAACTGCAGATGCTGTTTTACTTAGATCAGTTGCATATTCAAAATCTTGAAGCATCTAGTGACAAGGCTTCAGAAGAGAAAGTAAGTTTTAAAATGGTCTTACAATATAATGGGTCATGTTAGTATGGTAGATTTGGTAATAATGCTGAAATGAAGAAGTAATAATTTGAATCAACTGAAAAGGGCAAGGGAGATGCAGGACGCATGCAGTCTCCTTTATGCAGTTACATTTTAAATGTCCAAGATCGTCTAATTAGCACTCCTCGTATGTTGGTTTGTAGGATATCTTGCCTGTTGTTGATCCAAGCTTGGATAGAGCTTCTATTCTAAATTCCTTTGATAAATTCTCATACTCCCCAATCGAGCAGAACACGGGAGGCTGGAGGACTACAAAATCAAAGGTCAGCAAATAAGGAACATTTTCCAATCTGATGATTTGATGCATTCTTTCAGGCCAGATGTGATGATTAATTTTTCTAATGGTGGCAGCTTAAACTACCCAAAAGACGCTTACTTCATGAAGCAGAGGGTTAACGACAGAAATTGTCTTCGTATCTGATTTTGTTGCACATATCACCCAGGAGATGCCAATGTAGATGTGCTGCCTCACATGATTTACAGTGTGAATATGAAGCTGAGACAAGGTGTTTGTTTATTACTCAGGCAACATTCAATCAAAAAAAGAAAAAAAGAAAAAAAAAGAGAAAAACTAGTGAGGCAATATAGGTTCTTGTAAATAAACTGTATTTCTTTAAACTATTGTATACTGCATTAACTATATAGTTTTGTTATGACTAAACTGGCAGCAGTTGATTTTGTATTACGCTGCTCGATTTTGCAGTTATGAAAGTGAAACTGCTGACAAGTTTCTGTAGCTGCATATTTCTGTAGTCAAAGAAAGGAGCTAGTTTTCCTCATTTCATAGCAAACTCACTCTTTCCTCTTACAAATTTACAATTACATAAATATGATCCACCAAGTCAATTTGCTTCTTCTCGTAGCTGTAAGGCGAATCTTCGATATTTTTGGTTGAAAAGTATCTGAACTCTTTTGTAATTTTCACCTGACTTCTTTGAAAGTTGATGGTCAATCAAACGCCACAAAAATGAGTCCTGAATTAGAGATCAGCTGGTTTGAACGCTAGGTTTTTTTGTTGTCGTACTTAGTTGATAGCTGGTTAAAAACTTGAGTATTAAAGCAATATGTATGCTTTTCGAAGGTTTAATATTTTATTATTTACCCTCAAATTTTAAAACTCATTTCAATTATAGATGGAGACCTGAAAATTCCTAATATGAAGCATCAATAGACAGCAAGATCAAGTTTTCTGTCCATACATTCTATTCTAACTTGTTCTTGGTGTTATTTGATTCATAGAACTGCATATCAAGGTATCACATAATCAAGGCTCTTAGCATGTAGGTGATTGTCTTGATTATGTTATAGTTTGGTATGACACATTATATGGTATGATAATCATGCAATGTTTTAATTGTTTTAAGTCAAACATAGTAGATATTCTTTCTAACATGTGGTAATTTGATAGTGGATCATCTCTCCGTGAGTTCGTCCAAAAAAAAAAACATTCCATCCATAAGTTCTCTATTCATTTCACTTGTGAAAATCACAATTTGACGCATAAACAAAAATTATGTACACGTATCAAACTATAGAAAAATATGAGTTTTTTTTTTTTCTTGGTCAATAAAATCTGAGTTTTTTTTAAAGAGAAATACAATATGAGTTCTTAGGAGGCAAATGTTTTAAAAAAAAAATAGTGAATTTTTGCCAGTTTTCATCTCGCATCCCCACTCACCACTCTCCTCGTCACTCTGTCACCGTCTTATTACATGGTTGGTCTGTTGGTTCGCTAAGCATTTGTATCTGCTGACTCCGTTTCACTTTCATGGCGTTTCATGGTGCTTTGCATTCGCTGCGATCTCTCAGCAGGGCGCCCAGGTACCCTTTGTCTTACCTTGTTCATTCACCAATTTCATCCTCTCTCTTTTCAACCCTTTACGCTCAATCAAATTCATTGCACGATGAACATCGGATCAAGAACCAATCTACTCTTGACGAAAATTTTGTTCTTGATCAACTCTCTAATCTGCTGCCAATATGCCGTAGTAATAGTTCAACTGCAACCCTATTTGAACCCAGTAATTCGGATAAGCAGATAGAAATTAGGGCCGTTGATGGATTTTTATTGCCCGACGAGAAATTACGTGGGGTTTTTCTTCAGAAATTGAGGGGTACGGCTGCAATTGAGCATGCTTTAGACAATGGTGGTGTGGATTTGAGTGTTGATGTTGTTGCACAAGTAGTGAATAGAGGGGGTTTAGGTGCAGAAGCAATGCTTGTATTTTTTAATTGGGCGATTAGGAAGCCCACCATAGCTAAAAATATCGAAACTTACCATATAATCCTCAAAGCATTAGGCAGAAGAAAGTTCTTTACATATATGATGCAAATTTTGCATCACATGAGGGCCCAAGGTATAAGTCCCAATTTAGAGACCATATCGATTGTAATGGATAGTTTCGTGAGGGCTCAACATGTGTCTAAGGCAATCCAAATGTTCCGAAACTTGGAAGAAATTGGTTTGGAGTGTGATACTGAATCTTTGAATTTGCTTTTGCAATGTCTTTGTCAGAGATCCCATGTTGGTGCTGCAAATTCGTTTCTGAATTCAGTCAAGGGGAAGATACAATTCAATGGTAATACATATAATATTATTATTGGAGGGTGGTCAAGACATGGCAGAGTTAGTGAAATCGAGAGGATTTTGGAAGCAATGGTAGCAGATGGATTTAGTGCTGATAGTTCAACTTTCAGTTTCATTCTTGAGGGTTTAGGGAGAGCTGGTCATATTGATGATGCTGTTGAGATTTTTGATAGCATGAAGGGAAAAGGTTGCATGCCAGACACCAGAGTTTATAATGCTATGATTTCTAACTTTATCTCTGTTAGAAATTTTGACGAATGTGTGAGATACTATAAGGGTATGTCGAGTAATAGCTGCAATCCAAATATTGATACTTATACCAAATTGATTGCTGCTTTCCTTAAAGCCCGAAAAGTAGCTGATGCACTCGCAATGTTTGATGAGATGTTAGGTCGAGGACTTGTTCCCACTACAGGGACAATAACCTTCTTTATTGAACCCTTGTGTAGCTATGGTCCACCCTATGCTGCTATGATGATCTACAAGAAAGCAAGAAAGGTTGGATGCAGAATATCACTGAGTGCTTATAAGCTATTGCTTATGCGACTTTCCAGGTTTGGTAAATGTGGAATGTTGCTAAACATTTGGGAAGATATGCAGGAATGTGGATATGCTTCAGATAAGGAAGTTTATGATTATGTAATTAACGGACTTTGCAACATAGGGCACCTTGAAAATGCTGTACTTGTCATGGAAGAGTCTTTGCAGAAAGGCTTTTGCCCAAGTAGGCTCGTTTATAGCAAACTAAACAACAAACTACTTGCTTCAAATAAAGTAGAGAGGGCTTATAAGCTATTTTTAAAGATTAAACATGCTCGTCGTTATGACAATGCACAGAGATTTTGGCGTTCTAAGGGATGGCATTTCTGAATTGACATCTCAGCAGTGGCACGTAAAGATGTGTTGTGTGCCCTTTGTTTTCCCTCCTACAGCAAGTTATGGACTTACCCACTGGAAGAGTGTTCTCACTGGCAGATCCACCAAGGGGAAAAAGGGGTCTATTGATTCCCTGGTTTAATTTGCGTCCCACAGATTTGAGGTGTCTGCCCCTGTGGTTCTTGCTTTTGTTCCCTAAGAGGCGTTTGACAAAATGCTTGAAAGAGGGAGAATGAATGATAGGCGACTTCACTTAACCCCCATGAGGACTGAGAGCTTCTTCATCTTGCCTCATGAGGAAAATTTCCAGGATCCCTTCTGGCTGTTCTAGTGAGCACGTCTGTGACCCTTTAAATTATTTGTTATATTGCCTGCTTTATACCGTAAGAATGCTCTTACTATGAGCATTCACAAATTTCAATCCAAAATATATTGTTTTGTTATTAAATTAATCCAAGATTTCATTTTCAAGTTTTTCAGTAGCTCACAATGCAAAAGTTTCTATAAACGCAACTTGTTTGATTTTTTTTTCCTTATCCGGTTTATTTATTAATGTTTATTGCAAGCAGATGAACATTATCAGACAGCGGGTGTCAAAGTGGCTAAAGAAAACTCATTAGTGGAGTTAAATTCCTTTTTCAATGATATCAGTATTTGCTGTATGTTCCCACTCGTATTTATTTATTTTTTTCTGATTCTTTTTCCTTGGGCAAACATTGAGTATTAACAGATTGATTAACGTTCTTGCAGGAAGGGTAACCAAGAATATGGTTACTGTATTACAGAGTTTTGACCATAATGAGGAAACTATTCATTCTATGGCTCAAAGTAAAGGATTTAGACGAGTGATATATCAGATATTGAAGTTGAAGTTTGATTGTTGCAGACAGAAAGAGACCTCAAAGTGCCCTGTGTCTTGAGACCTCAAAGTGCCCTGTGTCTTGAGACCTGTGCTCTTGCCTTGCCTCTGACTTTGTCTTTCCCTAATTTTTTTTAGGGTTTTCTTTTACCTCACCGTGTCCTTGAACTTGCCGTTTATTCTCTGCAATGTCATGTTTATTCTCTTGCTGTGTTCATGCATAATCAATGGGTGATAAGAAAGACACTAAGAGTGATGCCATGGCTCTAGATCTTCCAGGGTTGTGAGATCCACTCATGATTACTCTTCGCCTATCACTGACAAGTTGGATGGCGCAAACTTTACCTCTTGGTCCAGAAGTGCTCAATTGACAGTCACTGGTAGTGATACGGTGGGATATATTGATGGAAAAAAGACTGCTCCACGAGCAGATGGTGATGCCTATTCCATGTGGGAGGAAGAAAACCGGTTGGTCCAGTATTGGCTTCAAGTCTGTGAGTGTGCATAATGCCAGGGCAGATGTGTTCGTATTTGTTGAGGAACCTGTTGATTTTGCAGTATGCTTCTCATTTGTGGTTTTGAAAGTGAAATCAGTGACCAGTTACCTGCTTGTGCAATACCAATTCTTCTATAACCTTTTAAGTTGATTAATGTTACATTACAAGTAAGATTCTTATCTTTAGTCATGTCCATTGCTGAAGAATGAGCTATTCATTTGCCACTTTTACCGGAATCAATCAACATAGTTGTTCCTGTTAACCCTCAAATTTTCATAATTTTTTGTTTGAAAGTTAGAGGTTTGAATGATGCGTAATAAAATTCTAGTCATCATTTGTACTTGTTTTGAACATAGCAATTTTTGTTTTATGCTTTTCCACGTAGATGCTCATGCCTTGGGCTTGGTGTGAGAAAACTACAGGAAAAGTTTCCGAGTTTCCTAATAACATACCAGCTTGAGCAGTTGCATTTGCCCCTTCAGGTATTTCGACTAGGAATTTAAGACAGCAATAAGGATTTTGTTTTTCTTTCTATTAGTTAAAGGGTTGGCTCCTTAAAACAAAGGGGCAGTGCCTCCTCAAAGCGAATGGGATTTTGACATTCGTTAAATACCAAAACAAAGAAAGTTAAAAGAATTTCACAAAAATAAAAAGTTAAATGAAGTTGATGAGTGTCAAAATCACGTTGTTATGAGGAGCTCCTACTGAGTTTTAAGAAACCAAGCTTTTTCCATCGTGGAGGTACTAGTGATTGAATATGATAGATGAAAAATTATCATATGTTTCAAAATCATTTCAAAACATGGGACCTATTGAACCCAGAAAAGGGAAAAATATCAATAAAAATCTTACGCCCCAAAGAATATTAGCAAAAATATAACTTTTTTATGTATACATGTAAATGTTTGCTAAGTAACGTGTGTTTCATATGTTTCATCCACAAAAGCCTTCTCTACTATAAAATACTGTCCATTAAACTCAAAATGATACGATTATATTCAAGCACAAAATAGGGAAAATTAACTACATCATCCAACTACTTCAAATCTTCAACACGATGGTAATGCCTTTAGATCAGTAGAACGTCCATATTACCAATCAAAATTTCCAAATCCTGCAGAGAAAAAACAACCATTTAAGAAATAAGAACAATATTTGTTCAAAGATGTCATAAGCATGCTTGTGTATGTAGTATTGTATCTGATTGTAAGTGTGACGCAGGCACGTGATTCCATTGTGTTACAAGAGCAGAACTGCTAGAAGATCTTATCCTTTCTATCAGACAGTGTATCCAAGAAAAGAAATTCAGTACCTAACTCGGGACTTTGAAGGTACATATTTTCCGCCCTCGGTGCAGAGTTGTCAAGGGACATGATGTCCTCTGGTTTTGTCTTTTCATCCCTGGGAGATTCAACTTCTGGCTCTGCTTCTGATTCTCCATTGTTTTGTGCTGGCACAGATTGCTTTCTTTTTGAACGAGCTCTCCTGTTCTGGAACCAGTTGTAGACATTTGTTTCAGATATCTGGCCATGTTGTGTGAGTTCCATGGTTATCTCTTTGATCTTCTGCTTGCATGGAGTTCCAGTGCCTTCCTCGAAAATCCGCTCAAGCATTTGAAGTTGCACAGGTGTTGGGGTCCAGCGCTGCCTTGCAGTTATCTTATGGCCACCAGATGCCATGAATGGATCACAATAAAAATTCCCTAGTCTCATTCCTGAACCAGAAAAATCGATGATTATGGGAAGTGGATGCCCATACCAAATAAAATAATTCATTTCTGCAAAAACAACTTCACAAAGTTGACACAATTTTGAATATTTGTAAACAATAGAGTTTGGCTTTCACTTTCGCTTTAGATGCCATAATTAGAACCACCAATACAGTAGTCCAAATTAGGTGAATACAATCAAATGAAAGAGAAGGACTTAGAATTAGAAGAGTAACAGTAAGCTGTTTTAAAGAACAAATATGTTCAAACTACCACGGAATCCCCTCAAATTTGAAATGAAAAAGCTCATAAACAAAGAAACTGGGCTTGAACATTGATTCTAGGGCAGTTATCTTCTGGTCACTGGATCCCATGAATGGATAGTAATAAGAATTCCCCATCCTCATTCTTGAATCAGAAAGACTGATGATTGAAGGCAATGGAAGTCCAGACCAAATACAATAATTTCTTTGACAAAACCCTTCACAGATTGACATAAGTTTGAATATTTGTAAACATGATAGGTTCACTTTCCCTTATACTTTCATGTCATAAATAGACCCAGTAGTCCAAATTAAGTGCTTTATGTCATAATCAAACAACAGGGCAGGAAACGGTGATTCTTGCGCACAATACTCAAGATTAGAAGAAACAATGGAAATTGCTCTATGAAGTTATGAACCATACGAACCCATATATGCTAAGGACTGGGAAGATGAAGAAGAAGAGAAGAGAGTGGAAGCAAATGGAGCAAATGCGCAGGAACTGCCGGACCATTGGTACATAGAGAACCCAGAAATCAGAGAGAACAAGTACACCCATTTCCACCATTATCACAGAAATGATAACCTCAGATACAAATTGGACAACTTAAAACTACAAAGAAAAAGAATGGAAAACAAAATGGAGTTTGTATAAAGGCATCTAAATAATAGCTTTTCTTTTACTTGATAAAATTTAAAGAACAGAAAACTAAGTACATAATCGTCATATGCTTCACCGAATTCCCAAAAAGAAGAAGAAAATGAAACAGTAAAGCAAAAAGCATAAACCCCAAATTGGCACAGAAAAAATATCATCAAATCTCATGAAATAAAATTACGCCAACAGGAACATTAATGATCGATCAACCATGGCAATAGCAATTAAGAAACAAACTCAATTGTGTTGTACCAACAAAAAGCAAAAAGAAACAAACCCAAGAGAGAGAGAGAGAGAGAGAGAGAGAGAGAGAGAGAGAGACCAGTAAGATCCTGTTGAGCAGTGACGGCCTTGTGCATCTCAACAAGCTGCTCACAAATGGTGGCGTAGACAGCGATCTGTCGCCTCAGCAGCTCCATTTGCTCGTCCGTCATCACCTTCACGTACAACCCTCCATTCCCATTTCCAATCCCATCTTCTGGGTTTTGCAAATGGTGGATTATTTGCTGTTGATTCTGAATCTGCTGCTGCTGCTGCTGCTGCCACTCCATCATTCTTGCTTTCTACTTTGCTTTTTCTTCACCTAGCTTCGGCCTTGGCTTTGGCTTTAGCTAGCTGCTCTAACCATTTTCTGACTTTGTTGCGTCTTTGATTGACTCACTGACTCGCTTTAGAGAGAGAACTGTAGAAGTATAGAAATTGAGAGTAAAGGTGAATGGGGGAGCGAATGTTCTTCTTCTCGAGTCAATGGGTGTCTCAGGAAACCTCCAAAAAGTGAAGTATTGATTGAGGAAGTTAAAGCGTAAACAACGGAATTGGAGTCCCTGTATTTTAGCATGTAATTGCTGCGGACTTTGTAATAATTTCCAGTCCGTTTGCTTTTCGAACCAAATTTAGATGCCAAATCATCTGTTATATGCCACCTCATCAATTTATGTTAAGACCAAGTCCTAGGCCGAAAGTCAAAATTGGGAAATTTTCGCCTAGATCAGCTCCTGTCTTAGTTTAAGATTTAAGAGCTTAGGAATGGCCATGAAATTGCATTCTCATGTTTGGTAACTGCATTATTTGAAATGCAATATCTAACTCATGAGTATGAATGAATGAACTCCCTCCACGGAGAATTTCATACTTTAAACATGTAATGCCCAATTTTTGAAATTCTTATTTAAATGCCGTATATAAATACTCCTTATTTGCCAATTAACACATTTTTTTCACTTTCTTTTTCTCATTCTAAAATCTCTCTCTCTCTCTCTCTCTCTCTCGTGGAGCCCCCAAATTGTTCATGGCCTATTGCTAAGGAAGGTTTGTGCAAAGACAATCAATATCATTAAGGGAATCTGTTTCCTCGTTAGTAGACATTTGATACACAGTTCACGAAATTTTTGGTCTCATCACAAGCCTATGGTTTAGGAAGCTGCTCTTTCTTCCCAATGTAACAAAAGAGAACTGTCATTCGAAGAAAAAGTATTTTCGGGAGAATACATTCGCCACCCTCTTAGAACAAGAACAAGTATTCAAGGTTTGCACAGATGAGGATGATATTTCCAAGTTGTCGTTACTCTATTTAGCAGTCTTCGTACTATTCGGTGCTCAAAAGCATGTTAACATGGATATGAGAAGTATCCTTGGGACAATGTTATATTCAAAGACGCATGAGCCATTGTCGAGGGATCTTTGTGATGAATTACTACGAAATAAAGGACACCCACCTCTAAAAGGTACGACAATGACAAGAAAAATCCGACCATAACATAGCATAACCCATTACCCCAGCCCCCACCAAGTGCACATTAGTTCAAGTCCAGAAGATCCATTGACTTGGTCTTTTTCCTTGCTACATGAACCAGGCTGTGATGAACCATGCCATCTCCACTCCTGTTCAGAACTTGCCAAACACTAAACTCTTCAATCTCGCTCCAAGTGAGTTGTGGTGAGACGAGTACGAAATATTTCGAGGTCGGTGTTGAAAGTTGACAACCATTTCATGGTTGAAACAAATGAGAACATTTGAAGAAAAAGTATTTCCGGGATAATACACTTGGCTATCACCTCAACCGCTACCAAGTGCACATTAATTTACATCCGTTGGAAGATCCGCTGACTTAGTCTTCTTCCTTGTTGCATGCACGAGGTTGTGATAAACCATGTCATCTTTACACCTTTTTCCCATACACCTCACTCACCAATCTCGCTCCAAGTGCGTTATGGTGCGACTAGAGTTTTAAAATCACCAAACATTTCGAAGCCACTATTGAGAAAACTAGCTAGTATTCAAATCTAAAATATTGCATTTTGCTCATTAAGTTCTGCAAGGTTCTCTCTCCAGATGTACAACAGTGACTAGAATCTATCATGCAAGTAACCACTGGATTTTCTATCGCCTACGCTAAGATACCTAGGCAATGTAATTGCATTCCATGTAAGGTACGGAAAATAAGCGTTCACGGAAATAAATCCTGAATGTCAATGATATCAGCAAGGACACCAGCTGCTGTAGTATCATTGCCAGCTCCAGCTCCTTGAATGACCAGCGGTTGGTCATTATAACATCGCGTGTAAATCTCCAACTGCAATCACATATGAAATTAAGAATGGTCAAACGTTAAAGAAATATCCAATATACGCAAATTATTATTAGTTATGAACTCTGAAATGTGCAGTGTACGCCAATTATTTTTAAGTAAATTTGATCATAAATTGAAGGTCCATTTCATAAACGATCAAACCCCCCCTTGTTCACCATTTTGTTATGGACATCCATAATTTTGTCCCCCTCCTTATATCTTCGAAGCAAAAATTGACGAAGAAGTTTCACACAAAAAAATTCTAATACAAGACCTGAGTTATAATTAATGAATTGCATAGTGTAAGGCTTATATTGTATATGGCTTATGACAAGTCCACTTTATAGTTTTCTTTTCATGTATTATGGTAAAAACATTGTATCTCAATTTAACAGTGAAAATTAGATTTGTGAAGAAATTCAGAAGGCGTACCACATTGTCACTTCCTCTCAGTCTTCCTAAAGGAGAATCCTTTGGAAGCTCTTGAATGCCAACTTGACACCTACCAAGAAATGTGATACCAATTTTTTACACTGTTGCATGTGCAGATATGTATACACAAAAACATATATGCTTATGCAAAATTTAATTCATAAAATAGTAAACTGAGAAAATATAGAACTCAGAGTTTATAAAATATTCAAGATGCTAAATTTGAAAGATTGATTATCAAGATCATGATCATAAAGAAGGGAAAAGTACAAATAATGCCTACTTTCCACTTAAAATTACCAAGAAGACAAGAAGTCCAAAAGAATTTTCAGATGAGTTGTATAAACCCTCCTTTTACATTTTCTGTTTCTTACCTTATATTATGTGTAACCTTCTGATAGCTCTCAGATGGAGAACTAGAACAGAAATTTGATTCAATGAAAGATGATGAACTATTGGTTTCTAAGCCATCTCCAAAGATGAATAAACAATTCGGAATACTTTTGTCATTTATTCTTGATAAAGCAAAAGATCCTGCTGCTATAAAGTGCGTCTAAAGAAAAGTTCAATAATAAAATAAAAGAAAGCAAAATATGACAGCGTAAATTCTGTTTATGAAACAATTAAAAAATACGAGAGTTTTTCAGTGAAATTCACAAACTGATATACTAAAAATCTCTATAAAATAATTACATTTTTTTACAACTTCCTTGTATTAAAAAGATACATAATTACCAACTATGTTGCATACATTGCCCTGATCAATTTCATCTATACCCATTTAAGTTTGAAACTCATAAAACAAATTAAAATATTTGCAACACTTACAAATTAAATATTCATACACTGGCTTGCTCAATTTCCTCTATGACCCCCGTTTTTTTTTCTTTTTTTACAAACATTACACACAGATCGAACTGACCCCAAGTCTAGCACTGCCCTGAAAAAAATTGGGTTCACGCTGGAGCCTCTCATTTTTCCGTGGAATACTACTATGGGTTGATTGTAAACTAAGCAAACCCTCCTCAACAAGCCCCTTCATATTTTAACACAACTTACCAACCTAATTTGGAAGTCAAGAATAAGAATATAATCGAATACCAACATACTCATACTGTTGTCACCTGTTTTTGTGTTAACTGATTAATCAAAATGAGCACACACAACCACACCCACGCATGCACTCACACTCAACACGTTTGGGGTAATGAAGTCCAGCAGAACAAGAGGTATGATCACTAGCCTGACCAGAGAAGATATGCAAAACGAAACTTTTTCTAAGTACTACTTTTTTTTACTGATTTAAGCTACTTTTGTCACTCACACATGTTTGATTATTACTCCAAGATTGTATGAGGGTAACCATCACCATTTGTCTTCTAATGCTAGAAAGAAAAATAATCAAGAAATCAAGAGAAATGAGAAATTGAATATCTAAGGAATCCGCCTATCTTTCTCTAACTTGCTTTAGTTCCTAATATTAGATATGAAAGCATTAGTTTTCACTAAGCAGTATTAAAACTAAAGATGGTTCAGGTCTTTTTGTAACCTCATTTTTAAAATCTCCAATATAGTGACGATGAAGATGATAATCAGTGAAAAGGTAAATGGTAAAAGTATCTAACTTCTGCATTGACAGTCCATATAGAACTTCTACATACTCAAAGAAATAATGCCAACAACATTTATCACGCTTTGGGGTAACTGAAGAAAAATAAATTCAATTTAAAATAGATAATATAAGAAGACATCTGAAAAAATAAATAAAATAATTGACATTTAAAAATAAAGAAACACAGACAACAGATAAAAGAAAGACTAATAAAAGAAAAGGAAATATCAAGTGGCATTCAGTGTAAACGCAGCAGATAGATGGCAATGACCATCATGCACCATAACTTTCCAAAGCCAAGGTATAACACATCAGATCCTTCCTAAATTTATTCTCGGCACCAACATTTACCTACAGGAAATATTCAGAGAATTTTGCACATATGCAACTTTAAAACTGCGTCCTCGAATCAAGGATCTCAGCCAAGACACTCACCCTTGGGAAGAATTGTGAGCATTAACTACTTAAGCATGTTAGAAAAGCTGGTTTACCTGACTCTAACCCACTAAACACAACGATCAGTCAGTAAAACTCCAAGGGCAAAATATATTGGAATATCAAGAACCGGCACGATGATACTTACTAGAATATTCAAGTATCTTTATAGGGGCCCGAGTAGTATGTTAGTTATTCCAATTTGTAGTTATCCTAGAATTCAGGCACATATTGATTGCACACTGGGCTCATGCCATCAAATATTTTGAGATGCAGAGAAGTAGAAAAGAACATGTTACTCAATCAAAAGCAAAACCCTAGATGTAGCACGTTCTTGTTATCTCCTGAAAGAACTGGGGTTGATTGTATATGAAGATATTGAGTATACACTAATAATGTGCATTACTAGAAAGAAACTTCATCAGGCAAAAACTATGCAGATTGTGTTATCATGGAGGTTTTGGTTGATCGGGGGCTCTGGACAACTTTATACTTGCTCTAATGAAAACGTTCAACTTAATACAAAGGGAAAAAGATAACAGAACAAGATTGCAATCAACTTGGAAAGACACGTATAACTATATTCAGCCATTGGAGGTAGACTGGTAGTGAATTAGTTGATAGATTTCTCAAGTAGATTTTAGTAGCCCGTTACCATATAGATTTATATTTCTATGTGATCTAAAGAAATACAAAATAGATGCTCAATTAGCAAATCCAATCTATCGCTTCAACCTTCACTTACATATTCCTACTTTATCCAAACTAACCATTAAGTGAATCCTTGTGCATAATAAACTTAAACAGAAACGTCAGACTTTCAATGATGAAAACATTCAGTTAAGAAGAATACCTTGATTTCAGATCCTAGATTTATGGAAAAGTGAATACTTATATCATAAGTAATAATTGAATTTGCACATATGAATACATGCACATTGACAAACATCATAAAAACATAATGCAAACACATGCATACATGCTTGAGAGGGTGCTTGGTTTAGCATATCGAATTTTGAAAAGAAATATAGAAAGAGTACCTTGAGGCGTCAATCACGCAGACATAACGTAGCACATTCCCATTCAAAGAAGCCTTAGAGACTCTCTCTTGGATATCTTTATCGAGCGATAATATCCCAGTTCCCAGAAAGTCTTCAATAGACATTACACTAGGTGCCATTTCTTCAGGATACAAACTCTCAATCTAAACAACAAAATAGCCATAAAAATAAAAATTAAAAAAACTTAATCTTAGAAAGGTTGTAGTTAAGCAAGTATATGGTCAATATGTATGTATCAACGACTGTGATAAATCATATATATCTACAAATTTAAACATTTCATAAATGGCATATAGTACCAACCTTAATGTCATCCAAATTAATGCACCGACCAAGAAGCCTTGCAAGTATCAAAGCCTGTTTAAAATTATATTAGAAATATATGAGGTATTGCATGAACTTCAATATTAAATTAATTACACTCTCCTCGGATGAAATATTTTAAGTAAACAACATATTTTAACACTATCTGATGGTTCAAGTTTTCTTTTATGTTTTGGTATAGTTGTTTAAGTTTACATTACAATAGAATTAAATGCTTAACGAATTTAAACACAAAAGAGCAAACCATATCCAGACCTTTCTTGCGACATCCATCCCACTAAGGTCATCACGTGGATCTGAAATTACAAAATAAAGTCAAAAGTAACGACACTGACAGACACTCATGAAGTTCAAGGCCTAACTTCTTGGTGCTACTTATAACCGATGGAAGAAAAAATTAAAATAAAATAAAATAACTAATATAAGCTTAATAATCAAGATGTGTTTTATTTCAAAACTGAAATTATGCAAAACCTGGTTCAGTGTAACCCAGGTTTTTAGCAGATTGAACAACTTGGCTTAGTGGCTTTCCATCTTCAACCTCGCTCATTACATAACCCAATGTCCCTATTACACATAGATAAGAAGAAATATATATCACTACCAAACTTGGGAACATGCAGGTGGATTGCAGTGAAAATGCTAGAAAGCCACAGGAAAACATAAACAAACACCACTAGTGATTGGATGCCTTAAAAATTCTGATACCGCTCAAACTCCCAATAATGCGGTGGACAGGATCTCCAGAAGAAAGTATGCGATTTAAGGATGCTATGACAGGAAGGCCAGCACCAACCTACCAAAACAAAAATCATTCAGTGGAAATTGCAGAAACTATTTAAAGAATGTATGTAATGGGCTAGCACAAATTATGGATGAAAGATTGAAAGCAAGTAACAGTAGATTCAACCAACAACACTATAATACCAATTATTTAGAATTCTATTCCACTTGAGCATGGCATATGAATTACATATATATCTATAATCCTGGACATATGCGCAATTATTGAGGATGCAAGGATGATAACAAGAATGAAAATAAAAATGATGAGAGAGGAAAAAAAATATGGGGCTTAAGATAGTTTGCAATTACAACATCCCACTCCTTATAAACTCCTTTTCAGTTTGGTACCTGTAGTCTGAATCTAGCTCTAATTTGTGTAATCTGGTGTTCTTTTGGGCTACAGAACTGATCTAAGCACCTTGAGTTTTCCTCATGTTAATTAAACACACACACAGAGGCAGGCACACACACATTCCTCTCAAGTCTCAACTATTAAACAAAGCTGAACAAAAAAAATTATTTTATGTTGTTCTTTTTCTGAGAATTCAAAATTGACTCAATTCAGTGCAATGATCTCCAAGAGAGTAATTATGGTTATGTCATGAGTAAAACAAAAATTCTGAGGTTGAATTCTTCCAAACAGGAGTAACACCAAATACTAGGTTCGGGGATTAAGTTTCAACAACAAAAAGCCATATATAAACATTACACTATAAGCATTTCATCTTTATACACAATACTTTCCACATCTTGATAAACATTACACTATAAGCATATCAATAACTACATCAAGAAGAAATGAACTCACAGTTGACTCGTGGCGAATACGCCTTGGGTATGAAATTAATTTGTCATAATCCTCCTGTAGGTGAGAAATACTTAATGCGTCACTGGGGCAGTGGGGAAAACAAGCAACTAGAAATTAATGGTATGCAAGTAAAATGAATGACAAAACAGCAGAAGGAAGTCCTTTTACCTCACACAATAGTTAGAATGAACCTTTCTATAGATTTCTTTTAAGGTAAAGCTGGTAAGTAATTGCTGCAAACTATAGAACATTAAAATTCCTGAAAAAGTTTACTACCATTGTCGAAGTCAGAGGTTTCTTATTTGCCATGACAATGCAACAATCCAAATCAACTGCTTGGGTTAGCACGGGAATAGTCTCAGAACTGGCAGAGCAATCTACAAGAGCCAAGCCTTTGCAAAGGAAATAATAAAGAAAAAGGTCAAACAACTGAGACTAAAGGCATGATCATGCAGTTTTAGGAAAGTGCTAGTAACAATCTGCTGAAAAAAATAAATAAAATGTGAAAGCTCATGCGCGCCGCTAACCTGTCGATTTGCCCAAGAAAGCAGCAACATCTATAATCTTTTTGGTTGATTCTGAATTTGTGAATACCTTGGATTCACCTTTGTAAAACAGAAAATAAGCATAAGAAGCACAATTCTAAAGAAATAAAATGCTATCATTCATCTGAAAGCCTTACCACAACCACTAATTGTGGACAAAGAAGCACCATCCGACTTGACCCGGCAAACTTCCATTAAAAATGTATCACCCAACTCCATAGTAAATGCATCCGATGCAACAACTAAGGATTTACTATCAGATACTCCCACAACTCTCAAGTGAATTCCCTGTGACCCAAATGAAGATTATCCAAATCAATAAGACACCAACTTCACACAAACTATGAGAACATAAAACCAATTGAAATAGCGAAAGCCCAAGAACAAAAGCAATTCAAAGAATGAGTGGGAGGAAATGGATGTACCTGTTTAGCGTGGAGAGATCGACAGGAGACAATGTGTTGAAGGAGCTGACGCCCAACGCCTCCAACACCCATCAGAATCAGAGAGATATTCTTTTTCATTGTTCCTTTGTCTGGATTTTGCTTGCTAAACTCTCAAACTCTGCTGCCGTTCGGGGTTCTGGCGTTTGATTGTACTTCGGGTTTTTGGTTATTCTAACGGTACCTATACCGTTCATTTTTTTTTTTTTTTTTTTTTTTTTTTTTTTTTTTTTTTTTATAATAAGTAAATAAGTAATATTTTTTACTTTTTTTATTTTTTATATTTTTATATTTGTATTTAATTATTTCAATTTTGTTTTACCCCTTCAAGGAATTGTGTAAACGTATGAAATTCGAAAATTTCCGACACGAATTTTTTTTTTTTTTTTTTTTTTTACTACATTCCTTTTTTTATTTTTTTTTTTATTTTTATGTTTCCTGGATTTCGTAAATTACAGTAAGGGTATCCAAGAGTGTATGTACAATTTAATATTTTATGTTTAATTTTGTTTTTTAGAGAAATACTTTTTAGGGACAGCAAATATTTCAATTCAAGGGTGTACCTGTGCATAACTCAAGTTATTTTATTATTTAAAATTCAACCATTATCAAATTAGGCTTCTTTTTTTATGAAAATAAAGTTGAACTTTTTTTTTCAAGCCGAATTTAAAGTTGGACTTGCCAACGGAGTAAAGGCTATTTTTTTTTTTTTTTTTTTTTTTTTTTTTTTTTTCAATTAAATTTTTTTTTTTTTTTTTTTTTTTTTCCAAAACAACCAAAAACAAAAAACTTTTTTTCGTTCTCACTACATTTCATGCCTACATTGCCCGTAACAAGTCTGTTAACCTATGACATCGCAATAAATATGACACATGGACTCATTTGTATTGTGACCGAGTCTGACAAATAAATAATTAATTAATTTAAAAGTTATATAATAGGCTTAATTGTAGCAATAGTCCCTCAACTATATCATATTTGCATTTTCATCATTGATCTCCAAAAATGGTTACATCCATCTTCTAATCTAATCACGTATTTGCATGACATTTTTGTGCAGTTCGATGGAAGAATTGTATGAATCAAACTTATGCACAACTGACAAAATTAAAGGTAGAAACCTATTAGAAATTAGTCATAATGTATATGTCTTATTGAAGACATGAGGTCAGTAAGTCGCTTTTTAGTTAGTAAATTTTGATGTATTTTTTTTATGAATGAAAATTATTTTATTTGCAGTATATATCTACAATATTTGAATCATCATTGTCTCTTGTGCCTGAGAGATAAGTTGATCATGAGAAACATAGATGTCTAGAACTTGTCCAAAAAGAATAAGTTCAAAAGAGAATTTGAATTTAAATCAATAAACCATGCCTCACCCTAATTGAGAGCTGGTGCATACAATATAATCGACTGAGTGAACGAACAATATTTGGACACTGGATTGAGCAAGTTGTATTTATGGGGTTTTGTGATGTTTTATTTTATTATACAAAGATAACAACTTTTGTGGTTTCTCCTCAATATATGTTTTGAACTTCAACTTCGACTTTCATAACATTACCAACCTGAGGTATTTGCATTTAGTTGATTTCATTTTAATAGTTTATTGTTTGTAATTTGGCCAAAAAAAATTCTTTGTTATATTTATTTAGTTTCTTTATTTAGTGTGGGTTACCTAATGAGCTCACGGATGCATTACTCAACATGTTATGCTTAGGTTGATATGTTGTAATAGATTATAGATCTTGTATTTTTGAATTTAGAAAGAATATATTGCAATTGGAAGATGTCAATGGTGTGAAGCTTATTAGGAGGTTTTTGCCATATAAGGCATTTGTTTGTTGACCATGATCTTGGCAGAACTTTAACATTATAGCATCTTTAAATCATACACATTGCAAACAACCAATAAAGTTAATGTTTTGTCATATAGGACATGGTTTTGGAAATTTATTAAGCAAAATCACGCATTGCTTGAGTGGAGAAAGGTTCCTTAAAGTGGATAGTGATGATGGGTTGATAAGTGATGCCATTTTTAGAAGGAAAAAAAAACATTACATACTAGTGATGATACAAGTTTGAAATCATGGTTTTGGAAATTTATTAAGCGAAAGGAGTTTCCAAATTTATTCAAATTGAAAGGGGATTTAGGACAAATGAGTGATTTGGACGATGGAAGAAGCTTTTGGGCAATCGCATATGAGAAGTTTGATTTCATATTTAAAGATTGGTTATATAGGGTAGTATTTGTGAATGGGGGTAGATTGAAGATTATCAATGTTGGGGTAGTTCACTTTCATGGGGTGGTGTCAAACTAACTAAAGTTAAATAATCTGATAGGATTTGGAAGCTAAACCAGCAAGGCCTTGTCGAAGCCAACACCGGCCGAAACACCAGGGCAGGGAAAGGTCGACGCCAGAATCATATTGGAGGAAAAGAGGGCTTGGCGAGAGCGCAACCAGTGCTTGGTAGAAAATGTACATAAGGAGAGAACCACAGTCTGCGTGAGCGAAGTCAAGGAGGAGGTCGGCGACATCATCTCCATCTCGGGCCAGTTGTTCATCAGCTCACCTTTTTTGGGCTTTCTGAGCGGGTGCCATATGAGGCGACACGCCTACTAGACCTAGCTACGAGCCACTAGCCGACCCACTGGATTGGCCTTCTTGGCAAGCTTCATCAGCGAAGCTTGCATACCAGGATCACTCTGACTGGCCCTCCTTGCTGCAAAATCACGGCAAAGTTAAAACATTGGGATCAACTACATTAGTAGAACTCATCATACAACTGACACGACTCACTTGCTTAGCATATCAAACTTTCATTGGCAAGCAGTACGTCCGTTGCTCTCTCAGTACTAGTTAGGGCAAGCACCTAGTCGACTTCCTCCTACTCGGCTACTGAGAGCTCCACTCGCTCCAATTCAACTACAAAAGTAGCAAAAGGCTTCAGGCTCAATGAAAAACATTGTGAAAAAAAAACAACAACAACACAACCCTCCACACGTAAGATAACTGAACAGGTAAATGAGGGAAAACATATCTAAAGACCCTACACAACAACCGGACCTGGCATCCTAAATCGCCTCTATATCCTAGGTAGTGTCAGCTCCGCTCATTCAGCGAATTCCTACTCACCTGATATGTAGAACCAGTGCGGCTTCCATGTCTTCTGGGATGAAGGGTTACTTTCAATCATCTTCCCAACATCACTTTGAAGGTAGCATAAGCCGACCTAGTATGGGCTTTTCTCAGCGAAAAAAAGTGCAACATTTGGTTCATGGTCAGCTATGAGTCATGCACCCGCCCTCTACAATGCATGGACACTCACCATGGTTCTATATACATTTGGATTCATTTGGTAAGGGGCTACATCAAGTCGACTAATCCATCCTTGAAGAAAGAGAGTTAGAGGCAACTGAACTCCGTACTTGAACATGTCCGCACATAAGATTACCCACCCTATGGGGGCCTGCTCGGCTTCTCATTACTCAATAGCACCCTAAACCTAATACTGCTCAGAATGGCATATTCCTCCCTCAAACGCTTTAGCTTTTGCTGCGTCATTGCTCTCTAGCTTCATCAGTTGAATACTCTCCCTCTCCCCCAGCCAACTCTGTACCTAAGTTCAATTCTCCTACCCCACCCCACCCCACCTGACCTTGCCACTATGACTGTGACCTCATCTATGGCTTCAAATCTCCCACCCTTTCAACCCAATCAACATTGGCCACATCCTCACCTCCCACATCTCTTCCTGCCCATTGGTACTCAAATCTCTCACCCCTTCCTAGCCCATTTGATATACTGCATTATACATCTCATTCACCATGTAACATCCCACATCGACCAATGGAGAGGGAGTGATGTGTATTATATGTACATGCCTGTCTCCATCTAACACCAGGCCTTTTGGGAGTTCACTGGTTTCGGAGTCATAGGAACTTCGAAGTTAAGCGAGTTGGAGCCAGAGCAATCCTAAGATGGGTGACCCATTGGGAAATTGCTCGTGAGCTCCCAAAAACAAAATCGTAAGGGCAGAGAGAGGGGCCCGAAGCGGACAATATCGTGCTACGGGGGAGCCGATCCTGGGATGTGACAATTTGGTATCAGAGCCACTCTGTCGTGTGGTGCGAGTGTGCCGACGAGGACTTAGGGCCCTTAAGGGGGGTGGATTGTAACATCTCACATCTACCAACGGAGAAGGGGTGATGTGTCTTATATGTACATGCATGCCTCCATCTAGCACGAGATCTTTTGGGAGCTCACTGGCTTCGGAGTCATAGGAACTTCGAAGTTAAGCGAGTTGGGCCCAGAGTAATCCTAGGATGGGTGACCTACTGGGAAATTGCTCGTGAGCTCCCAAAAACAAAAATGTTAGGGTAGAGAGGGGGGCCCGAAGCGGACAATATCGTGCTACGGCGGAGCCGATCCCTGGATGTGACACACCACATCTAAATCATCTGCATCATCTCTAAAGGCCAATCCATTGCTCGTCGTATCTCGCGAGTAAGACATATTTGACCGACTCGACATGCCTAGACTAACCAATACTCTTTAAACACAATCAAAGAGGGAAGAGGCAGGATTTAAGGATCAAAATGCACACCACGCAATGAAACAAGATAAACAAAACCCAAATTAAGATAACCAAACTAGAAATCGATTGATTTTTTGGAAACAAAAGCTTCTGAAAATGAAAACAAAGACAGATGACCTTACCCAGAATGACACCGCTACAAACACCATGACGCATGTTCACCTATGCAACGACGACACACCAAGAAATCATTCGGCGCAACTCTATCGACCAAAGAATGACAAAAAGGTTCAAAACGGGAAGAATGACAAAAAGGGCAAAACAAAGGACTTCATTCCCATTTATATGATCCTCAGCATCCATGCATAAGCTACCCACGCTTGGCTGGCCACACGTGGCAACATGACATTGCCCTTCACTCAAAGCGACAGAGCCTGTACTGATGCGACCTCCCGCGTGTCGCTGATGTCGGGCGCATTTAACACACTACTTGCTCAACCAACTAATCACTGCCACGTCATACCTACTCAACTACCACAAAATTCAAAACCTAGCGCCACAAATCTCTTCCAAACGAGCCCTCCTCGGTTGGGACTTAGGGGGCTACCCTACCGACCCCTTAAGTATGGTCAACTTTATCTAAAAAGGCTCGACTCTTCTCAAAAATGAAATCCGAACAACTCTCCACCCAAGATCAGCTCATTGAGTTAAGAGTTGGGGGGCTACTGTTAATAGGTCTTATAGCCGAGCCTATCATAAAGCATCATGTGGCCAAGAGAGGCTAGGTCATTCGTATACTGACTCGACCCGACTAGGTTGGTCATCCTAGGTACTGCTGATGGGCCTTTTAGCTGAGTTTATTAAGAGGCGTAGCTTGGCCCAGAGTTCGGGTGCTCATGTACCGACCCTACCAAACTGATTGCCCCGGGTCCATTATAATGTTATGCGACTAAAAAAGCAGAAGCGCTAGTACAACATGATCCATGTCAGGCCATGTCACTTCACACACCTAATACCAACATGGTGATTGAAAAGGGATCATTTAATGCGCATCACATCCAAGCCAGGTGTTTTCTTACTACGTGATCCCCGATAATCAGTATAGTGACTGATGCCCATAACCACTCTCCAGTCCACCATTGGGAAAGGCTGAATATCTCATTTCTGGCTAGATTTAAGGAGATATGATCTCTCATTCTCCCTCTATAAATACTCTTCACCTGCATTGAGACAAAGTAAATAACTATTCTCACCCAGAAACTCTACATCCATTCTCCATTTCAAACTAGCCATTAATTTAATCATCGGAGAGGATTAGACTGGTATCACACCAGCCTCCCCTCTTCTGATGGTTTAGCTACTCGAAGTGTGCATGTCATTCGAGATAACGATTCAACCAGATAACACAGGGCAGGTCTGGCCAGGCCCGCCGAGTTAGGACCCCTGTTTAACTAAACCAGTTTTCCCATCAACACATGTAATTGAAACTACCCCAAAATTTTCCACCTATAAGAAAACAACAAGAATAATCCCAAATCCTCAACTGAACAATCTTCAACATCTGAACAATCCAACAACAATCTCATAGGGGTGCCAAACCTCTTAAACAAATTAAAAGTCACCATAAACATAAGCTTATCATTGCATAGTCTATTTATTTACAAAACTTAATAAGAAGTTTAAAACATAAAGGAATGAAATCCTATGATAGCAAGGGTAAATTCAAAATGAGTGGAAGTGAATGTCTTGACATAGTTCAAGTTGACCTCAAGATCTATTATTTGGGCAAAACTAAAAACTAAAGAGCCTTGAGAAAAATGAGTTAAACTTAGTGAGTGGAGCAAAAAGAAATTTTGGAAAACCTTTTGTTGGAAACCGTTTCTCTTTAAAATGCTTTCCAACAACGGTCGAGTTTAAGATCCAAACGAAAATCTTTTAAAAACAAAAGTAAGAACGACTAGCAAAGTCACAAAATATAGCTAAATCAATAATTTACTTTTTAAGGTAAACATGCTTGAACGAATAAACTAAATATAGGCACCGAATCCTAAAATCATGTCATCAATCATCATAGCTAAACCATAGAATCAATATGAGTCCAATATAACTATCAATCTTTAAACTGAGAAACATGCTTAAAAACCACACCACACCACACTTGTCCCCGGGGGAAATGTTGGTCGCACACTTGTGTGAAACCCATTCTCACAAGTAGAGTAGGGGATAAACTTGTCGTACACTTGTGCGGGACACAAGTACATCAATAACATGTCCTACGTGCACACAAACTCTAACACCTTGGCACATGGGTCAAGGTGTCAGAGTTTGCATGCACGTACAAGGGCGGAACCAGGAATTTTTCGACCGGTGGGCTAGCTAAATTTTTTAACTAAAATAAAACTATGCATTAAATCATATAAACCATGCGAATAGTATACATTAAATCAAATAAAAGTATAAACCAAGCAAAGTATGTATTAAATAATATGTTCAACAACATAATTAAAAGTGTACTTATTGAAGTTGTGCCCTGCGATCCTTGAGAGAATTGAAATCTTTTGTTATTACATCTGAATTGATATTGTCAACAAGTTCTTTTTCAATGTAGACAACCATAGAATCTGCTAGAAACTCATTCTCCATCTTGTTGCGAAGAGCTGTTTTAACAAGTTTCATAGCTGAAAAAGCTCGTTCAGTAGTTGCCGTAGAAACAGGGAGAGTTAGCACAAGACGGATCAACCTATCAATCAAATGATATCTTTTTGACCTTTTTGTTTCAACTAATCCCCGACATAATTCAGAGAGTGTAGACACTTTTTGAAGTACAGGATGATGAGGTACGTCCGCCTCATAAAGTTTCAGCTGGCATCCCAAAATATGTAACTCTTTTGGAGTGAAATCCTGAGGATAAAATCTCTCTGCAAGGCTGCAAATTTTATCAATATTAAATGATTTAAAAGAATCACTAGGGTCCAAAGCTGAACTAAGATACTTCATCATATCAGACTAGGATACTTTATTCAATGGGAAACTAGAATACTTTATTGAATAGGAAATAGACCACACAACTTAAAATAATAATAAACTAATAAAAAGACAACAGCAGCCAGCCACCAATGGTCCAATGCATTGGCCACGTAACGCTGGCCCTCATAAATTAAGCACAACCACATCTAATTTTTTTTTAATTTTAAAAAAAGGTCCTTGGGCTAGAGCCCACTCTAGCCCATATGCTAGTTCTGCCCCTGTGCACGTAGGACATGTTACTGCTCAGCTCGAGGTTTGAAAACATTTTGCTTAAATCTCAACATAGATATAAACATATATAATCTTCCAAACAGAGAATTCTTAACAAGCAAGAAATGGTCATCAAATTTTATTAAAAATTAATAATAAGAAATGAAATATCATCAAAACATCTATGGCATGCATTACGAGTGAAGACTTGTACAGAGCTCATTTAGATGAATTTCTTTTATGTTGCTTTTCATTCAACGAAGTTTCATATGTAACCTTATTAAGAACTTTTTTAGTGTGAAGGCTACATTGCGACGTAGTATTCTAATTTACGTGTTATAATATGAGCGAATAACATACTATAATACACGCATTATAACATGAGATGATTAATAACAACATGTGACTAAGTAACCGTCACATAAAAAAAAATAATGAGAAAAATAACGGTACGACCCCAACGCCTTAACCAATGTAACTTGTTATAACAAACAATAACAGGCCAAAAAAAGTTATTAACAGTAGAAACTTAAAAACAGAAAAGAAAAAAAAAGGAATAGAAATTAGAAGTCATATTCGAACGGGGGGGTGGTGGCGAAGAAGAGGTTCGAACACTAACATAGAGGGGAGAGAGTTAGACGGAGAGGGGGGGGAGAGTGAAACAGAGACTGACGGAGCGATAGGGAGGAAGACAGATAGTGAGGGAGAGAGAGGGAGACGGAGAGAAAGAAGGAGGAGGCTCACAGATTGTAGGTCGACTTGAAGTGCAAGAAATTGTTTGCTGGTGAAGAAGAATTTCTTTGCTGTGCTGGGCTGTGCTCTATTGGGGTGCCAATTCAAAGTTGAAGGCCTCTAATTTAAATGGGGGTGTTTCTCTGAAATGGTTGTCGACAAAATGATGGAGGAATTGAAAGTGGTGTCAAATGCTTCACGGGGCTGAAAAGGAGCTGCAAAGGGGCTGAATGAAGTGTAAGTGGTGACAGACACTTTTTGTTCTTTTTATCCTCAGTGATTGGTTTTGATTCCTTTCGATTAGTTGCTGTTAATATTTGGGGAAATTAGGGCTTAATTTTGATATTTTGGATTGCAGTTTGATTAATTAGAATTCCAAAACGCCAAAAACGTTAAGGGTTTCTTCTCCTTCATCTTTTTCATGTCAATTTTGCTTTCTGGGCGACACTATCGTGGATATTTCCATTCAATATTAGGATTTCTTCGATATTCACCGATTTTGGCCAAAACCCACAATATAGGGCAAATAACAGACTTCAACCCTCCTATCCATATTGACAGCCCGAAATTCTGATATATTCACAGCTGCTTTGGCGATTTTGGTTTTGCAAAATTTACATTATTTAGACTACAATTCATGGAAAAAGTTACATTCTGTTATTAAAGTTACCCAGATATAATATGAGTATATTTATTTTTTCTTATGGCTCAACTATGAACTAGCTTCTGTGGTTGGGATTGTTTGCAGATTGATACATTTTCTCAGTGTTATGGTGCACTGCTATTCGATTAGCCCAAAAGAAAAGTATTCTATTCTTTAGCATCACACAGTGGGTCTAGTATGGATGTTGAAGTTATTGATGTGGAAGGAATGGGGCATCGTGGAATTGCAGATGATGGTGATGCCGAAAGGAGTGAAGGTGGAGAAGTGAATAATGCTGAAAATTCCGAGGCTCACGATGAGGATGGGATTTCTGAGCCATACGTGGGTATGGAATTTAATTCTGAAGAGGCTGCCAAGACTTTCTATGATGAATACGCTAGACGCTTGGGTTTTAGCTCTAAAGTTGGTCAATCTAGTCGTTCTAAACCTGATGGGACAACCATTGCTCGGGAGTTTGTATGTGGCAGAGAGGGTTTGAAAAGAAGGCATGCTGATAGTTGTGATGCAATGCTTAGGATAGAGTTAAAGGGTCAAGACAAGTGGGTTTCAACTAAATTTGTGAAGGAGCATAGTCATGCCTTGGTGAGTCCTGGTAAGGTGCATTACCTTCGGCCTCGCCGGCATTTTGCTGGTGCTGCAAAGAACGTGGCTGAAACTTATCAAGGAGTAGGGATTGTTCCCAGTGGTGTTATGTATGTTTCCGTGGATGGAAACCGTACCCCTGTAGAGAAAAACCGTGTAGTTAGGAATACTTTATCAGCAGAATCAAATCGGCCAGTCAAGAATGCTGTAACAATGAATCAACTTAGGCCTTGTAGTCGAAGGAGGACACTAGGGAAGGATGCTCAGAATTTGCTGGAGTATTTCAAGAAAATGCAGGCTGAGAACCCTGGTTTCTTTTATGCAATACAACTTGATGAAGATAATCACATGGCAAACGTTTTCTGGGCAGATGCGAGGTCAAGAGCAGCTTACTGTCATTTTGGTGATGCAGTTACGCTGGATACCACGTACCGAGTAAATCAGTATAGAGTGCCATTTGCTCCATTTACAGGAGTTAACCATCATGGTCAGACAGTTTTGTTTGGTTGTGCATTACTTCTAGACGAGTCAGAAGCATCTTTTATTTGGTTGTTCAAGACATTCCTTACAGCAATGAATGATTGCCATCCTGTCTCGTTTATGACTGATCAAGATAGAGCCATACAGACAGCAGTTTCTCAGGTGTTTCCAGAAGTCCGCCACTGCATTAGCAAGTCGCATGTCTTAAGAGAGGGCCAGGAAAGATTGGCGCATGTATGTCAAGCACATCCCTATTTTGAGGTGGAACTATATAATTGTATTAATTTGACTGAAACTATCGAGGAGTTTGAATTGTCGTGGGATTCTATCCTTGATAAGTATGACCTCAGGAGAAATGATTGGCTTCAATCATTATATAGTGCTCGTGCTCAATGGGTGCCTGTGTATTTTCGGGATTCCTTTTCTGCTGCCATATCTCCTAAACCTAATCAAGGGCATGATGGTTTTTTTGATGGCTATGTGAATCAACAGACCACATTACCAATGTTCTTTAGGCAGTATGAAAGAGCTTTAGAGAACTCGTTTGAAAGGGAAATAGAAGCAGACTTGATACAATTTGCACAACGCCAGTATTGAGAACACCATCACCCATGGAGAAACAGGCAGCCAATCTTTATACAAGAAAAATTTTTGCAAAATTTCAAGAAGAGCTAGTTGAGACTTTTGTGTACACAGCAAATAGGATTGAAGGTGATGGAGCTATTAGCACATTCAGAGTTGCAAAATTCGAAGATGACCACAAGGCGTACATCGTTACATTTAACTATCCTGAGATGAGAGCTAATTGTAGTTGTCAAATGTTTGAGTATTCAGGAATTCTCTGTAGACATGTTCTGACAGTCTTTACTGTGACAAATGTGCTTACATTGCCTTCTCACTATATTTTGAAACGATGGACAAGAAATGCAAAGAGTGGAACTACCTTAGATGAACGTAGTGGTGAGTTACATGGCCAAGACTCCCTAACTTTACGGTACAACAACCTATGTCGAGAAGCCATCAAATATGCAGAGGATGGGGCAACCACTACAGAAACTTTTATTGCAGCAATGACTGCTCTTAGAGATGGTGGGAAGAAGGTTTCCGTTGTTAAGAAAAATGTAGCTAAAGTTGCGCCTCCTAACTCTCAGGTCAGTGTGACTGGCTACGATGACAGGAAAAACTCAACATCAATGTCCGATATGACCCCATTGTTGTGGCCACGCCAAGATGAAGTAATGAAGCGATTTAATCTGAATGATGCTGGTGCACCTGCTCAAACCGTTTCTGACTTGAATTTGCCACGAATGGCCCCTGTATCTCTTCATCGGGATGATGGTACTCCTGAGAACATGGTATGGAATGCTTTTTTTTTTTTTTCAAGGTCATTGGGTTTTTCTGCAGGTGGTACTTCCGTGTCTAAAGTCAATGACTTGGGTCATGGAAAATAAGAATTCAGCACCAGGAAATCGAGTAGCTGTCATTAACCTGAAGGTACACGTATGAAGAAGTGAAACAATAGTTGTGACATTTTGTATCATCCAAGTAGCTCAAATTGGTGGTGGTGTATTTGATAATGATAGCCTGGATCCCTGAGTCTGAAAATGAAATATTTTTATATGTTTTGAGTTTGTTTAGTTTTTTTCCTTTCTAGATATCTGATTATTGTATAACTTAATTGTGACCTGTAGCTTTGTGCTAGTGGGATGCTCTGGTTTGCACTCTCAAACTTAGTTTACAATCGAGCAAAGAGTGTTTTTTTTCTTCCATTATTTTCTTTTTAAACTTTGTTTATACCCACTGCAGCTGCAAGATTATAGCAGGACTATATCAACTGAATCAGAGGTTAAGTTTCAGCTCTCAAGGGTATCACTGGAGCCAATGTTAAGGTCCATGGCCTACATCAGTGATCAGCTCTCAACACCAGCTAATAAGGTCGCTGTTATAAATCTGAAGGTATGGGAGTCAATTTCAAACCATTATCTCTGAAACTTGCCCTGACTGTTTGATGAACCATTTTTGGGGATCCTCATGTTGTTTGTGTCATTCTCAATTCCCTTGGCCTCCTTGTGGGTAGAGCCATGGGTTTTTCACTTGGAATCACCCTTGTGCTGTTAGTTGAATATACTTAACGCATTCCTAACTGGGTCTTCTGCAAGTGGAATGATGGTTTAATTAGTCAAAATACTCTAGACTTTGTTCAATAAGTTTTGCTATCTAGATCTTCCTTTTAAACAGTGGACACTCATGACAATGCCCTTGGAAGTTCAAATTTGTTTGAGTCCAAATCTCGTTCATACCCTAACTGGTGCTCTATGTGCAAAGGAGCTTCACAGAGATTCCATAATCTCTCTCTTCATTATTCATTGCCTTTGAGACCATGGTATAATCTGTTTCGTGTTTCTAGCTTAAGTTGGGTACTTCCCGCTTCATTCAATCCTTAATTTGTAGGGAGTTATTATGCTTTTGGTGAAGGGGAGAAGGAAAGATTTGGTGGAGCGTGCTAGTGACTTTTTGTGGAGGGAAACATCCTAAATTGTAAGGGAAGGTTGCGTAGTTGTGGACTGCTTCTGGGATAAGGCTAGACTTTGGCCTAGGTTTCTTCTAGGTTTCATGTCTTCCTTTCTTTTAAATGTGGATTGGGGAAGTTTCTGTTTTTTACTTTGGCCGGGTACTTCTGTTTTCTCATAGTACGAATTCTGCTTTTTTATTTGTTGTGTTCTTGAGGCTCTGTTTCTTGCATTTGAAGGTTGCATCTTTTGTCGACTGCATCGATTTGGATTGTAATCCCCAATATTGGAGGGATACATGAATTCATTATGTATTTTATTGGTAAAAAAAAAAAAAAAAAAAAAAATGGTTTTAGAGGAGTGAAACATAAACTAGATTATAACAAGAGGCAATTTTAAGATACAAGAACCACATGATTTAATCAGATTTCTACCTGAGGATGAAATTGGAACTGCAACAAGATTTGTTACATGTTGCACCTTTTACCCTTGAAGTGTACTTGTTTCGAAACCTTTTCCTTCTATTAATCTTGATTATAGCACTACCAAAATTCTTTAAACTTGCTGCCGACCATCGTTCCTAAAGGCTTAAGCTAGTGGTATGTGGAACAACAACTGTTTGATTCCAACCCTCACCCTCAGATGTGGGACTCTCCCCACAATTAAGATTAAATAGCCCAACATTTAGAATTCAAGATATATTGAGAGGTTACAGTTACAAGGAAACTTTGATACTATGACAAGCTTAATGCTTATTAAATAAATCTGTTAAGATGCGGGCTAACAGATTGTTTATGTTGTAACTTATTAAATCTTTAGTTCTCAAATGAAACTAGCCCCCTTAATATAAGTCTTAGAACTTAAAGCCTTAAGCCCACATGTGTGGACTATTCTTGTTTTTATTTTTATTATAACTATTTTGGATATTGAATGAAAATTTTATAGAGGCCACTTCTAGAAAAGTGATAATGTTCTGAATGTTCTGCTGTTTTGTTTACTTATTCTTGTTTGATCGTTTAAGATAAGCCATTTTCACCCTATTCTTTCAGCTTCAAGACGCAGAGACAACTTCAGGGGAGTCAGAGGTCAAGTTTCAAGTTTCTAGGGATACATTAGGTGCCATGCTAAGATCAATGGCCTATATCCGTGAGCAGCTTTCAAGTGCCGTAAGCATTTTCAACCAATTCGCTATTTGATATTGTCTTGTTTTTGGTTTATCAACTACATCGATGCTGTTTTATTGATTTAAAAATTGTTCTGAAATGTTATGTTCCCTGGTAAATGACTACTAGTATATAAAAACAAATTTGTTTGCAATTATCTTGAAAGCTTGTTTCCAAACATTTAGGATGTACAATGAAGAGAACATAATAATGTACGAATCACCTTTGGCCCAAAGTTGAAGAGAAAACCTATTCAACCATATAAATAATTCTATGGGTGATTCCTTTTAGTTGATAAACATCTGGTAGGTGGTCTCCAAAATTCCAAATCACATTGCTAGTGTGGGATTTTGGGAATGACATTTCGATGAACCAGAAGTATTTTTATGTTGTCATGAATCATGATTCATCTAGCACGGGATGAAAAAAAATGGCTGATATCCCGATGTATTGGCAGATATTATCCCTTTTTCTAGGTGTTGATACAGATACAAGAGAATAATCCTATTTCTTCCCCCTTAACGGCGATATATCCCCGATTTCCCCCAATATTTCCCGATACCGGACAAATAACCCAGAACTTTGTCTTCAGTTTTGAAAGTAATCAAAGGTGCCAGTCACTGAATCAATGCCAAAAACCAAGCTCTACTTCTCTTCTCAGTCATTTTCGGCCATCTCTGTCTGTCTGTCTGTCTGTCTGTCTGTCTCTCTCTCTCTCTCTCTCTCTCTCTCTCTCTCTCTCTCTCTCTCTCATTGCTCTGGTTCTGGTTTGTTTAATTTTCTTTTTCACCTCATTTTCTATCTCTCATTCGGCACCTTATCATTAAGTCTGATTGTCTAATGTTGGGTTATGTATTAATAAGTTGGGTTGGGTTATGTATCAATGGGTCAGGCTGCATGTTTGTCTTTGTTTTGTTAAGTCTGATTGAATTTATTTTGTTTGGGTTATGTATCTATTGTGTCAATGGATTTTATTTTATCATTCTAATCGAAGTTTTATTTTCAGGCTTTTCATGAACACGCATTATATACACATACAATTCATCATATGCATATTTTATACTTAGTATATTTTGAATTTTATTTTTTCAATAGTCATTGATAATGTACTTAATGTCTATGAAAGTTTTACTTCAAAATTCCATGTTTTTAAGTCAATATCTGTATTTTTTTGTCAATTTTCCCCGATACCTAAAATGATATCAATGTATCCCCTGAAATATCTGTAAATTGAAAGCCTGATACTATCTGCAGGGCCGATAATTTCATCCTCATTTCTAGGAAACATAAAATTTTATAGAATAAAGAAAATAAATTAAACAAAAGGGAATATGAATATCCCTAAAATGTTTTTATAGTTAATGACTGTAAAAATGCCTTCTTGTCTAAAAAGTTTGGATTGGGATGCAATAGTCATAATTAAGGGAGGTAATAGGGTTCCTATCCTATCCTTCTGCCTTTTTCACTTGAGGTACAAGTTAGATTTATATGGGTTGTATGGCCCTGATGATGATAAGGAAAGGAAAAGCTTGTTGGTAGGATAAAATACTACTAAGGACGTGTGCCAGGGTGTGGAAGGTGATTTTCATTTTTGTGGATAATATGGAATTAATGGACTTGTCATTGGGAATGGGAAAAAGGGAAGGGATTTCTGTTTCCTTTTAGAAAGAAGAGGACATATTTCAGCTGTATTCTTTAGTATTTTAGCTTTTCAGTTTCTGTGCACTGGGCCACTGGCCACTCATTTGGGATAGAAGGGTATGTATAGAAGAAGAGCTCCGTTTCATCTTCAGAACCCTTGGCTTATATCAGTGGCTGTGGTAGAGAACTTGAGAGAGGGTGCTAGATTTTGCTGCATAATCATTTATCAACCCCAAAATAAAAAAAGGTGGTGTTCAATAATTTGGTGGGTGTGTAAGAAAGGAGATTGGGATCTTGACCAACAAGAGCTGAAGGAATTAGGACCTTTCTGTTGACATTTTTTATTTTTGGTATTCGAATTTGCTTTGAGGTAAGGATAGAGAAGGAGAAATGAGAGGATACTGAGCAGATATGATAGATGTGAGTGATATGAGAAGACGTATATAGAATGATCCATTAAAATAAAAACTAAAAGTTACAAACAGTTTTAACTTTTTAATCTAATTTTTTTCTGTTTTGAGAAGGAAACCTGGATCTCCCTTACAGCTGTGGACTATACCAGTTGAATGGATTGCATATCCATGTTTGAAATACACAGTTGGATATTGATATGTATCTTGTATCTTGGGCCCTTAATTTGGGAAATCAGAAAGTCTTATCTTTTTTTAAACCCATTGAAGAGCTCAATTACCATGGCTTCAGTCACCTGGTGATATAGCTCTTCTAAACATTGTTAGGTGTTGTTATTTGGGAACTACGCCCTTATCTGTGTCTTGTTGAGCAACTTGGATCGTTGTGGCTTCCTTTGTGGGAGAGAAACAGACGTACGTGTCTTTGATGACAGATTGTCTGATTGGTATTTTTTTTTCTTTTTGTTATACAAGGAATGTACAGTTGTGCAGCCATAGAACTACACTTGCAGTCCCCTTTTTGGGGGGGTACAAAACAGGAATGTGGGTAGAAGCGATAGGTTGATAGAGTTTATAGATTTAATACACTTGTAGATGTATACCTCGCATATACTTGGGCTTCTGCCTCTTTCTTTTAAATCAATGTACTTGATCAAAAAGAACCAAAAAACCTTGGGTGGTTGTTTTGCAAAATTTAAGTAGGAAATTCATGGATATCATGTTCATCTCTCTCTATGTTTATGTTGAGTTTTAAATTAGGTTCTTTTACTGTTTAATCATGCAAAAGTTTTAAATTTGGCAGGCTGAGATTCAAGCAGAGTCTGTCTCAAAAAAGCCGCGGAAGTAAGGGCCTCGGATGTTTTTTACTTCCTATACTGTACCTCCCACCAGGTGCGCGTTACATCTGGTTTCCATGGGGAAAGGTGACCACATAGCAAGTTCAGGATGCTCGCAGTTGCTACATACATCTTTGTGTAGCCCTTCCTTCCCTTTGTGTAAGATTGTTGTCAACATATTTGTACATGTACCAAATCCAAAGCATCAAAGAGATTTGATAGGTCTATGCGGTCAAAAAAGCTACGACACGCCAGAATTAGAGAGTAACACTATTTGACATGTTTGTGCGAGATACAAGATTTTATTCAATAGGAATTTGTAGAGTTAATTCTGATAGCTGTAGGCTGGTGTGGCAAGTTCTCTCTCATGGAGCTCCCGGCTTCACCAGTCTTTTTTACCCCTTGCGTTGTAGCATAAGATATGAATTGTTTGTTTTGTTTCACTATGGTAGTTGCAAGGAGTATATGATTTTTCAGGTGCTCGTGAGTTCTACCATCGCTAATGTCATTTAATTGTTCAGGTACTCGGGCATTTTATCTACCATATTCATTTACATGCAGTATCGGAAAAAAGAATCTCAGTGGATAAACTTATGCTGCACTGCAGGATCAGAACAAAAATAATAGACAGTGCTGCAGCGGGTTAGGCAAGAAGACAAAGCACTCGTGAAAAAAACCAAGCCTTTATCTTTTCCACTTAAATTCAAGATATAATTCCAACTAAACCTCTCTCTAAAGTGAAGAGTACCCTCATAATATTTTGGCTGAGGCTATAAGATTTGATCAACGAGATGATGATAATGTTTTTTACTCTATCCTTTTAGCTGTTATTTTCTATGGCTACTGAGTGTGAAAAAAAATGGGTAAAACCTGTTCAAATAGGTTGTGTGCAATTAAAAATAAAAATAAAGTTCCTAGTGTTGTTTGGCCATCTTAAAATGAAAGCATATTAATAGCATCAAAAATGTATTTTTTTTTAAATACAAGCGATAGTGTAAGCCACACGTGATTTAAATCCCACGTCACATTTAATCTCAGAATTTATTTCCATTAAAAGTGTGCATAGTAACTTGTGAATTTACCCAAAAATATACACGCAACACATGCAACTAGATGTGGGAAGTTGGTTTTTACTAACTGTCGATCTCCTCTCCCTCCTCACTCACTCGCATCGATTCTTAAAACTTGAGATTCTGTTATACATATCATCTCATCGCGCTCCTCGTCTTCCTCGAAATTCTCTGCCTCACCTCCTTCTGTTGCTGTTCAGGTTTTTTCCTTTACTTAATTTGGAAATAAATGGAAAAGACATATGTGCCCCCTTAAAAAGTGACTGTTTACAGTCAGCGGCTGCCACTGTAACACAGAAAAACTCAACCCCTAAGCCGCACTCTCTTCTTCCTCATCTCTCATCTCTCCAAGCGTCTTCTCTCTCTCTCTCTCTCTCTCTCTCGTCTTCTCTTTCGGTCGGTAATCAAGTATCTCAGGTTGAAGAAAATGGATTGCGCATTCTTGGGTATAAATCCCATTTTGTTCCAAGAAAGTTTTGCAGGAAATGGGAATGGAAATGGTAGGGTGTCTCTGATGGCGCGTTCTAATTCTAATACAAGGAGAAGACTTCCCAGCAACCTTCGCTACCCGCGGCGCACCAAACTTCCTCCGGATTTTGGAATCAACCACTTGTTGAAGAACACCACAGAACCATCATCTCAAACGGAATTCAAGGAAGCAGAAGAAGATGGCGAAGATATTGTTTGGGAGGCAGATGAGATTGAAGCTATTTCATCACTTTTCCAAGGGAGGATACCCCAAAAGCCTGGAAAGTTGGATAGACAAAGGCCTCTACCCCTCCCACTTCCTTACAAGCTTCGACCTTTGGGACTTCCTAGGCCGAAGAAACATGTCAAGATGGCACCCATTTGTGACCAAGTCTACAAGAATCCCAATGCGCTTGTTGGTTTAGCAAGGGAAATTAGAAGCCTTGGGGTAGATGAAGATGTGGGACTAATTCTCAACAAGTGGGTTCCCTTTCTTAGAAAAGGGTCTCTCTCCTTGACAATTAGGGAATTGGGTCACATGGGTCTCCCTGACAGAGCTCTGCAGACCTTCTCTTGGGCTCAGAAACAGCCTCACCTCTTCCCGGATGACCGGCTTTTGGCTTCCGCTGTTGAGGTCCTGGCAAGGAACCATGAGCTTAAACTGCCATTCAATTTGGACAAATTCACAAGTTTGGCAAGTCGTGGTGTGATTGAGGCAATGGCAAGAGGGTTCATCAAAGGGGGAAGCTTGCATCTTGCTTGGAAGCTTATATTCATAGCTAAGAATAGTGGAAGAAAGTTGGATACGAGCGTATATGCCAAGCTAATACTGGAGCTTGGGAAGAACCCGGATAAGCACAGGCTTATAGGACCTTACTGGACGAGCTTGGGAAAAGAGAAGACCTGAATTTAACCCAGCAGGATTGTACTGCTATTATGAAAGTGTGCATTAGGCTTGGAAAATTTGAAGTTGTGGAGAGTGTTTATGACTGGTTTAGACAATCTGGGCATGATCCAAGTGTTGTTATGTACACAACTCTGATTCATAGCCGCTATTCAGAGAAGAAATACAGGGAGGCCTTGGCTGTGGTTTGGGAAATGGAGGCTTCAAATTGTTCCTTTGATTTTCCAGCTTATCGTGTGGCAGTAAAGCTTTTTGTTGCTCTGAATGATCTTCCAAGGGCTGTAAGATATATTTCCAAGCTTAAGGAAGCAGGTTTCTCTCCGACATATGATGTCTACCGGGACTTGATTAAAATGTACATGGTTTCTGGGAGGCTGGCAAAGTGTAGGGATGTATGCAATGAGGTAGAGATAGCAGGATTCAAGTTAGATAAAGAAACAATGTCACAGTTGTTGCAATTAGAAAGTGAGAAAAGGTTAAGTTTTTAAAATCCAAACTTCTCTGTTGTAAGCTGTAATTACTAATTACTAATGACCTCATGTTGAAGTTCTTTCTGCCCATCTTGTTTGGGTTATTTTTGCATATGCACGCTTCTCTTATCTTTATGGTCATCTTCACATAAGTTTCACAAAGCCATCAGGGGCATCCTTGGTTGCTCTTCACATTTCATTCTCATTTTGTATTCTTGATGACTAATGGAAGTGCATCTGTACTGTAGATAAACTGCAGTGTGTTTTATTTTATTATTTGTCCCTAGCTTTGCGCAGCATCCAGACAATGCATACATACAAGTAAAAGAAATGAGCACTCTCTAACATGATCGTCTTCTTTGAGTTATTCCACATATTTGGTTTCTGCATTATTTTTTGTTGTTTTGATATTAGTGAATACCATCAGAAGCCAGACTTCAAATCCCGTCTCCCCTTTTGAACTGAGTGAAGGTGGAGAAGTGAATAATGCTGAAAATTCCAAGTCTCACAATGAAGATGGGATTTCCGAGCCATACGTAGGTATGGAATTTAATTCTGAAGAGGCTGCCAAGACTTTCTGTGATGGATACGCCAGACGTTTGGGTTTTAGCCCTAAAGTTGGTCAATCTAGTCGTTCTAAACCTGATGGGCAACCAGTGCTCGGGAATTTTTATGTGGCAGAGAGGGTTTGAAAAGAAGGAATGCTTAGGATAGAGTTAAAGGGTCAAGACAAGTGGGTTTCAACGAAATTTGTGAAGTAGCATAGCCATGCCTTGGTGAATTACATGCCCAAGACTCCCTAACTTTATGGTACAACAACCTATGTTGAGAAGCCATCAAATACACAGAGGATGGAGCAACCACTACCGAAACTTTTATTGCAGCAATGACTGCTATTAGAGGTGGTGGGAAGAACGTTTCTGTTGTTAAGAAAAATGTAGCTAAAGTTGCGCCTCGTAGCTCTCAGGTTACTGTGACTGGCTATGATGACAGGAAGAACTCGACATCAACGTCCGATATGACCTCTTTGTTGTGGCCACGCCAAGATGAAGTAATGAAGTGATTTAATCTGAATGATGCTGGTGCACCTGCTCAAACTGTTTCTGACTTGAATTTTCCAAGAATGGCCCCGGTATCTCTTCATTGGAATGATGATACTCCCGAGAACGTGGTATGGAAAAGAGTTCTTTGCTTTGTTTCTGTTCTTGTTTATCCTTTTTTTCTGAGTGCAAGATCATGGCATTGATCTGGGTTTTTCTGTAGGTTTTACTTCCTTGTCTAAAGTCAATGACTTGGGCTATGGAAAATAAGAACTCAGCACCAGGAAATATAGTAGCTGTCATTAACCTGAAGGTATGCATCTGAAGAAGTGAAACAATAGTTGTGACATTTTGTATCATCAAATTAGCTCAAGTTGGTGGTGTTGTATTTGATAATGAGAGCCTGGATCCCTGAGTCCCTAATTGAAATATTTTTATATTTTTAGAGTTTGTTTAGGGTTTTTGTTCTTCTTCTAGATATCTGATTATTGTAGCTCTTAATTGTGACCTGTCTCATTGTTCTAGTGGAATACTCTGGTTTGCACTCTCAACTTGTTTCGAAACCTTTTCCTTCTATTAATCTCGATTCTAGCACTACCAAAAGTCTTTAAAATTGCTGCCTACCCCTGACTTGTGGGATTCTCCCCACAATTAAGATTAAATAGCCCAACATTTAGAATTCATGGTATATTGAGAGGTTACAGTTGCAAGGAAACATTGATACTATGATAAGCTTAATGCTTATTAAATAAATCTGTGAAGATGCAGGCTAACGGATTGTTTATGTTGTAACTTTTTCAATCTTTAGTTTGCAAATGAAACTAACCCTCTTAAGTTTTAGAATTTAAAGCTTGAGCCCACATATGTTGACCATTTTGTTATTATTTTACATATAACTATTTTGGATAGAAAAGTGATAATGTTCTGTTGTATTTTTCATGTTCTGAAAGTTCTGCTGTATATCTATCTGTTCACAACATTCTTCTGTGTGAGCATGATTGCTGTATGTGTTGGTGCAGATGATAGTTTACACTTGATCTTTGAACTGTAGGTAAGTTCAATTGTTGACAAGTTATTAACTTATGCTCCGTCCTTTTGCACATTTGTTTATAACAGTCCTCTTTGTGAGCGTATTTGTGATGGTTTGTTAGGGCAGATGATGGTTTACACTTGATCTCTGAACTTCAGGTAAGTTCAATTGTTGACAAGTTATTAACTGATGCTCTATGGTTTGAACGTTTGCTCATACCAATGCTCTGTGTGAGCATGAGGTTGTCTTTGTGCTTGTTTTTGTTGGTGCAAATGATGATTTACACTTGATCTCTGAACTTCAGGTAAGTTCTAGTGTTGACAAGTTATTAACTGATGCTCTATCCGTTGCACATCTGTTCATAACAATCCTATGTATGCTCATTTGCACCAGTATGTGTTGGTGCAAAGGATGATATTTCTTGTGTGTGTGTTTTTTGTTTCTCGTTGTGGGGTGGGAGGTGTTGATTGTGCAACTAATTGAGTATATTACTATTTGTGATCAATTATTATGTTTGAATGATAATCATTATCTTCTTAAACTACTTTTGAATTATTTTAATTACAATAGTTCAGGTACCGAAAAGCTTCAACTCACCTTACACCTTTTGCTTTGAAAGCATTGTTGCTATCAGTCATTTATTATCGTCAAAGGTGAACACTGGCTCATCTCCTTCTTCATGATTCTTGGCACTATGGCCTTCACAACCACCATTTTTATGGTTCTTGTTCTTGATTATTTCTATATGGGTTTGAAGCCTTCCAAAGTGAGGTTGAGTTTTAATGGTGAATCTTTTGGTAACTGTTTTTTTGGGTCTTGTGCGAGTTATAGGCAGGTTCTCAGTTTTTAAAATGCATTTTTTCCAATTATGTTGAGATGGGGAGAAAGGTAAAAGTGGGTTGGATACTGTTATCTTTACATTTTAGGTTTCATTAATGAATCCTCCCACAATTTATTTATTGTTGACTTGGGTATTGTCTGGTTCGTTCTCTCTCTTCTAACCCCGTCCCTCCTTTCCCCCCTCCCCCCCCCAGTTTCTTTCTCTATGTGAATTAGTTTCTCTGCTTTTTAGAAGTTCATCAAAGGGCCAGATACAATTGTTGTCATTGCTTATTAGAACTTGTATGAAGGCACATCCTTTTGACGAATTTGTGCAATTTCTGAACACAATGAAATTTTCAATTCTGCACTCTACTCTATATCTTCTAATAATGGAGATCAGTACGAAGTTTGGTTGCAGATAATGTTCTTCCCTGTTGTCTTCAGCTGAGTTTTTGTGATTTTTGTCGCCTTAAGCATTTAGTGAGAGAGGAGAGAGAAGCACTGGTGCAAAAATTGAGAAAGGAAAGTGTGTTTACTGCTTGTTTTAATCCCAGCCAAAAATTGATGCGTGGACAAATTTCCAGCATTCCTGTTGTAATTTGCAATTACTTTTGACTGATGAATACAAGTGCTTTCTTCCCATCTTGAGTGGAGAAAATTCTCTAATAAGGTTGATGCATGTATGGATGGATTCTGGTGCCATAACATCCCTGCACAGTAAAAAGTTGATGGATGAATAAAGTGAAAAGGCGAGGTTCAATTCTTATATGTAAATTGTTTACCAGGAGGAGTGTTGACTTCAACAAATATGGAGCCAAATAGAAAATTTTTAAAAATCAAGGTCGAAAAGGAAATACGCCAAATAATACAGATTCTCCTTGAGATCAACGTAAACTACTACTCTGTAGCCATAAAGGTTCCCTCCTTTTACTCAATCTACAAAATTTTATTTTTTTATTTGCAATGATTTTTTATTTATTTCGAGAAATGTAATGAAGTCAGTTTTTAACATAAATCTAATTGGAAGGGCCACATTGAGCAACTGTGTGACAACATTGGACTAAATTGACCTATATGATAAAATACAGGGACAACTTTAGTAGTTAACCTTAAATTCTATTACTAAATTATAACTTTTTCTAGGTAGGTAATTGACGATAATGAACTTTAATAAGGCCCATGTGCGTGTCACGCGGTGATTTAAATTCAATCCAATTCATATTTGATTATATTGGATTAGATGATTGGTTTTGATAATGGAAAATGATAATAATAAAATATTAAATATTTATCGTTAGGTTTAATTTAAACATATGAATAGGCGTAAATGTAAAATATGAATAAAATATTATAGAAATTTGTTTTGATTCTATAATTAAACATAACTCGTTCAAATGACTTAAAATATTCATAATTTTTTCAATTACAAAGACCTACACAAGCAAAATAAGCATGAAACTAACTACATTGAATTGGATTGGATTTGATTTGATTCTCACAAGCCAATCCATGATCCAATAATGTCAGTTTTGGGAATTACGAATCCAATCCAATCTGTCAAATCATCAAAACCATTAAAATTTTGATTGGATTGGATTGGATTGGTTAGTTTGGGCGGTTTGGGTCAGTCGGTTTGAGCAAATTGGGTCTGTCGATTTGGACGGATTGGATCAGATCTTGCACACCCTTATAAAATTTGATTGATATTGATGAGATTTACACATTAACATCAATGACATGTTTACTTACCTGTAATAGGGAACTTAGGAATTGGGAAAGTTAGGAATATGTGTGAGATTAACTACTCTCCTACTTAATCTAGTTCCTAGCTTTTCAAGTATTGAATTACAGAGTTTAAAGTGGAATTAACATCATTTCATTTTTTATTCCTTATGTGTTATTAAGTTTGAAATTGTAAAGGCTTTCACATTCATTATAGTAAACGGATTGAAAGTCACGAATGAAAATAATTTTAATATGCATTTCATAATAAATATGGTAGCTTTTTATTAGCAATATTCGTTGCAGTTGTACCTGATTCTCATGTTGGTCCTTGAGTTGCAAAATGGCTTTTGTCGTCCCTAAACTCCACTTTGGTTAGAAAAATAATCATGGCGTCACTTCTATTACCTACTTCCGTCAATTTTGAGGTGTACAATTGAGGGGCAAAAACTACTTTGAATGAATACGAAATTGTGAAGCCAGGGCTAAATATGAAATAACATTAAGTCTTTGTAGCAAATCGCTATGTACTTTTTCATTGAATAAATAAAGAGTAAAGTGCCGTTTTACCCCCAAACTAAAAAGTCATTTAATTTAATACTTGTGAAACCCTGTATTTATATATATAATAATAATAATAATAATAATAATAATAATATGACCACATATTTATTACTTTCATGATAAATTATTAGGAATAATACTTTTGTAAAAGAATACCTATTTGTTTGATTTAAGTAATGCCATGTACAAAGATATTTACATAAAGGAAACTTACCACCCTAGTTTCTTCACGTGTGTAAACTTAGATGACTAAGCTTTTGCCTAGATGACTAAGCTTTTGGTTAAAGCATGAGCTGTGGCATAAGAAGAAAGTAGGATAATCTAGGAAGTCAAGCATATCATTAAACCTACACTCCACCAATCACAAACCATCAAGTTACCGCCTTTAACTACTATAAATAGGAACCAATTCCCTTAACTTGTTTTAAAACAACATGCATGGTAATGCATGATAGAAAGCAATAGAGAGAGAGAGAGAGAGAGAGAGAGAGAGAGAGAGAGAGAGAGAGAGAGAGAGAGGAGAGAGAGAGAGAGAGAGAGAGAGAGAGAGAGTGGTGATGAAACTTTTGGAGTTTGGTTTGGGTGATAGTACATGAAGATAGGTAGATGGGTTGTCTTGCCAATTTATTTTAAGGGCTCTCAATATCGAGGTGAGTGGTTTATGTGATGTGTTCTAAAAGTTCTTATTTTGTGATAAAATATAAAAACCATGAATTATCGTGGATTTGTCCTATTTACAAATATCTCTCTATTTCATGTCTAATTTGGTGCAATCTTTCACACTATATATATATATATATATCTATATATATATATATCTATATATATTGACTGGAATATTTGTGAAGTATGTATTATTCATGGAACATGAGAACTTCAATGTTGGGGTATCCGAGGGATAGATGTACCACACGAGGACATAGGACAGTAAGGCCAGTAGAGGTCACGTGGTTGGTTACATGCTATGGAGGATAACTGAGATATGAAGGGATGATGTGATATATGATCTGGATTGGTGTATCTTTTCATTATATTTTATAGAGTGTGTAAAACGGCATTGCTTGACTGCCATATTACATAATTTACTCACTGAGCGGTGGTTGCTCATCCTTCACCCTGTTTAATTTTTCAGATGAATTAGTGGGCAAGACAAGCACTAAACCAGTTGAGGTTGAATTAGATGATAGTAATAGAACTTTATTTATTTCTTGTTAAGTTGTAACATTTTGAGAGCTATTTTTATAAGAGAATTTTATTTTATGTTTCGGCATCTTTTTATTTTATTTTCTCACGCACCAGGTACGGGGTTTCCACCGACCCCTGAGTCCGAGGCGTGACAATACTTAAACTAATTAAAGCAACCAATTTAACCCATGTCGTTAAGTTTTTAGAATTTCATCAGTTTTTCTATCAAAAAAGTCACTTGACCTACTATTTGAATTTTTTTAATTACTATTTGACATGACCCACCTTGGATTTTCCCTTGGAATCAGTGACGAACCTTATGCATGTCTGACATCTGCGAGATGTCAGACGCACTTTACTAAAATACCCTTAACCCTAACTGAGAACAGCTAAGGGATTTGACTCATGTTAAAATTCGAGCAATCTCCCTCATAATTGACTCAAAACCCCAAAGAAACTTTGTATATTTTAGATTTATTAAGCCACAAAGATGAGATTACACTTAATCTCTAGGCAACGAAAGCGAAAATTAAAACTTTGAGCATAAAACAAAATCTAACCTAACTATATTGAGGTCTAAAGGGATTGAAGCACATAGACTATTCGAAATTCTATTAGAAAAAGATTAAAGAGATTACCCTTGTAGTTATATCTGGAGCTAAGCTTTTAAGGTTGATCACTCTAGGGAAGGTCTTCATCCAAAGAGATTCTCCAAGAGAGCCATACAATTGTATGGTCTCTAACTTCATACACACCAAATTAAGAAGATGGAGAATGAGATGAGTAATCACAAGAAGGTGGAGGTGCTAGCACCACCCATTGTGGTGGTCAACCATGGTGGAGGAAGGGAGGGAGGGTTTGGTGTTGTCTTTCTCCTATCATCATCCAAAACCATAGGGAGAGATGATGCCCATCATTATCTATTTATAAGCTAGGCCTTCAAGTTGGGTCACCCATGACCCATATCACTTAACAAAACCCATGTGGGTGAAACCCATCTCTTCCTTTTTATGTGGCCGGCTTTGGCTACACCATTGGGCCTCCTGGGCCTTGTCATTTAAGTTGTCGCTTACAACTTATGCATGGCTCACAACCTCTGATCTCCAATTTCGAAGTTCCTATAGGTCAACAATAGTCCACAAATCTCCAATTCAGAAGTCCATGATAGTACAAGTGAAGGGCAATTGACTAACCTAATCCTAGAAGCATCGATTTGGAATATCTGAACCTTCAATTCTAGATATGTAAGTTCCCACATGAGCGGTGGGTGGGATTGATCTAACGGTCCGATCATTCCCTATCAAATGGTGCATAATAGGAGAAACTCCAATTGTCTATCAAACGATGGACTTTCGCCAATCTGAGCATATCATTGTGTTGAGGACAAGATAATTCTAAGCCAAAATGGGCCACCATTAGATGGTCCACGAGCCACCATCATCGGTGGGTGGCTTAAGGAATTTTCCTGCGATGAAAGAAGTTCAAATTGGTGGCAACCCGTTACACGAATAGCTCAAGCACATCAAAGGGAGCAATTTTCATAATTGGCTCGATGGGAAAAAGTGGCCGAAAACGGCCTCAAAGTCAAGGTTTTCCAACGAAAACCTTAGAATTTCCCGACATCAATTTGGCTTTTCTAGCGAACTAATGGCGATAACTCTTGGTTAGCTCTCTTGTTCAACGAAGGGAAAAACCTGACCAAGATCATCTACAAGGATGGGCAAGAATTGCCAACGGTGGCCTTTGACAGTAAAGGTGCGACAAAGATAACTTTTCAAGAAGGACAATCGGTGTTTTAGGGGTTAATAAGGCATATTGGTGGTGAGGGAAAGGTAATGGAGGAGGAGATGAGTGTTTGGGTCCAAGAATGCCGGCTATGGTGGCCAAACAACGATGATTGGTCGCTAGGAAGTCCACCTATGGCTGCTGTAGGAGAGATAGAGAGAGAGAGAGAGAGAGAGAGAGAGAGAGAGAGAGAGAGTCAGGGTGCGAGGGAAAGGGAAGGGAGAGAAACGAGCTGAAATGAGATTGGGTAGATATGGCTTATGGTAAAATTACGGAATTGCCATAGACTTCTGTTTACCATAAATCTCTCATTATAACTCCAGTTTAAGCCCACTATAGTCTAAGAACTTGTGAGAACGAGCTCTATATAATGGCGCGAGCAAAGAAAATTTTTCAAAATTAATTCCAAACAAAAAGTAGCCCAAAAAACCACTTTAAAACGTCAATTCACTCTAAAATTTCGAAAATTAAAAAGAAAATAGGGACAAGATGTTACACTATTATTATTTAAAACTAAAAAATTTAGAAAAAAAAAAGGGTTGATATCCTCACTATCATATTCTTTGATTTATGATTAATCAGGCTATTGAAAGATCTTTTGAGGATGGGGTGAGGGTTATTGTAGATCACGAGGGCATGGAAAGTTTAGGATGGCCACCCTTCAAATTCCACTCAGTATAGGAGAAGTTATATCGAGATTAGAGTTGGCAATATTGTACACGACCCGTTAACATGACATGAATTCGCACAAAAAATTCAGTATTCAGGTTTGAGTTATCGTGTCGTGTTGATATCGTCTTGACCCGTTAGCCACCCTTTAAGCTAATGGGTCATTTCAGTGCTCATTCGCAAATAAACGAACCAACTCGTTAAGCAGGGGTAATTTTGTAGTTTTCAATTCTAAAAAAAAACACCTCATAACCCTTCATCTCTTCATTCTGCGTCGTCTAAGTCTGGGAGTCTCCTCCTCTTCGTAGCTTTCTCTCTCTCTCTCTCTTTCTCTCTCTCAAGTCTTCATCTTCTCCTTCTTCTTGCACTCTCTCCTATCTTTGTCTTTCAAATCTTCCCTTGCCAAATTTGAATGTTTTTCAAGATCTGTCCTTCTTCTTGCAACCCAAAAATTTATTCTTTCTTCATTTGAAGAAGAACCCACCTTCATATAACAAGGCCACCGCAAACACAGAATTTATGTATAAAAAGTTGAAGTTTGAGGACACAGAGATAAGAACAATACTACAGCCAAGTCCACCAAACACAGAATTCGTTTGGAATGATATAGATATTTTCGGCATGTATTATTTGGGAATGATATTTGTTTGGAATGACATGTATTTTTTGGGCATGTATTGTTTGCATTTAAAATTTGTTAAAAAATATAGGTTTTTTAAATTTTTATTAGAAAGTTTATTTTCTTAACGGGTGGAATGGGTTGTGTCGTGTGATTCGCGAATTGTAGTGGGTAGTGTTCGTGTTTGATGTTTTCCACCTATTTTCTTATTGTGTCGTGTCGTGTCAACCTGTTAAGAAAAGCGGGTTGACATGAACACTGCAAACACGACACGAATGTCAAGTCTAATCGGGATGGGATGTTGGGATTAAGAACATTTGATTAAAAACAAAAGAAAAGAATACCAAAGGCTTACTCTTAGGGCTAGTTTTGTAGTTTTTATTATTTTTAAAGGGAATTTTATTTTTAAATATTTTTTGTGTTAGCTTTTATTATTTATTATTTTGGTTAGATGTATTTGACTTTTAGGGCTTGTTTGGACTGCTTCTCTTAGAAGCACTTCTATTTATAAGTGCTTTTATTATAAACACGTTGAAATTTTCATAAGAAACAGAAGTGCTTCTTGGAAAAGCACTGGAGAGTGCTTCCTGAAGAAGCACATGACACGTGTTTCTTCAAAAAGCGTTTCTATGGCTTAAAAGTGCTTCTAAACATTTCTGCTAAACGTTGTCAGAAGCGCTTTTGGTTGTCAAAAAGCGCTTTTAACTGTTCTAGAAGCACTCCCAAACGGGTCATTATTTTACTCAAAATTACAAATTTACTCTTATTATTAATGGAAAGAAATTTGAAAAACTTAGACAAAGGTTAATTTGGTTGTTTTAATAAGTTCTGGTGCTAAATTGATTGTTTTTTTTGTTTTATTTTTTTAGAGAAAATGATAGAATTTTATTGAAGAAAAGATGTAACTAGTATAAAAATCAGGCTATGTCATCCGGAATTAGGCGAGTGTCTTTACACCAATGAGTTCGGTCATCGGTAAAAGTGATTAAGTTTAGTTAAGGTGATAATTCAGAAAGTAAAATGGTTGGAAATCCATAAATAAATTCACATCCCTAATAGTGTCGTTGTTACTAAATGCACATCCCTAATAGTATGATCGTATTTATTCAAATTTCTTCAGATTTATTGACAAAAGAAAAACACGTGACCTTTGCGCCTCACGCGAATCTCATGTGGGGAATTTTGTTTTGTTTGTTTTGGTTGATCAACTGATGTACGAAACTTTGAGTCAGAAGACTGACAACACGCACACACAACCAACCTTACCCCGAGGGCCTAACATTATTCTTTTTTTTCTTTTTTTTTACGGGAGCAAAATGCCTGCATATTAATAAGATTAAAAAAAATGTAAAAAGTAAAAAAGCCAAAAATAAAAGAATAATAAAAAATAAAATAACGAAGAGCTTTCTTTCTTTGTTTTCGTTGGAATTGGAGAGAGAGAGAGTGGAGGGAGAGAGAGAGAGAGAGAGAGAGAGAGAGGAGGAGGATAGAATAGTAGATGAGGAGGCATCAGAAACGACGATGACGACGATGAATCAACAACCAATCAAAAAGAAGAAGGGCCGTCCTTCTCTATTGGATCTTCAGAAACGCGCTCTCCTCCAACAACAACAACAAAACCCTGATTTTCTCAACCGCCATCGCCGTCAATCCACTCGCCGGAACCCTACTCCTCCGCCGTCCGATTCCCTCGCCGGCGACGACGACGACGATGAGCGCGCAAAGAAGAAGCATAAGCCCCTTCTCGGGTTTAGTCCCAATTCTGCTCCGACATTGTTGCCGTCTAATTCGGGTTCTTTCGGCTCCGATTCGAACGCGGATGGTGAGGATCCACAGGCCGCTCTCAAGATCAGTACCGTCCATCATGGATCTAATCATATGGTGATTATCATATTACGATAATTAGGCTCAAATCGATGTCGTTGTTGGTTGCCGTTTTTCTTTTTTCCTTGTGATGAAAAAACTAATATGAAATTTATGGGCTTCTTTTGTTTTTGCTGTACTTTGAGAATTAGCATGTTTAGGGATTTTCGCGCGAAAACTTGAAGCTGTTTTTGGGGAGGGAGAGAGTGGGGATGCGTTTGACTTATTTCAAGTTTTGGGCATTATATTTAATTTTATTAATTTGTTTATTTGAAATCTGGGGTGGGAGGGATTCAGTTTCTCTTTATTTCCTAATTTAAATTTCTTCATAATTCCTTAGTACCATTCTAGTCTATTATATCGTACTATAGAAAGACGCAAACCATTTTGTCTGAAAAAGCTTCAGTTTGTCTTTTCTTGATTTAATTTCCCTTTTCTTTTTCAATGATGACAGAAATAAAATTATATTTTCTTGGGAAATTTCATTTCAGCATTGACATAGGTCTTAATGGTTTCTTTGCAGAGCCAGGAGGTTTTGAAAGCGACAGACAGTAGTAGTATACATGGTATCACACTGTTAATCAATCCCAATTTCTTGCTCAAAAGGTATCTTCCTGTGGTTAATTTTAATGAATGTCAACTTTTTTGTTTTTGTGGACAGGGTCGCAGGTGGAGTCTGGTCCCACGACACCTTTGCCAGACAAAAAGTTGTTGGTGTTCATCCTTGATAGGCTTCAAAAGTAAGTGTCTTAGGTTCCAAAGTTGTTGTCTTTTTCATTGACTCTTTGAAATGAAATGGGTTTTCATTGGTTGGTCTCAACTTTCTTGCAGAAAGGACACTCGTGGAGTGTTCTCTGAGCCTGTGGATCCAGAAGAGGTGCGTATTCTTATGTTGAAACTGCTTGTTATGATGTTATTTCTAGCTGGTTTTACGAGTACCCATTTCCTGGTTTGATGTAAATATGTTGGTTCAGCTTCCTGATTATCATGAAATCATTGAGAACCCGATGGATTTTGGAACTGTGAGGATGAAACTAGATCAGGGAGCTTACTCCAACTTGGAACAGTTTGAGGTTCGTGTTTCAATTTTGTTCTTGCTTGTTTTGAGTTTTGAGTTTGACACACAGACTCACTCACCAGAGTTGCATGAATGTCACCATCTTCTTGCTTGCTTTCACTCCCCCTTTTTTCCATCTCAGAGTTGGATAAGTAAATTATATGGAATGATTGTTGCCTAAGGTGCCTTTTTAAGTCAAGTTGACCCCGTTGCTAGTAAAAGAAGGCAGATGAATCAAGGACTGAGAACATGATGCAACTTATCATGTCTTCGGTTTTCAACTTATTGGCCTTGGTCTGTTTAGGAACCATTTTGATTATATGGCACTCTAATGTATCACTGAAATCTTAGAAATTGGGATAAATTATTGTGGTTGACCGTGGGTTTATTCTTATGAGAATTCTATTCTAAGTGCCACAAACTCTGATGGTATCTCACTGTTTATGGCGGTGTTCCACTTTGATTTGTTTAGTAAAATCAGTTGATATGTTTTGACAGGAATTTAAGACTTCATGTTTAATTTGTGCAGAAAGATGCGTTTTTGATATGTTCAAATGCAATGCAGTATAATGCACCGGATACTATTTACTTCCGACAGGTTTGGCCCAGCTTCAACTTACATTTCTTCCAATTTAGGGAATTTGATCATTTCTGAAGGTTAATGATGACTTATTTCATTAGGCACGATCTATACAAGAACTCGCAAAAAAGGACTTTGACAATTTGAGGCAAGCCACGGATGATTGTGACCCCAAACCAAAACTTGCGAGGAGAGGAAGGCCACCTGGGAAGAGCATGAAAAAGTCAATTGATGGGTCTCCACTTGATCGTGTAGGTCCTCAAACTACATCTGAAACAACTCTTGCTTCTGGAGGAGAGAATCCTAGCTTGTCCAACGCTTACAATTTAAGAAGACCTGCTTCACACAACATACGGTCTTCTGATGTGTTAAACAGGACTCCCAATGGGTCTTTTAGTGGTGAAACAAGTTGGTTGTCTGGATGGGAGAATGAATTTCCAAGTATGTGATTTCAACTGAGTGTGCTCCACTGTTGTGTACTCTTTTTTCAATTTCAGTTTCTTTCTTGATTTTGTTTTGATTGTCTAGTTCATTCAACACACACTGAGCCTTTTTTTCTTCTTTGGTTGCAGCTTCGGTATTGAGAAGTGTGCAAAAGTATGGGATGAAACAGTTTACCGTAGATGAGAATAGACGTGACACTTATGCCCAAGCTCTGGGTTCTGGGAATGAACCATCTATGTTCACTGGTCTTGAAGGAGAGTGGAAGCAACTTGTGGCGGTATGTATAATGAGAAATTTCTTGTATTGTCTTCTGCATGGCAGACTGGAATTGTTTAGTAATGTGCAAGATGACAGGGTAAAAAAGAAAAAAATAGAACAACGGATTTGCTAATATGGCTACTATAGATGCCAAATCTCATGGCTTGATTAATGTATCATCTTGTCTTGTATGTGAATATGATAAGATTGTTTATTTACAAGGGAATGGTATGTCTTTTTCATAAATTTATAAAATAACAATAGCTCAGATATAATTTTTATTCGTGGGACTTGTATAAAGATATGATTTTTGTATAACATGATCTCTTATTTTTTAATTTATTATTTTCTTAAAATAAACCAGGTAGGTGTACACTTTGAGCATGGTTATGCAAGGAGTCTAGCTCGATTTGCTGCAAATCTTGGACCTGTTGCTTGGAAGGTTGCTTCAAAAAAAATTGGCAGTGTTTTGCCTAGTGGACTCAAGTTTGGTCCGGGATGGATAGGAGAAAATGAGTCATCAACGTTGCAGCAGTTTTCAATCTGCGAGAGGGGAGAAGAGAAGGTTCAATGCTACCCTGCATCTAATGACCATACAGACAGACTTCTACCTCAAAGTACATCAGGCTCAAATCCCGTTGTTACACATAGATTTTCGCAGCAAAGCCGTGATAACATGGAAAGTAGGAGAGAATTGAGTTTCCACAATGAGTTGGCGTCACTTAACAGCAGTGTTTGTGGGATAAGACCCGTGCCTCCTTTCCTGGTTCGGCAGAGTTCCGCAAATCACTCTGGTAACTTTAGTTTCACTTCTAGTAGGTTTATGTCTTCTATATGTTTTAGCTCAAACTGAGAATGTTAATGTGCCTGCCATATTAACAGGGAAGCCATGTTCAACCGACACTTCAGTGCCTTCGCAAATGCTCGGCATGGTTTCGGATGGCAACACCATCATCCATCAAATGCCGATTAAGGATAGTGCTTCAAACGAAGCCAAACAGTTGGAAGTTTCAAGTAGATCAAAATCTAACAATGTGCTTGGTGGGGAAGCATCTTGGCATGGCCCATCCATATACAATAAACAGGTTTCTTATACATTCCCCTCTGACCTGAACGTCAAACTTGGTGCACCGGGCTCACCCGGTTCCGTTGTTCAAATCGGTTTGCAACAGCAGCCAGATTTAGCTTTGCAGCTTTGATCGGAGCCCCGTAGCGTATATAGACAATAATAGTAGGGATTACATTAACACGTTGGGGCTCTTTTTTCTTATTTCTTTCTGATTAAAAATTGTTATGAAGGTCGCTCTCTGATTGCCGCAAGGAATCATGACAAATTCACAGTGGTAGGGCAAAGTTTTTGTACAGATTAATCATTTTTATGTTAAAATCTATTGGTTTAGCAATTTAATCCATAATGCATTATTATTGGTGATTGAATTTTGAGTTTGGCCTCTTCCGAAAAATCTCCTCAACCCAGGAACGGTACTGAGCCAAATAGCAGAAGAAATTGGGTTATTAATACACAAGTCGATTTGAAAATTTTCGACATGCAGAAGAAATTGTTAACCAAATTATCGTAATTGTTTGTTTGTTAGATCCCGTTGTGTAATGTTTATGGGATGAAATCACAAAATGGACCAAGAAATCACCAATTCTCTAATGCTATTATTTTAAAACAGAATCGTTAAGAATTTCTGTATTGAAAGGATTATTGGATTTGATTTTGAAATCCGGGTCTTGATAGATTTGTTCACTCTTCTTTTAACACACAAAAGAAATTAAGGAAGAATATCTCTAAGCCAACCAACCAATTTCAAGTGCTGAAAATGAAATAATAAATTAAAATTGTCAAAACAAAAAATTTAATTTCACAAAATGGAGATGCGGGGTATCGATCCCCGTACCTCTCGCATGCTAAGCGAGCGCTCTACCATCTGAGCTACATCCCCTTACTTGATATTTTAGTTGATTGCTCCAAGTTTATAACATCATATTTTCTAATTAATCATTAAAAGACTTGTTAATGGGCCAACACCTAGCGTGATTTCAAAATGGCTTTCCAGGATTGCAGGTTGGAATTGCGATTGGGAGTGCGAATATTGGGTTGAATTCCAGTCCTGTCGGTTAATAATATCAACTTCATCAAATACTTTATTACAAATTTATAAATAAACCCAATTCTAGACATGTATTTATAAAAAAAACCGAAGCACTATTTAAACATAGAAACACACTCAAAATAAACCCCAAAGTCAACTTTTTGGGTGTGTTTATAAATGGGTTTTGAGTGTGTGTAATGATGGGTTTTGGATGTGTTTATATGTTTAAATAGTGCTTGAGTTTTTTTATAATTTCAACAACCATTTTGAATGTTTTAGTGAAACTCTCATAATTTATTGGGACTTCCCTCATGTTAAGGTGAAGCAGAAGCAAAATTACTTTTCTAATCAATATAAGTTGATCTTTTTTTTTCTTTTATACAAGGGATATTGATGAGGGGGGAATCAAACCTACGACTTCAGGTGCATAGTACGTTTTAGACGTACATTTTCTTCAGGTTAATTTATTCCCTCTAATACTAATACTATAATAGAGTCTCTACTACAACTAATAGCTTCTGGTGTGACACATAATATGATCATTTCTTATTTGTTACAACTTAGTTACGAACTTGCAAATAAAAAATATTATCACATGGGTGATGAGTCGAAAGTAGCTAGTTGATAAAATATTGCATGCATCAACATCAATTCAACGATGCTTTTTTGCGTGGTCTAGAAAAGAGACGTGCATGTGGAAGAAGGAAGGAAAACCAAGAATATTGACATTGCTTGATTGAAGAGTCTGAGACAGAGACAGCCAGCTCTTTCATTATTATTCTTTTCTGTTCTTTTTGTTTCTTCTATTAATTCTTGGTTTTCTTTCTATGTTTTTTGGGGGTGATTCTTTTCAAAGCTAAAACAGATATTCATGCTTAAATAAATATTAAAAGAAGAACAGAAAGCCCAAACCAATAAAAATAAGAGATTCTTCGATCTAAGTCCAAAATCTCTAGCTGTCATTGGATTTAGTCCACATCTTTTTTGTTGTAGATTTGGGTCCATTGACTTTTATTAATTTTTTCTTGTGTCAATTTTACCCTTTGAGGTAAATAAGAAAAGAACATGAATTAAAAATCCAAATTAATGTATCGATTCTTTCCTTCTAAATGGATTTCATATTTTAAATTTTGAATCCTTCTATTGCCGCCATAACACATATGTACCCAAAAAAAAACAAAAACATTTCGTCAAGTAAAATACTTTAACAATTAACTATTGCAATATTTACCTAATATATAGATAAAATATAATTTAAGTCATGAAAGTAATGACCCATATATTTTATCTTACAATGAAAATTAAGACCCGTAGGCAAGCACCAACATAAAACCGTACCTATTCATAAGGTTGATTTGTGAGGATTCAAGCATATGAACAAATAAAAAAAAGTTCATATAAAACAATGAAAGTAGGAGTATTATTGATGATGTCTTCCCAACAAATATTTACCTCATTACTAGGTAAATATGAGATAATATACCTAATTATTAGGTAAATATAAGATAATGTACCTAATTATTAGATAGATATAAGATAATGTACCTACTTACTGGGTAAATATAAGATAATATACCTAAATACTAGGTAAATAAAGACAGATCACAAACAACCAACATATACATGGAATTGTAGTATATGGTGTAAGCCTTTTCAGACATCCCACTCAATCTTATAGCTTTTTGCCAATCGAATAGAAGCCCCAACCTATAAGCCATTCAACCCAAAAGAATTACAACCACAAAGACCCAATATCCAACCTTATCGCTTTGCATACCTCACCTTGCAAATTATAAGCAACATGATAAATACCCAGTTAGAAAATCAATCAAACAAAGATTTTGGTTTCGAATGAAACTCACGATGTCGATTATAGAAGAGTCATAGGGTACGTGATAGCTGACTTCTTGGAGAAGTTGGAGGGCTTAATGAGAAAAGAATTTGGCTCCACTGACTTGTTGGTGAAAGTTGCAAAGATTGTGGCTGTGAGAGAGTCCGAATTGGTTTAGGGTAGACAATATCATAATTATTATCATAAAAGTTAATTACCTTATTTAATTTTTAGGGGCATGATGGGAATAATTAAGTAATTTTAAAATGAAAAAAATAAATATTTAAATATCAAAAAATAAAAAAGGAATGTAATCATACGTGGCACAAAAGTCAAAGAACTTATATCAACAACAACAACTACGAGAATGTCATCCAAATTCTATTTTCGATTTTGGACTTATACCGAATTTTTTATAAAAATAAAATGAAGAAAATAAAGCCATATGATGAACAGATCCAACAAGAAATTGAATGAACGAATCCCACCTGATATCACTACTTTACATTAATCTGTATTTCTATGCCTTACAATTTTCTGTACACACCAACACGATCGAGACCTCCAGCTCTAGCTCTAGCTCTGTGCACTTTGTTTCACACAAAGAAAAGAAAAAAACTAACATTAATTCCAAAATCAATAGTTCAAGTTTGCCACAACATTCTGTAGCCGTCATTGTTGGACGTGGGAGACCCAAACCATCTCTGCGTCAACATCTTCAACCGCTCATCTCTAACCTCACAGAACATGTCAGCCCACCCTTTGGGCTCCACCGGCTCAAACCCTAATCCTGGTGTCCTGTCCTTGGACTTGGGGTTCAGCGCCTGCGTCCAATCCACCACATACGCAGACACCCGTCTTCGAAACTTTGTCCGAAACTCCGGCCACGCCTGGTACTTGTAGTGGTTCACCACCCCCTCCTCCATGCTTAACTTCCTTGATCTGTACCCTTTCTTCATCTCAAAATGATGTATCATGTTTAGCAACGAATAATCCACTGCGTCCAGTAGCACCATAGATTTGTGCCTCTGCTCGAACCGCCTCCGGCACGTGTACCCCTGAGTCACGCCTTCCGCCGGGTGCGTTTTCCTATTCGACGGTCCAAAATCGTTGCAATTGATGGAAACCTGACCAACGGCAACATATTTATTATTATTTTCCCGATTATTGTGTTCGGGTAACAAAGATTTGATCATGTGCTTGGAGGGTTGGACCGAGTGAGCCCATGAATATGGCGCGAACACAAACTCGTCGACGTCAATGTACAACACCCACTTGCACAAATGCTTGGCGTATATGGCGCTGTGTGAGAAGCCGGCTTCTTGGGTCTTCGGCCAAACCCAAAACAGCGTCGTTATGTTGTAGCCCTCCTGCTGCAGCCCCAAAACGACACTCTCCAGATTGTCGTCGCTGTCGTTGTCGTACAGGATGAAGTAGTCGACTCCGATTTTGGAATGGTAAATCACCCACTCCCTCAGGAACTTTGCCACGTTGTAAACCATTGTACACGCGCACACATCGTGATCCGGATCAGGCTTCGACGACGTCGTTTGTGTGGTCGTCAGTCTAGTCCTAGGCCGAGGGCGAGTGTAATAGGCAACGGATGGGAGCACCACATGTCCGTCAACGATCTCTAGTGAGATTTTGAATTTGGTCACATCTTGACGACGTCGTTCCTGCTGCTGCTGCTGCTGCTGCTCGTTATAGTAGATGGTGTCTTCTAACTCCATTAAGTTCGGGTGCTGGCACCTGAACACCTCTTGCGTCGAGCTCGTAACCGCGGTTTTCAGGGAGTTCTTGTCGCTGTCGCCAAACACGCACCTGAACTCGCTCGGAGGTCTGTTGACGCCCTGACGGTGGTTCAGCCCCTTGACGAACACGACGACGTCGTTTTCGGTGGAAATTGACTCGTAGACGAGAAAGTTCCACCGGATCAGCTCAGGGGAACCTGGACCCGGGGCCCGCGCGTCCTTCTCCTCGCTCCTCTCCAGCACCGGCTGATAAAACGGCCGGAGATGCTTCACACTCTTGGGCATCGGACATGTGAGGGTCGTCCGGTTGGAAAACGGCAGCGTTTTGGAGAATCTGACCGGCGAAGTGTCGTTGTTCTGGAAGAGGCAGACGTAGGTGTCGTTGGCGGCCGAGATCGGAGTATGCGGCGAGACGACGACGAGGAGCTCCCAGTCGGGAAAGAGAATGGAGACGGTGGAGATGGCCGAGTGGTTGATGATGATGGAGGAGACGTGGAGGGCGCGATGAGTGGCGGGAAGCTGAGGGTTGTGATTATCGTTGTGGAAGATTGCGTAGTTGATGTTGATGTTGTCGATGGCGATTGGGAAGTGTTGGATTAATTGAGTGGTGCGGGAGAGGTGGAGAGAGAAGAAGGCGAAGAGGAAGAGGGAGGCAAAGGCGAAGAAGAGTAAAGCGGGGAGTGTAGGGCGCATGGCTTCTTGGAGGCAAAGGGAGAGAGACAGAAACGAAGGAGGCCGAGAAGAAGAAGAAGAAGGTGGAGACGGCGAGAGCACCTGCAATTCCTTTATATGATGGGTCATCGTCGATTGAGATTCGATTCGAATGAGAAATGTTTTTATATTTTCTTAATTTTGGGGGAAATATCTGGGTTTGAGAGAGAGAGAGAGAGAGAGAGAGAGAGAGAGAGAGTGAGAATGGAAATGGTGTTTGGGTTTTATTTATTTACAAGAAGAGGTCAAATTCTGGTGGGACAAGGATTCCTAGTTGGGTTAGGAAATCTAATACAGGCGGCTTCTTCTTTTCTACCACTTGTACTAATTCCTTCTGTCTTGATACTACGTCGTTTTCTTATCTACTAATACACATCTTGTAAGGTAGATTTGAGGCCCTTTATCTTGCCACTTGTTATGACTTTTTTATTTATCAATCCATTGTTATGACGTAAGACGCAAAATTTATTCAATACACAAAAGTTGGTCAATTTAGTGCCCCCTTGAACTTTTGCTTTCGTGTCAATTAATCCCCTCCAAAACTTGTAATTTCAACACCAACAATGCTTGGTGTTACAACCAGTAATGATATTGTTACACGTGTCATTGTTTTCAAAATTTTAGATGGAATGTTTGAGTGGTGTTGTTTGTTAGAGTTATATATGTTAAAATAGAATGAGTGTCTCGTGTCGTTGCATGTTTAACAAATGTAATCAAAATAACTTACACAAGCATATTTCACCGTATTAATGGTGGAGGATTTGAATACATGACTTCGGGTGTTTGAATAATTACCATTAAAAATCTGAGCTACGGATACCTTGAAACCCTATATTATTAAGTTTGTACTAAATAAATCTTTCGCTGATAATTCGTCTTTCTTTCTCGGCAAAATCTTCTTTTATTGATCTTCATTAAATAAATCATGCATTAAAAAATTGAAACACAAATGGAGAGCTCCCTATCATCAGGTACATCAGTGAGATTCATTAATGTATAGTGGTGGAATTCATGTTCTATCTCAATGAAAGAAGAAGAAAAAAAGCAGGCTTCACTGCTGGCCTTAATTTGGAATCTCCCCTTTTTTTCTTTTTTCGCTTTTCCATTTCAATGATGAATTCGTCATTTATGTCTCTTTTAATATTTCTGAAATTCCGGATTCCTTTAATATTTCTGGGGCAAGTTGCTTAGAAAGTAACACAATTGAGGTCCAATTTTTACCCCAGAAACTGCCTAATATTTCCTTGCTTGTGAGGATAAAATCATACTTTCGATGAGATGAACATATTGATTATGACTTGATTATTTTCAACAAATTTGTTTTTCATCGTCGACCTCCTGATCCAGTGGTCCCCACTAACTTTTGATAAAAGATAGAAGAAAAAAAACTATTATTTGTCCAACTACAATGAATAATTGCTTGTCGAAGAGTATACAAATGAGCACAAAATTAAACAATACAAATAACTTTCTTTGTTTTTGCCCTCCACAGACTCAATAAGGGAGTGAAATGAATCAATTTATGAAAAGAGGAAAAAGGCGAATCACATATATGAATTGCGTTAATGTCGAGTTATTCGCCTACAATTTTCGGGCCACGGTTGATTCGTAATCTTCAATATGAATTAAAAAAAATGATGCTCTAAATTAAAACAAAATTTCTGGTCAACTGTACAATTGTATGGAGGACTAAGCTGCAAGGCAGGGATAGTGAGAGTAGAGAAGCGTGGAGCATGGCTTTACAGCCAACACTTCGCACATTCTCTAAGTACAAAGACAAAGGTTGTGCTTCAACCGCACACAAAGTACTTCTTCATTCATTTCTCAAGTTTTATGTCATTTTGTCCTTTAATTGCTCCAAAAGTTAACTCACTTGTAGCTTTATCCAGTTTTGTAAAGTACTATACTATTTTTCCGATATGAAAGTTAATTGGATAATCGAAGAAGACACAAACTAACTTACTAATCAAACTCCTTCTGTCTCAACATGGAACACACTCCTTTTGTTTTCCAATTGTTTTTGTCTGCATGACAAAATTATATTATCTGATTCTGATGCTGCTTTAATTTTTGAAGGGTTACTTTTTTCTTTTTAATACAAATGGAAGAAGGGAGTTCGAACGCATGACCTTTGAGTGTAAGGATAATTATTTTTGACCATCAGTTGAGCTACGTGTCCCTTACTTTCCACCGTACAATCTGCCTAATGCCTAAATTAATTATCGAGTGCCAAAGCTAATCTCACATTCCGAAGAATATTTGCCCACTCACAAACTGAGACTTTTATAATCCATTCAACAAATCTACAAGTCTTTCAGCCGTTTTTTTAGGGGGAAATTGTTTATATATTATTCAAGTTTGAAGATGGCATTTGATTTTGTGCCATTTAATAATGATAATTGGACGCCATGCAACCATTAATATCTGATTTTTAACTAAAAGAAATGACCGATGAGTGCTGCTAATCCATTGGCTTTATCTGGCAGTATTTCCGGGGCAGGGGCATTTTTTTCAATGAAAAGCCAAACGTGCAAGACACTACACACGACATCGTAAAATAGCCTAGTGATAGTGAGTGACCTATAAATGAATACAAAAATCATTTTGGAAGACTAATTTATTACACTAATTTTTGGACACCAATTTATGTGTCAATGTCTTATTTGTCGTGAATAAATAAAGTCTAAAACAACACAAATATAAAATAAATGAAACGGTACCATATTTTTTATAAACAAAAATTAGTGTCTAGTATCACTATTTAATATTTTGGAACATCTCTACCAACTCCAGGCTCTAGTCCAAAGCGATTATCTAGTTTTATTTTTTGTTCACACTATAACTATCATAAGAAAAATAATTAATGTCAATATTAATGTTAACAACAATACTAATGTAAAAGATAATGTCCTTTAGCAATAGTCTTCTTCACGTTGAATGATTTGATTTTGTAGATTTTGCTATGTTCTGGGGATAATCTTTTATAGAGAGAGACGTGACATACAATATCAAGACTCAAAGCCAACCATACATTATGCATAATACTTCATAAACAATAAAAATAAGTCATCAATTATGCATATAAAGGCTTAATTACTGTAATGCCCCCTGAAACTGTGGTCAAATCTCACTTTATCCCTTGAAAGTTAAATTGACCCACTTTACCCTCTTGACCAAGGTTTCCTATTTCGCTTTACCCCCTACCGTTAACTCCATCTATAAGTCTGTTAAAATTGTTGATCTGGCAAAATAGAGCCCACCACCATCATAGACCCAAAAAACAAATTCAATTATCTTTAAATAATTTAAACATCAATTATACAAATATAATTATACAACATAAAATTTATAAATTAATTAATTAATTAATTAAAAAAGAAAAACCAGCCTCAATTTTATTTCCTAGAAACACCAAAGCCTCTCTATGCTTGTGTCTCTTTGTCAACAACCCCAGTGCAGCTCCCAACACCCTAGCCACCATCATCCACCAAACCACCCTCCCAAATCTCCGCCTCGTACCCTCCCCAACTGGATCTTGTCGCTACCTACAACGAACAGCTCCAATAGCACAAACTTCCCACAACCACTCTCACCGGCACACCCATACAACAAAAAGAGACATAGATGGTGGTGTTACCAAGCACTGAGATCGAAATTTTGGGGAGTTGAGTTTCTTGATAAATTTTGGTGAGACAGAGAGGAATAGAGACACAGAGGACCACCACCACCATCCCTTCAACCCAACTCAATGCTCCCCTCTCCCCTCCCTCAATTATTTTTGCACCTTTCATTCCTTCATTCCTCTTGGAAATTTTTTACTTGGTTTTTCCTTTGTGTGGGTGGGATATGGGTGGGAGGATTGGGGTGGCTAGAGGAGAGGTTGGGGGTTGGAGTAGGGTATTTTTTATTTTCAATTTCATTTTACTTTATTTATTATGTTATATAATTGATATTTTAAATGTTTTAAATTATTTAAAGGTAAATGAATTTTTATTAATTTTTGGTCCATGGAGTGTACGTTCTACCTTGTCACATCACCTTGGTCAAGGGGGTATAGTAGGTCACTTTGACTTTCGGGAGGTAAAGTGAGATTTGACCAAAGTTTCAGGGAGCACTTCAATAAAGAAGCCTGCATATAGATGATGACTGTAGTCTCATATATAAATAGTAGGGCTCAAGCGCTAACAAATTAATAAGTTAATACGATACTTAGCATTCCTTTGGGTTCAAATGACATTAAAATATGATGATATGAATAGTTTATTTTCAAGTCATCATCCTTGCAAGGATTCATCCAAATCGGAAAATCATTTCACTATTTGATTACTGTCTTGAACATTTTATTGTTTATTAATTTCATCATGATAAGATAATAAAATGCTTTTCGATTTAACTAAATTTTTGTAAGAAGAATCTTTTAGTGATGACCTAAAATATCATCGAGTTAGATCGAGGGATGCAAAATAATGTGAGACCAAACAAGTGGTTAGTGTAAAAAAAAAAAACTCATTAACTTGTTTTTTATTTTTTTATTTTTATTTTTAAAAAGGGGGACAGCTGGTGGCAAGCCATGGCCATCCACCCTTTCCGGGACCCGGAGAGGCTATAGGGAATTTCACCCCGTCCCTGGCCCTCATTAACTTGTTAGAGTTTGATGCCAACCAGTTCTGCTATGAATTAAATAAGGGGGACTAGTTTTGATAAATTTATGGTCTTACTAGAAGGTTTATTGTTGTCTCAACCCATCAAATATAAGAGCAATGCCAATAGGGGCTTTAAATCATTAGTGGATGTTGGGCCTTCAGTTCATCCAATTTCGTGTAGCGAGTCTTTATATTGAGGAGAGCTTTTGACGTGTAGAATACTGGATGTTGGGCCCCTAGTTCTTCTCGAATGAGAGTTGAGCTAACGGCTGAGCTGAATATTGCCAGGTACACAAACAAGTTTTCACCAAGAACTGGTTTTGAGAGCATGAGAGGTGAAGTGAGGTAAGTCTTCAAATTCTAGAAAGTTACTTTGCACTACTCGTCCCACTTGTCTTTTTGTCATTTCTTCAAAGTTTTGAAAAATGGTCTACACGTGTTGGTAGACCTCAAGATGAATCAGTTGAGGACCACTACTCTACCCGTCAGACTTTGTATTTCCTTCATTGTTGAAGTGATATCATATTAAGAATGACGTTGATTTGGCATGGGTGTGCCTCGATACCTCGTTGAGTGACTAGGTATCCTAAGAATCGGCCGAACGATATACGGAACATGCATTTACTTGGGTTTAGCTTCATGTGATACTATCGGAGCATGCTGAATGCTTCGGCAAGGTTCATAATGTGGTTTGAGCATTGAAGGGCATTGACTAGCATGTTGCCTACGTAAATCTCCATAGTTTTGCTGATATGCTATTTGAAAATTTTATTCACTAGCTCTGGTAGGTTGCTCCGGCGTTCTTCAGCCTAAATAGCGTGACTTTGTAGCAGCCGGTTCCTCTCTCGATGATAAAAGAGGTATTCGTCTTGTCATCCTCATGCATCAGGATTTAACGCCGAAGTAGGAGTCCATGAAGCTGAGCAGTTGATTGCCGGAAGTTGAACCTACAAGTTGGTCGATCCTCGGCAACAGGAAGTTGTCTTTAGGGCATGCTTTGTTAAGGTCGATGTAATTGACGCAAACTCTGCATTTGCCCTTTTCTTACTCTACTTCTATAACAACGTTAGCTAGCCATTATGAGTAGGAGACCTCTTCAATGAAGCCAGTAGCTAGAAGCTTGTCAATCTCAGCTTCAATGATCGCGACTCGCTATGGAGTGAAGTTGCGTATTTTCTGTGCCATTAGTTTGCTGGCGGGGTTGACATGGACCCAGTGGCAAATGATGTTCGGGTCGATGCCAGGCATGTAAGATGGAGACCATGCGAACATGTCCTTGTTATTTTGAAGGAAGGTGGTCAGCTCTATCTTCTCATTTGAGCTTAGGCACGAGCCAATCCCCACTTTTCTGTATGGCTAGTCTAGGTCAAAAGGTATTAATTGAACGTCTTTCTTAAGCTTCCAACCTTCTTCAGGAGAACCTTTCGGATGGATTCCCTCGTATTTAAAAGGATTCATCGGACTTCTTGCATAGATTGAACAAGTGATTAAGGTTCTTCTTGATCATTCGATAAGAAGTGTACTCCTTGGTGAAGACAAAAGCTAGCTCATTAAAGCTGCTGATCAACCGGATGGCAGGGTGTGGAACAAGTCATGGGATGCTCCTTGCAAGGTTATTACAAACACCTTGCACATTAGCGCGTCTTCAGCCTTATAGAGAGTCATAACTCTTAAAATGCTTTAGGGAGCTCTCGAGATTGGAATCCCTTTTGAAGTGTGCGAAACAAGGTGTTAAGAATCGCTTTAAGGGAGCAACCTGCTTGATTTTGGTGATGAATGGTGAGGAGTTTGCTTGGTCCATCTCCCTGCGCAGAAAATCTTCTAAATCTCTCCAATCTTCAAGTCTCGAAGCCTGTTATTCACAAGTTTCTCGACATGTTCTGCGTGCAAGGCCTTCAGGATTTAGGCAGCACTGATTGACTTCTTCGTTGACTTGCAAAGGCTGACCGCGTTGGCTGTCCTGCCTTTATGAGGTATTAGTGGACTGTTTTTGCAAGGGATTCCTTGTGGCTTGTCGACTAGAATTGGTTCTTCATGAGTGAACTACGAAGCTCCTTTTTTCGTGAACCTCATTGTGAGGGTCGTTAGGTTGACCTTCCTGAGGGCCTAGCCTCTCATGAACATTTCCATGTGGACCAGGTGAGCACGAATGCCAGGTTACTGACCCAGCCTTTCATGCATGTTGGTCCTTGAACTTAACCTTGATTGGAGACTTTGTCTGCTTTGGGCGTGGTTTATGAATTCTTGTGACATGCCAGCATGGTGATTACACTCTTGTCCTTCTCCTTGTATGCCTGCTCTTGCTCAATTTGCTTAGGACCTCTCGAACTGCTGGCATGTGGGTTCGTCCATCATTCTCTCTTCACCCTGTGGTCCAAGGCCAAGGTTTCGGACCAAGTCTATTTGGTTAAGGAGCTACCTTACCAAGTCATTTTGGTATTCCATTATCTAGGTCAACTGGTTGACTCTAAGGCTAAGGTTTTTTTTACTTTGTGGACAAAGAGGAAAGAATTGTGTGGAGCCCAAATGCACACGGGTTAGAGTTTCATTTAGAGGTGTACACTAATGCGTATGTCAAACGTGGAGGCAAAGGAGGGAACAAACGCATTTGCTCCAAGATTGAGCCGAAGTCAATGGCAGCGCCAAGTTGGTCACGGGCGGCGACGTAGTGGTGGAAAGTACGAATCCGGCCACGAGGCCAAGTTGGTGGCAGCTGCTAGACCCGGTGGCATAATCGCATGTTTGCAAGGGCATGGCAGTGACCATACTCTGTGGCTGCAAAGGCGCTGCAGCTGTCTGTTCCTGTAGCAAAGCCATGGTTTCGACTGTGGGATCCGATGTGGGTGTAGTGCTTGCAACAAGATGGCTGAGAGGTAGCGCAGTGGTGCTTTCGGTCATGGGATCGAGAGGAGGAGCAACAGCGACTACAACACCGGGAGGCCAATTCACGGCTTCAACCGTAGCGTTTGGTGGCTTCCTTGAGGCCGCGCCGTCGTGGTGGCCATAGGGGAAACCACCCAAGCCACCGAAACACAAAGGCAATCCCCGAACAAAGTAGATCCAAAATAGGAGCAAAACAACGAAACCACCCACACCCAACCACACACTCCCTGCAAAATAAAAGAAAATTCCAAAGTCACAACAAAAGAAAAGGGTGAGGAGGAAAAGTCAAGGAGGGAGGGAAAAAAAGGACAGGAAACAAAGGAAGGAAAGGAGAGAGGGCCGAGAGAAGAGGGGAGGGGAAAGACAGAGGTAGGGGAAAAGGGGAGGGCAAAAGGAGGTCTCACCCCCCTCTCCCCCTTTTCAAAAGGAGGGCGGCAGCTAAGTCTCCAAGCCTTGGGCTTTCTTTCCCAATGAGAGAGAAGGGCTAGATAAAAAAAGGAGGAAGATTTTTAGAGTTAAATTGCATTTTGGTTGGACGTGAAAAATTTTGACTTAGACAAGGTGACCTTGGGTTGACTCACATCCCATTTCATTGGATAGTCATTATTTGAGAGAGTGAAATCCAATTCCAATTCCAATAATCTTTTTGGTTTTTTTTAGTCATTGTTTAATCTAAAAAATCCCTTTCATTCAAGTTCAAATTTTAGTGAGAACCACATAACATAAACAATATGAACTTGTTAATTAATATTCAGCCTTAATTCTTCCCTTTGATATCTTCGCCATAGAGTTAGTTAACATGAAAAAAACATAAAGTACTTTCTAGTCAATATGAAGTACTAGAAGAATATATTTCCAATGCAATTTTGATCCTAAAAAAGAAACAAACAAAAAAGTTCCACTCAGAAGGTGACAAATTAGATGTCACAACAAGTGTAAGCGGATGCAACCCGAAAGCATTTGAAAACTCGAGTATCATTTTCTTATTCTACTTCCAGTATCATTTTCTTATTCTACTTCTTCTATTTTTTCAGTCTAAATCAGAATCATCAAGATTCACAGAGGATCTCACTGTCCTGAGGTATCATTTTCTTATTATTTTTTCAGTCTGAATCAGAATCATCAAGATTCATAGAGGATCTCACTGTCCTGCGACTACCTTCATGATATCCATCATCTTCCCCTTTCTTCTCACTAATTATACCTGCTAAAATGGCAATTTAGGCCATCTCCAAGAGGCTAAACCTTAAATATCCCAAATTATTGCCCAAAATCTCCCCCAACCCAAGAAAATAAAAGGACTAAAATTCGGGAATACCCAAATTTGGACCCAAATACCAGTCCAAATATTGTTTGGACCCAAAACTATTCAGTGTAGCCCACCAACAGATGGCACAGCCCATGTGCATAAAAAAAGACAGTGGGGCCCACGTTGGGGCCAGCGCTGTGGCTTTGTCTGCTGGCCCATCCCACGTGTCTACTCCTGGTCAAGTGGTTGTTGCAATTCAAAATGTTTTTTTTTAAATAAAATAAAAAATCTAATAGTAACTTTAAAAAAGAGATTGGCCCACACTGCTAGCTTTATTCCAGCTTAAAGTGACCATTGCAATTCAAATATCCTTTTTTTTTAAAAAAAAAATTCTTATATTAACTTTAAATCAACGATCTACATTAAAAAGCTATTTTAACGATTAAAAAAAAAGATCCAACGGCTGCAATTTAAATCCAACGGTCAAAATAATATTTTAAATTAATCCAAATCAGATTCTCAATTTATGTTTCCTTTGTCAGTTTCATCAATCTCCTTTTATTCTCATACTTTTAATATCATTTCAAGCACATCATCTTCTTCATTCTCATACTTTTCATATCATTTGAAGCTTTCAATGGACAACCATGGCTAGGCCATTTTTTCCTCCATGTTTGATGATGATTCAGATGATGAAGAACATCATTAGAGAGTGATACAAGCCATTGTCCACCATACTTCACTGGGGAATGAAGCCACCAAACATGGTGGGTTGGTAGTCAGTCGTGAGTATAAGAACCGTGAAAGGGAAGATCGACATCGCAATCTCATGTCCGACTACTTCGTTGAAAGGCCACATTTTAATACTATGGACTTTCGTAGGCGGTTTCAAATGCGGAAAGAGTTGTTTTATTGCATCTTGAATGATGTTGTCAACCACGAGCCATACTTTCGCCAGAAAAAAGACAGGCTCGGCCGACAAGGGCTATCCCTTGAGCAAAAGTTAACTATTGTCTTCCATATGCTCGCATGGGGATGCTCAACTGACGCGATCGACGAGTACTTTAGATTGGGTGAAAGCAAATCTCTTGAGTCACTCCGTAAGTTTTGCTGCGCTGTTAAAGCCATGTATGGCCAATGGTACCTCAAGTCTCCAAATCCAGCTGACCTTTACAAGCTATTGCACAAGGCAAGCAGTCGAAGCTTCCCAGGCATGTTAGAAAGTCTTGACTGCATGCACTGGGAATGGAAGAACTGCCCATCTTCTTAGGCAGGCCAGTTTACCAATCACAAAAAATAACTCACTATTGTGCTAGAAGCCGTGGCCTCATATGAGACATGGATATGGCATACCTTTTTTGGAGTTGCTGGATCCAACAATGATATCAACATTTTAGCTCGTTCTCCATTGTTCAATGATGTGGTACATGGAGTGGCTCCTTATGTTCAATATATTGTCTATGGAAATCAATACCATTTGGGCTACTATTTGGCAGATGGGATCCACCCCCCTTGGGCTACTTTGGCGAACACCATCTCTTCTCTGAAGAAGAGGCTTTTTGCACAAATGCAAGAAGCGTACAAAAAGAATGTTGAAAGAGCATTTGGAATACTACAGGCTCGATGGGCCAATGTTTGGGGCCCTACATTTATAAAGTTTGGAGTGAGTTTTGGTGTTAGATATGATTTGGATTAATTTAAAACATCATTTTGACCATTGGATTTAAATTTCAACCGTTGGATCTTTTTTCTTTTTTTTTTTACTGTTAAAATAGCTTAGATTTAATCTAGATCGTTGATTTAAAATTACTATTAGAATTTCAAAAAATAAGGAAATTTGAACTGCAACGGTCACTTTAAGTTGGAATAAAGCCAGCAGCGTGGGCCAGTCTTTTCTTTAAAGTTACTATTAGATTTAAAACAAATAAAAAATAAAAGACATTTGAATTGCAACGGCCACTTGACTAAGAGCAAACATATGGGATGGGCCAGCAGACAAAGCTACTAGAGCTGGCCCCATTGTCTTTTCTTTTGCACATGGGCTATGTTATCTGTTGGTGAGCTCCACTGAATAGTTTTTGGCCCAGGCAATACTTGAACTGGTATTTGGATCCAAATTTGGGTTTTCCCAAATTTTAGCTCCTTTACTTTCTTGGGTTGGGAGAGGTTTTGGGCAATAATTTAAGATATTTTAGGTTTAGCCTCTTGGGTTAGAGATGGCCCTAGAGACTCTACAACAAATTAAGAATTGCAAAACACTCTTGTCAAAGCATTTACCTTTCTTGATTAGTACAACCTCAAGTGCTCTTGTGCTGAAATCATCTTTTCCTCCCATAGCGTTAAATCCAACCAACCAACCTATCCACAACAACTCCTTTTTTGAAATGGCAAACCTTTCGAATTCGTAAATATGAATTCTAATGCAAGATCTCAATGTAAGCTGAAAGCAGCATGAACATCACCACCACATGCTCTTAAGGCATGTTAATACTAGTGTTTTCAAAGGCATGCGTAGGCGAGCCTCAAAGTGCACGTCAGAGCGAGGCAGGAGCAAATCGCCTCAGGCGTTCCCTTGTTTAGCTGTTTGCACACTTGGCACGTGCATCGACAAGAAGGCGTAGGAAGGCATGCGCTCTACCATGTAAGTCGTGAGCTGCATGAGGAATTTGGGCTACCTTTGGGTTTTAATGAAGCTATGTGTTTTGGGTGTTGTTTTAGACTTTTTTGTTTTTTGTGTTTTCCAAAAGTTATTATTTGGCTTAACAAATCATTTCTCACTCCTACCCAGTACAATCAAACAGACCTAAACCCAAATTCATTCTTCTCAGCTGCATATCTAATCAACTCTAACCTTCCTCTCTATTTAGGAAACAGCCTCCCTCTCAATTGTATGACCAATTGAGTTTTAAGATTGACTATTATAATTATTACTTATATTTATTTATATTTGATTGATTATTAAGCTTCAATGTAAACTAATGGTTCAGTTTAATTATATTGTATTATTTATCAATGTCTTATAAAAATAATTCATGTCTCAAAAGGCTTGCGCCTCACCTTACAAGACCCAAAATGCCTTGCATCTACACCTCGCCTTTCAAAACATTAGTTAATACACAAGTTACCAAGTGTGAATGTTCAAATTATTGTGATCTTAGTACAGTTCCAGCTTTCTTTGCTCTCCTGGCTTTTTGTTTAAGAGCCACCACATGCTGATTAGCATCTTAAATACTGGAAATGGGGAGGAATATAGATATAATAGTTATGATGGAGATGGCCTGACCTTAGGATTATGACACAAGGCAAAGTTTTGACTCCTAACTTGGTGACGAAGAACGGCGCATTCTGCATTTCATTTTCAAATCGTCAATTCCCCATTCTAAAGCTTGCCAACTAAATGACTGAAATGGAATGTTGCAACAAGTAGTATCAACCCGAGCAAACGCTAAACGCGGCACCAATTATAAGAACTCAAGACCATATTGAAGTTTATACTGACCTCTGCATTCAGCTTGATGAACTTGGTATCAACATGCTTTGAAGCAAGGGTCTTCAAATGCTTATCCATTATCCTAAAAAGTATACGAAAAATTCGGTCTAATAGCTATATTTAATCACACAGAAATTTTGAAATAAGTATGCAATATCATGTTAAAAACAAAAGCCTACACAAAGATAAAATCACATGATATGGATTAGAAAAATCTAAAAAATTAAGTCGAGGCAAGTGTTGGACACTCTGACCTTAAGACGAATTACGCCCCACACAGGTGCTTATGGTTACTGGAGCTCGCCTCCCAAGATACGATGACTCCTATCCTTGTGAAAGAAACACTACAATTCACAAGGACCCTTTGACCAAGATTATGCAGGAAACTCTCTCATAGACTATAAGTGACTATACGATGACTCTGTATAGAAGTGGATATACAAAGACTGAGAAATTCTTTTTCTTTTTATTCACTACAAGAAGACTACTCAATTTATAGATGCTAAAGAGCCCTTTCCCAAGGGGCGTCCCAATCTGAAAGAAAACCAATGCATCCTTGGATAAACAGATGCATTGATACCTTTTCAGAAATCAGCAAAGGACACCATGGTCCAAGACTCTTACTAATTTCCATTCAAATAAGAAAATTAATATTAATTCAAATCAATTTTCCAACAAAAAGAACCAGGTATTCATTTTGAAACGCAATCCTTTATCCCTGTTTATGAATGTTACGGATTCTAGAGTAAGACGCTTACTTGCATCTATAGAACTCCTGGTGATAGAAGTGGCAGATGGCTTTTTCAGTCCCACTAACTTCACCTAAAAAATCCCCTTCAGTCCCTATATTCTCCATGCCCTTTCCTCTTTAAAGCTTCTCTCTTCTCAGCTTCTTTCTATTCAAATTCCAAACCAAACCCTCTAAACATAAGCACAAAACCATGAAGAATTCCACATACCCACATGAACAAACCATGAAAAAATCGAACCTTTAGAGCAGCAATCCGATCCGCATGCAATTTTTCAAGCTCAGGATCCTACCCACCACCCAGTGCACATAAAAATCATTGCTTTGAAAATTGAAAGTGCATGAAAGATGCAGAGAATTGAATTGAACTCAGAACTTACATCCATCAACTCGTCAAGGTCGACTTCCTGGTTGACAGAGCTCGTGGCCGGTGCCTTTTCATTGGCAAGCAATTCCTTCTGGTAATTGCGAGCCGCGATGACCATTACATTTCCAAAGGCTAGATTTTGGAGCGCGGATTTCACTGAAGCTGGATCCATTTTTCCTGGAAACGAAAATCCTTCAACTCTGACACTTAATTATACTGTTCTCCAAAACCGGACGCCGAACCGAAGCCCTCGGTGGAGGATTTTCCAGCACTGATGCCGAACCAATACCTTCAATTATTGAAGCCCTGACGAAAGTTTCGGTGTGTGGTTTGGTTTCTGTTTTCACGCGGAGGCCTCTCTTGGCTTTGACCGGATCTGGCGACGTAAGAAGAAGGAGAAAGGAGGAAGAGGAAGAAGAAGCAGAAGAAGTAGAGAAGGAGATGAGGGAAGACGAAGAAAAGGAGAGATGACTGAGAGAGAAGAAAATGAGGGAAGAAGACGATGGCATCCTTCTTTTCAATCTTAAAGTACAGTGAGAGTGAGAGTGAGAGTGAGAGTGGAAAATTCAGGGTGTATTTAATTGAAATTTTAAAAAAATATTCAAGGATAAAAGAATTCAGTAAATTTAATCAGAATGTAATTAATTATTTATAGAAAAATACAGAGAATTGTAAAATATTTAAAATACTAGAAAAATGTCATTGATTAACACGAATATTAAGAATTGAAATTATTAATTAAATGAGGATAATATGATAAATTCATAATTTTTCATGTTTAAAAAAATTAAAAGAAAAATCAGAAAATGGATCATATTTTTATGAAACATAACTACCCAGTATCTTTTTTAATTCTAAAATAAATTTAAATTTTTTCAAAAAAACCCTCTCCCACAGGCAGAAGCACGTGCGAAGAGGTCAATATCTATAAAGGTTAAACTAATGCAACTAGGATGGTTTTTTTTCTTAATTGTTTATTAAATAGTATAGCCGGACGACTATACCCGATTTTTTAAATTTTCTATAAAGAAATAGTATCGCCGGGCGGCTATACTCGGTTTTTAAAATTTTTTTTTAAAGAAATAGTATCGCCGCGGCTATACTCCGTTTCTTTTAAGGAAATATCGATTTTTCTTTTCTTATTTTAAATAAAGAAATAGTATAGTCGCGCAGCTATGCTTGGTTTTTAAATACTGTTCTAAGAAATCATATAGGCGCACGGCTATAACCACTTTTATCAAATTTGTTTTTACGGAAATAGTATAGCCGCTCGGCTATATTGGGGTTTTCCAATTTTTTTTAAAAAGAAATAGTATAGCCTCGTGGTTTTAAAGAAATATTGGTTTTTCTAACGTTTTTACAAATGAAATAATATAGCTGCGCAAAGACACTCTTTTTTTTTCTTTTTCTTTTTAAAATTTATTTAAAGAAATATAGGCTTTTCTAATTTGTTTTAAAGAAATAGTACAAACGTGCAGTTATACTCGGATTTTCTATTTTTTTTTCAAAGAAATAGTATAGCCGTGTTTTGTATACATCTTAAAAACTCGGTAAAATTCACAGTTTTGAAAAAGCAAACATTCAAATCTCGTATTGAACATGTACATGCGTATTTTTTTTCATGTTTACTACACGTATTTTTTACAATATTTTCAATAATACTAGATAAATTCACGTATTATACACATAATTCTCACATATTATTGAATACAAATAATCTATATATATAAAGCAAAATGCAGAGAATGGTGAAACATTCAAAATACCATAAAATGTCATTGGTTAATGCAAACATTAAAAATTAAAATTATTAATTAAATGAGGATAATATTGTAATTCACACTTTTTATATTAAAAATTAAAATTAAAAGAAAAATCAGATAATGAATCTTATTTTCATGTAACACAACTACTCATTATCTTTTTTAATTCTAAAATAAATTTAATTTTTTTTATTTAAAAACAAAAACAAAAAAACAAAAAAAGGCTCTTACAAGCGCGGAAGCGCGTGTGGAGAGGCTAGTAGACTATTATTGATGAATTTTTATAATCAAGATTTTGTTGTAAATGCATGGAATGTGGATGACCACCATAATATCCATTACCTCCATCCTTAATTGCTTTGTAACCTATGCCCTTATTATTGTAATTAGTAGCTATAAATTGTGGGTTAAATACCTCTATTGTAAGCCTATAAATAGGCACTTATCAAAGATGAATATGATATGTTGATACAAGGTCATAGAATAAATTCTATGTATTTCTCTTCCTCTTATTGTTGTCTACAATTCCCCTTAGTTTTATAACACGTTATCAGCACGACTTTGCTCTCGGTATGTTTTCTTTCTATGAATTTTCATTCTTCTTATTTGAGCTAGAGTCATCACATGGTATAGAGTTTCTTTGTACTCACCATCAAACTTCATCATGCTCGTTTAAGGAAAAAAAATTCTTATTCTTATTACACATGAATATAATGCCATGTTTTTATTATTATTTCTTTGTTTATTTAATTTTAAATATGATCTTAATTATTATGATGAGTTTGTATTATACAAAAGATCAGGGCCCGAAGTTCCTCGATCCTCATCATATAACTAGATTAAGACCTAGAGTTCTTTTGATTGAATCAGAACTTGAAGTTCTTTGATTCCAAATAATTGAGGGCGTGAAGTTCCGCAAATTTAAAGAGCACATAAGGACATGATACTCCTTGATTTTGTATTAATCAAAATCATAATTCTATGAGGCCTACATATGTCAAGAACCCGAACCAGAAGTTTCGAGTATATATACATTGATTTGAGTATGAAGTTCAAAGCACAACTATTAATTCCATTGATTTAGATCTACGTATTTGAACCTTGAAGTTTTGAATATATATTGATATGAACCTAAAGTTCATAGTTTTTCATGGATCTTAATACTATATATGAATATGAAGTTCATTACTTATTTGTGCATATATGAACTTGAATTGGTTGGAAATCCAATTCTTAAACTTGTAGTTTTATCTACATATTGAATCCACATTAATATTGGATTATCTTGGAATTTCGTAATCTTTAATTTATTTAATTTTATTCCTCGTTTATACCACTTTACTCATTTTATTTTATTTTATTTATGTTGGGTTATTAGTTAATTTCGTTTTACAATGGTAATGTTTTGTATTACTGCTCCAATATTGACAGCCAGAGGCGTCTATTGGAGAAACTTCCTACGTTCTTTGTGAGTAGGAAGTTTATGATGCCATGAACCAAAAGTTCATGAGGCCCCAATATTACACAACTATTAAAACAGTTGAAAATTATGATATCATGAACCAGAAGTTCATTGACCGGATAACTTTTATGTTGTGGCATGACTATCTTGGCAATCCATGTTCCACAATGATACATAAGATTTTTATAAATTTGTAAGGACATCGTTTAAAGACTCAAAATAGTCTTGTCCAACAAATATCATTACAAGGAATGCTCACAAATAAAAGCTGTCATAAGATCATCTCAGTCAAAAATTGACTTTGAGCCCTCTTTCCTGAAATAATTCAAAGGGATATTTGTGAGCCTATGCAACATTTAATTATGGATCACTTCACCAGTTTTATTGAATGTGCCTACTAAAATGGTTACATATTTGTCTCTTGTCAAGACGCTTACGAGAACTACTCCCACATTATCCAATCCAGTATGGTGAGTTTATTTTCCTACATTTTGAGACAATTTTCCCCCCGATAGGGGGAGAAATGACAGTTCCTAAAGAACGTCGTGAAATAATGTTAAATCAGTCTGCTTTTGTCTCATCAAGATAATGCATAAATAAAGTTATGAATATGCAAACATGGATTGATATTCTCGTATTACAATCCATTAACATGGTGACTATATATATAATGCATGTCTGGAGCATGACAGAAATATAGGTTCTAAAGACTTAACTCCTCAGAAGTGGAGATTATTTAAAAAATTCAAGCCCTATAAAAAATAACGCTCTATATGAGGTTATGATCCACATATTCTAATTAATTCATCGCAAAAGAGATGTTTGTCCCATAAGTGACAACATCAGCCCCTGAAGAGGCATTGGTACCCCAAAGCAATGAGATGCTTATAAATTATGCATGCGCGTGCACATGAGAATTGTGTGATCACGAATTGATGATACATTTGGTTTATTAGTAGCTACTACAATCATCAAAGGCTATGATTATATTAAATCGCCTTATGAATGTCGACAAGTTAAGTGATTGGCCAAAATAGAAATAGGCAATTCCATTTATCACTAAATATGAGTGTGGGATATTGAACTTATAGCTCAAACACCAAATTACAAATGTTAAGTATGAAGGTTACGAATTGGTGTTTGTGAAGTGAAATAAGATCACTAATATATGACATAAGGTTTCCTGGTAAAGACATGGTTTTAGTCTCTCATCTCATCGTAGATGCATCCACATTTCTATAAGTGCAGTTGTTATTATAACATGAAACTTATAGCATATGTTAAATGCATATTTATTAATACTATATGGTACATGGAAATCCTCAAAGCTCATGAAATATTTGAGATATATCGGATGAAGTGACCCCTTGAAGGATATAAAGTACCACAATATTCTTAATTAAGAATTAACACTAAAAGTTTGAGTATTTTGAATTCAAATTTGATATTGCTATAACATATTCTAATTATCAAATTAGTTGTTGATGCTCCTAAAGATTTCAATCATTTGAAAAGTGAAAAGCAGGTTGAATAGTGTGATAGACGATCATGTATGAAGACAATGTTGCTTGTATTGCTCAAATCAGAGAAGGAGATATCAATCAGGGGGAGATATCAATCAGGGGGAGCATCCCAATTCTACTACATACATGACATATGCGTGTTGTACTCTTTTTCCCTTCGACTAGGTTTTCGTCCCATTGGGTTTTTCCTAGTAAGGTTTTAACGAGGCAACATAAGCGCATCCAACACCATATCAATGATCTAGAAGAAAGTTTCACTCTTTTTCCCTTCGCTTCGGTTTTGTCCTACTGGGTTTTCCAAGCAAGGTTTTTTAATGAGGCAACTATGCCATTGTATGGTGGACATCCAAGGGGGAGTGTTGTAAATGCATGGAATGTGGATGACCACCATAATATCCATTACCTCCATCCTTAATTGCTTTGTAACCTATGCCCTTATTATTGTAATTAGTAGCTATAAATTGTGGGTTAAATACCTCTATTGTAAGCCTATAAATAGGCACTTATCAAAGATGAATATGATATGTTGATACAAGGTCATAGAATAAATTCTATGTATTTCTCTTCCTCTTATTGTTGTCTACAATTCCCCTTAGTTTTATAACAGATTTTTAACTTTTAGATTTTAAAGATTATATCATAAGATTTTATAAGATTTGAATGGACTGCATAGATTTATATCTGGGCCTGACTAAATAAGGCTATAGCCCAAACCATAATTTGAAAATTTTTTAAATACCTAGCCCTATAGATATAGTGAAGCCAAAATTTCATACCCTTAAAAGAAAAGAAAAAAGGTAGCCCATGCATTATCCACAAGTACAGCAACTGACTTGGACAAAAAGGTGTTTGCTCCCAAATTTTGGCTTGATATTGATGTGTCATTTTATGGGGTTAGAAGAATGTGTTTCCTTCGAGGATGAAAATAGGAATGACAACATTCAAGGTTACAACAGTTATGGAATGACAACCAACATAAATAAAAGCAAATATTCAAAGTTAGAAGTCAATGAAATAAGCTAGTCTATAATTGTTCTTGGGGTTCCCCTCTCCCTCCGCCCCCATTTCATTTATAATAAAAAAAATTAATAAAAGTTACTCTATAATTTCAAACAATTGATCATCTTGATAAATAAAAGTAAAACCCAACACGATCTTCCCAATTTTTTAATATCCAATTTGATATAGCTTCATGTCCTCCTAGGTAGCATCTCTCCACATATCTAAAGCTATGCTAGCCCTCCTTGCATTAGCATATTTTGGTTGTTGCTCTTGGGTTTGAACATAAGTTCAAAAGTATCATCTTCATTAACTGGTAATACTGAATATGAAGATGATGAAGATTCGTCTATTGGTTCAATTGGAAATTCATCATAACGACACTCTTTGTGAAGAAAGTTATTTTGTGCTACACATGCCAACACAAGCTCTGCTTGTGTCTTAAATAGAAATGGGGGCGCTAACTTAAAAATTGTGAATCGCGATTTAAAATTACCAAGTATCCTCTCAATCACATTCCTCGAGGATGCATGGAGAAGATTGAACAATTCATTTTCACTTTGTGGGTCATTACCATGACCTGCAAAATCTTGGAGATGATATCGCACACCTCGAAATGGAGCTAAAAATTGGTGCCGATTAGGAAATCCATAATCCACCAGAAAATATTTACCTAATTATATATACAATACATGTAAAATTAGTATGAAAAGTTTTAAATAAAAAAAAACATATTTATCATTTTAAAAATAAGTACTTACCTTGGGGCACTTTAAGCCTGTTCCTCCTTGATAAAGCATCACTTAGTAGCTTTGAATCTTGAGCTGAACCTTCTCACCCGCTAAGAACGTACATGATTTCCAAATCAAAGTTATAAGCTACTAATACATTTTGTGAAATCTTTCCATGATGATTACGATAGCTGCTTACATCTCGTCCTCTCACCATTGCCTGAATATGTGTACCATCAATTGCTCCGATACAATCCTAGAATTATTCATATGTAAATATAACCGTATTATGATAAATACATATTATAATAATGACAATTATAATTACAATATTAATATAATTAGATAATCATCACATACCTTGAAATAATGGTAAAATCTTGTGCTTTCCTTTATTTTAATAGGCACAGTCGGTCCTGGTTTAGCCATCAAATTAGATGTTATTAAATTCAAGGCCATCAAAATCTTGTGAAAATTTTCATTTGCAGTGAATTGTGATCGACCAAATGTATTACAAATTACACAATATCTAGTATTTTGGGCGACAATTTGTAGGGACACTACAAGCATTTCTTCAACACAAATAAATCTTGTATCTTCCAAAATTATTTTTTCTCTAAGAATAGTGCATAACTTCCTGAATACATCTAGATACATTCTATATACTTTTTGTTAGATTGCATGATCATCATTTAATGCTTGATGTATAGAGCCATATCCAATGCTAGTAATTCATCGTCAAGTTAATGGATGTTCAATTTGTTCACCATGCATCATAATCAAAAATTGATTTAGCACATGTATTACTGCATAAATTGCCATCATTAAAATACTAATGGTTTTATAAAATTCTTCATCAATTTCTTCTTCATTTATGTCATTACCTTCATAAATGCTTGATTGTGACATTCTACGTATATGAAAAAAAAAATGAGGCTGCAAAGGAACTTGCAGTTAGTAAGATATCCAATACTTTTCAAAATATTTGAAGTAAACCTTCATAAATTGAAAAAATATCAACAAAGTTGAATAATTGACAATAAAATTCTGGGAACTAAAAGATAATCCACAACTCTTAAGTTTTAAAAATGTATCTGAGTCCTGAATACCAACAAGACAACAATGCAACTATAGAAAAAAGACAAATTCAAGCAAACCAAACGTATATTGGGTTAATATATTAATAGTACAATCATGGTTCAGGTTCACTCCATCAGCACAGTTCATTTGTTGGATAAATAAAATTTGTACTGGAAAGCACCACAATGGCATTACCCATGAGCACAAACCGTAACACAGAAAAACTACAACAGAAGATAAGAAAATAAAATCAATCACATAGGAGAAAGAAAAGAATGTGTCTTTGTCCACTCCATTAGTATACTTCAGCTACATTCCATCACAACATGTTAAAATGATAATCTATACCTATTTAAGACTATAGACATATAGATGTGATAACCAAAAGCACAAGTATGTAAGTAATGCACAACCCATAAATGAGTTAACAAAGCTCAACTACAAAGTGTAGGGGTCTTTTTATTCCATCAGCCTGACGAATGGGTTTGGGCTGCCTAAAAGAGAAACATGTATGAAATTGCCCCTTGAATCTGAGTTCAAGGATCAGGCTCCAAGAGTGTTTCAAAAGGGTAGCTAAGCCTTAGGAAACATTTTGGTCTTCTTCACCAATGAAACCAACAGTCGCTTATAGATAAATTCTTGGCTTGACATAAGAAGCTTGTGACATGGGAGCTGAGCATTCATGAGTTTAGCATGAGAGAAAGAAAGAGCTGCGATTTCCAAAAGAGAAGATGGGAGGAGATGGAGGAATATGGCTCGAAATTGCAGGGGTTTCAAGGATGAGAAATGATGATTGCTCTTTGGATGTGTGTTTATGGAAAGAGAGGAAGAAGATGGAAGCATGGGTGGTTTTAGCATATTTCCAGCAGCTTGACGAAAGCTTCGTCAAGCTACTGGGTGATTTAACATAAGAGAAAATGGGAAGCAATGGAATAACAAGGCTTGAAATTGAAGGGTTTCAGAAATGAGAGATGATGCTTGCTCTCTCTGGATGTGGGTTTTGAAAGAGATAAAGGAGGAAGATGGAAGAAGAAAGCATGAAATTGAAAGGTTCCAAAGGGGATGCTTGCTTTCAATGAATTCTCATAGTTACTAGGAGGCTTACAGCGACTAAGGTGAGTTGTCTTTGCTGGGTAGAAAGTGGCTACTTTTATAGGCATTGAAAACCTTAATTTTATCAAGCCACCCTCTCCCATTTTCCTTCACTTTCTTCCATTCCATCTTATTTGGTGAAACTTCCCTAGCCTAAGCATGTATGCATGAAGTCTTTTAGAGTTCCAAGGTCCTTAGGCAGCTAGACTTCTCCATGTGGGTGAGGAGCCACCCACTTTTGTTTCTTGTTTTCTTACCAAAGCTTGAAGAAGAAAGAATGGGTAAGGGTGCTAGTCAAAAAAGGTGATCAGCACATGGTTTGCTTGGTTTTGATGGTTTTGACAAATATGCTAGATATTTTCCACGATGCTGGACTGGGCTATTGGTATTTTGTTTCCAGCGGCCTATGAGTTTGCTCAAGCTGCTGGAAATAGCCTATTTGATTAAGGTGTTGGATATTTTGGCTGATGTGGGATTTCTCCAGGTGTTTGCAAGCCATTGGATATTTTCCTAAGCTATTGGGTCACTTCTTCTCTCTCATGCTTACCCATATGTTTAGGCTCAAGAAATGGGCTCGAGTTTTAGTGCTCCCAAGCAGCCCAAAACTTCCACTTCTTGGCCCATCAATGGGCCTCGTGAATGCTCGTAATCATCCATACCACAACCCACTCAGCAAGCTCCAGGCATTCACGTGGCTTGGGCCCACTTAAGCTTGTAGCGTGGCATGTTGTTTAAATAAATATTTTCTGCTTGGTGTTGTACTAGGCCGAAAATATATTTGGGCCCAGCCTGGGATTTTTTGGGCCTCAACACAAAGCAAGTAAAATCTAATCAAATTGCAAAGGAACCAAAAGCATATAACCAAAAACATTCAATTAGTTTAATCAAATTGCAACCAAAATAGTTCAACCAAATTATAACTAAAATAGTTTAACCAAAGTATAACCAAAATAGCACAAACAAAAATATAGTTCAACAAAATCCAAGATGATGAAAATACATTAATCATCCTGACTTAAAGAGTATCCAAGATAAGCGCTCTTCAGGTGACATCTTCAAGAACAAGTCCTTATTTGCTTTAGTATTAAGCAAATCACCCGCCATGTGATGAGTATTTTCATCAAAATTTGGTATCTCTTTTATAGCGTCCCAAATATTACTTCTTTGCTCTCTATCTTACTCTCTCTCTCTCTTCTCCATTAGGTTATATATTCTTTCAAAATTGGGAGAAATAGTCTGAATGTCAATAGAAAGATTGTCTAGAAATTTGGCTTGATTGTTGCTCTCAACTGAGCTAGTACTCCCTTCATACTCGGATCTACTTCGCTTATTGCAGCTTCGTTTTTCAGTGGGAACCTTTGAACCTAAAGGGGAATAAGATGGTGGACTACATTGGCAGGGTGATAGAGGCTAGTAGGATGATTCATAGCTAAGGCATCATTGGTAGGATCATATGAAAAGTCTTCCATCTCGAAATCTCTATTTTCTTTAACAACATAAGTTGTTGCATTGGTATCATCATGGCCCCAATGAAATGGAGCCATTCCCAAGAGCAATTCCACCCTCAACGATGATCTTCAAATTCTCTAATCAACTACACTTTTTTCCCGAAGTTTACTGTGACTTGGGTGGGACTAGCAAAGAACAAATTATTTATTGTTAATATATTGCAAATAACATATTGTACTAAACTAGTAAGCTATTAATATACTTAAAAGATTATGAACTAAGCTCACCTTCAAGTAATCTTTCCATACTTCATCACTAGCAATAAACGTCTTTGCAATTAAGTCCCACCCAAAGCCAGAGATGTTACACATAAGCGTAGACATCTTGTTATATTACTTCTTAAACCACTTCATTCGGCTCAAGCAATGATTATAAGTTTTTGGAAACCTAATTTTCGCATTAAGACGAGGAAGTATCACTCTTTCTACATTTTGCTTGCTAAGTGACCCATTAGCATCACGCAATCCAATATTGATAGTATCCACCAAGAGGTGTAACAATTCATTGATATATCCATGGTCCAAGATTCATAGCTCTCAGAACCTTTGCGCTTTCCTTCGCTATTTCCTTGTTGTGAATCCCCCATTTAAATTAGTACTATAACACATTTTAAACAATTTATTAGTTATTTCACATGATAATCAATTTTTGAAATGAGATGTCTTACAAGAATCTGTATCATACCAGACAAGAAAAGAAAATAAAAGAATTTCACTAATGTTTCCTTATTTTCTATTTTCTTTCTAACTTTGGCATAAAAATAAGGATGTTGCACAATAAATATGAGAAGCCAAAGAAATTATCAAACAATATATGATACATGAAATTCTATTCAGTAAAACACAAAGTATGCAATAACTAGGAAACTACCAAACCAAAGAACATATTAATATGACCCAAAAAAGGAACGTACAAAGATGACAACCAGAAAACCAGCAAAAGCATAGTGAAAACCCATTAATAATCTGTAATTGATTTACTTACAAACTGCAATGATAGTAAGTGATCCTAAGCAGGCCCGAGCAAGTAATACGAGCTTCCCAAAGTCTCTGTCATTGAAACAATAAAGGTGAGGATGTTGGAAATATATATATAATTGCTATATTTACACAATTTCGAAAATAAAACTTCACTATAAATTCGAAATAAATACAACAAAACAACCCTACAACCACAGCTCATCAACCACTCTCTCTCCATCGTCTAGACCTTTTTCTCCTCTCCGCTTTCTGCTCTCTACTCCCATCTCTCTCTCTCTCTCTCTCTGCCTATTATCAAATCTGATTCACAACCCGAAACCCACACACTTCAACACCTGTTTCTTGAATGATCCCATCAAATTCCCACCCCACTTTCTATGAAACCAATAAACAAATCGGCCGATTTCCCAACCCATCATCAAAACGCCACCATTTTTTGCCGCACTTGGGTAGGATGCCCAGTAAACGATGTGCAAAGCTCGAGGGGAAGAAGACAAAGACATAGACTATTTATCCAAAACAGCAACAAACACCTTATAATATTATAGATAAACAGTTAGTACCTTCCAAAATAGATTAATACTATCCAACAAAAATTAGTTAATATAGTCCGACGTAGGCTCGTTTGGTACGCTGGACTGGATGTCACTTATTCAATTAAAACAGCCATGGGTCCTAGCCATTGTTTGGTGGGCTTAATATGCATTAGAGATTGGATGTGGTTATTGGACACCACTCCATAATAAGACATGCTCTAAAACCCATCAATAGACATGGGTTTTGAAGCCAGCTGAGTTGTCTTGCAAGAGAGAGCACGCCTCTAGTTTGGTTTGTAGCCTTCTCTCTTCTTCTTTCTCGATCTCTTCCCCTCTACCATATCTTCATTTTGACGCGACGACGCCGTTTCATAAACACTCATATCTCATCCTCCTCCCTACTTCATCAACCAGCTCAACACCAAGGCCCTAAGGAACTGCAACAACATCGACGTCGCACAAATCGTTGTAACTTCCAGTCGATCTGGCCAAGCTTTCGGCTCATTTGAAGGAGGCCTTGTTCTTGAGATTTGATGGGAAAGAGGCTTATTTTTTAGAACTGATTTGAAGGAGGCCTTGTTTTTTGAGATTTGATTTGAAGGAGGCTTTCGACTAATCGTGATTCTTACTAGTAGATTAGTCAAATTGTCTTCATTATTATAATTTTTTATAAATTTTGCTATTTTTGTTCCAGTCTTACAATCTCAACTTGGTGTTTATATCAAATTCCAATTTATTGTATCCAATTCAATTCGATCTAGCTTACCAAACGAAGCCTTTATTACAAAACAAAAAGAATTTAAATAAAATAATAAATTAGGCCCACATAATTTCAGGAGTAGCCCACGCGGTAGCAGAAATGGATGACGATACGTCATCGCACTGAGGCCTTTTTGCGTATAAAGAAGCAACGAATCGGAATCCAATGTCGGTCGGAGAAAAAGCGAGTCAGTTGAATCCGAAACTTGCTCAATGTCAGTGTCAACAACGGTAAATTGAACCAAACCACAAGCAAGGGCAACAACGTAATATCAAACCAGTAGCCAACCGGAACGTTTAAATGCGAGAAGAGAAATCGGAGTGATAACGATGGAGAGAGAGTACTTGGAAGAAACCATAAATGCAAAGTATTCAGAGCCCCAAAAACACAGCACAGGTTCATGGGACCCACGTCAGAAATTATTTATTAAAACTTATGAAAATTCAATTTCTTATGAAATAAAAATTAGAAATTGGAACCTAAAATCCAGTTGTTATTTTAGGCCACCGCTAAATGCGTTAGCTTGCAGCACAGAGCAGAGCTCACTCGTCAAAATTTAGCGTAAAAACCACTTTTCTTGCTGTACGCGTTGTCAAATTGATTTATTTTATCTCGTTTGTGCCCTCCATTTCCTTCCAAAAAAGCCAATTCGGCGAATTGATAGTTTTTTTTTTAATTTAATTTAATTGGGCAGTTTATTTAATGATTTGCTAATTTTGTCAATTTATTTGCGTATTTTGGTTGATATTAATGGTTGGCATCTAAATCTAAAATCATATCCAGTTGGGTTTATATTTAGTGGGAATTTTTTGTTGTCGGGGGCGCGTAAAGGTTTCTCCTTCTGAATCTCTCCGGCTAGGGAGGAGAGAGAGGACAAAAGCTTATCTGTTTGTAGATGAGAGTTAGGGTTTTTGTTTTTTAGTTTTTGTATGATTAGTTATATACATGGAAGCTTAAGGTATGAGTTGCTTTAGTTGCTTCAGTCCTCGCCGGAAAGATGTCAAAGCAAGGTCGAAATTGATAATGGCACTCGATCCTCAGGTCTGCCAATTACTCTTTTTAAGTTTTAGTTTTTGACCCATTTTTTTTTTTTTTTTTTTTTTTTTTTTTTTTTTTTTGGGTTGGGTTTGTTTGATTGTAAGTGTATTTTGGCTGAAATTGCAGGTAGTGGGAAAGGGAGAGGGCACTCTGATGATACTGGTAAGTACCCATTTCATGAAATTTAGAATTTTTCTGAATTGGAATTCTTTGTTTGGTGCAATTGTGATCCTAGTTTTGTGTAATTTGAGATTCAGCTGTTTACTCCACTCAGTTCTGATTTTTATGGTTGGAAATTTAACACACATCATATGAAATTTTGAACTTCAGTATATGTGTTTTTTTCCTGTGCTTGTGGAATTGAGTTGTGTAGGAGTTGAGTTATGTTATGTATGTGCAGAGAGTGGGAGGGGAAAAGGAAAGGGTGGTAACAACACGCAGCAGAGTGCTCGTAGTTTCACATTTCGCGAACTTGCAGCAGCCACGAAAGGCTTTAGGGAAGTGAATTTGATTGGGGAAGGAGGTTTTGGAAGGGTTTACAAAGGCCGGCTTGATGCAGGCCAGGTAAGTTGCAGGGCTTTTTCCAACGTTCGTATTACTGTTACTCCATTAATAGTTGTATGAAATTTTATAAGGAAACTGTTATGCACTGTGATATGTATTGCTGGTTATCAATGAAAGAAAAATTTATTATTTTAGAGAATTAATATATTTCCTTATATCCTTCATTAGATGGATGAAAACTTGAGCCGCCAGATGTTGTCCACGTATCATTTGTTGGACTATGTTGAATTCAATGTTTATGTGGTGCAGCTTTTGATTTCTATGACCAGGTTGTCGCAATTAAACAACTTAATCATGATGGTCTTCAAGGGTTTCAAGAATTCATCGTGGAGGTTCTCATGTTAAGCCTACTACACCATACTAATCTTGTCACATTGATTGGCTACTGTACTGACGGAGATCAAAGACTCTTAGTCTATGAGTACATGCCAAGGGGTAGTTTGGAAGATCATCTCTTTGGTAAGTATCTTGATGGTTAAGGACAGTACATTCTTATCCATTTTATAGTTTCTAATTGATTTTATTTTCCTCTTATACAGTCCCTTGTGTCTATGGATAGCCTGGTTCTTTTTAGGTGCCCATAAAATGGCTGTATATTTATCACATTGGGAAAGTATGGGTGTTTCACATCAAAAATGTCGGTTGACAGGAATAGTGTAGAAAATTGAATTTTGGATCATTGAATTGGATTTCTATTTAACTTTTTATTTTTTGGTATGTTGGCTTTCTATTAATTTATGGAAGCAATATCTTAACTCAACTTCAGTAATACCTTTCCTGCTATTGAGGATGGCTTAAGGAAACATTGGATAACCTCTAAATACATCATATAATCTTTCTTTAGCAGCCCCTTTTCTTTATTATTATATTTCCATTGTATTTGACCTAACAGATTCGGTGCTTTATGTTTTCAGATCTGAGTCCTGATCGAGAGCCGCTGAGTTGGGATACTCGTATTAAGATAGCTGTTGGTGCGGCACAGGGTCTTGAATATCTCCACTGCAAAGCTAACCCACCAGTTATCTATCGTGACTTGAAATCAGCAAATATACTGCTGGACGATCAATTCAATCCAAAGCTTTCAGACTTTGGGCTTGCTAAACTTGCACCTGTGGGTGACAAAACTCATGTTTCAACGAGAGTGATGGGAACGTACGGGTACTGTGCACCAGAATATGCCATGAGTGGAAAATTGACACTTAAATCTGATATTTATAGCTTTGGCGTGGTTATGTTGGAGCTGATTACTGGGAAGAAGGCAATTGACTGCTCTATGAGGCCAGGAGAACAGAACCTAGTATCTTGGGTGAGTATCTTTCTATTTCCCTTTTTATCTTGCTTTCTCGACAGTCAGATTTTTAATTTCATATACCTTCGTGGAATTTCTAAAATTTCTTCTTGGAAACAATTTTTTTATGATTATTTCTTGATATCCTTTTCAAACACCTTTGTTTTCATAAATGCAGTCTCGTCCATTTTTGAAGGACCGGAGGAAGTTTGTTCAATTAGTTGATCCTCTGTTGCAAGGACGCTTCCCTGTTCGTTGTTTGCATCATGCTGTTGCCATTACTGCCATGTGTCTTCAAGAGCAACCAACTTTCCGTCCTCTTATAGGCGATATTGTTGTAGCACTTGAGTATTTGGCCTCACAGAGCTACAAACCAGACCTTCGTAAGGCTGGGGTGCATAGTCCCTCTTCATCATCACCTTCACAGCAGAAAAGGAATTTTTTCTCTCCGGAGTCAGATTGCAGAACGAGTAAAACTTTTGCTTAAAAGTTATTTGGGACAACCTGCTGCCTGTACTCTGATAGATGTAAGGCAAATCACATTTTGGAAAAAATTTGGCTTTATTTGCTTACACATGTTTTTCCATAATTAGAGAAACAGAATAGTCATTATTACTGTTTGGTAAAGCATATATGATGTTGCTTTGCATGCATAAATTTTTCTAAACCCGAAAAAACATTTAAAGGAAAAAGGTTCTCATATCTTTGTTTTCCACATTGTGGTTGATGTTTTAATTTGTTCGTCAACTTCACCTGCGTAAACCATTAGAATAGGTTATTGAGTAGCATGAGAGGATCCTACTGTAATCTTTTTGTCCTCTATCTGGTGTTAGCAGCTACTCTATGATCCTCCATTGAAAGGAGATTTCAAGTTCTCTCAGATCATTTGAATTCTGTCACTGGGTTTTATTCCTTATTGCCAAAAGTAAAGAGCATGGAAGTGTCATATCAACTTCTTTTTCTTTAGATAAGAGCCGTATCGTTTTGATTTGTCCCAGAAGCAGTTCTGTTATTCATTTATACATGTATATATTTTTGTCTGGGGTTCAATTCTGAAGGACCTTGCCCTTCTTATGTTATAGCTATCTGAAGGAACTTTGTCCCAAGCAATGGATATTGTTTCACTCGTTTAGTATTGAGTGCAAAAATACTATACTGATCAGGGCTGTGGTTTGCTCCCACATTGTCTGGGGTTCAATTCTTCAATGTAACTAACTAGCTGTTTTCTAGAGTTTCCTTCATTGTAGGATTCCACACACACCCCACTCCCCACCCGCTGTGCCCAGTTTCAAGTCCGAGTTCAAAAAAAAAAATTATGATATTTTTTGCTGCTTACATAATTTCTTTATTTACTTGGCCTGTATCGTGTTGTCCGAGCATTGTTTAAGATTTCTTGATTCCTGAGTGAAGGGGAAGCAGATTGTTTGATAGTCCCTGATCATAAATGCATCAACTTATGTTGTCTGGCGAACATGCTCTTTTGGATTTCCCAAATGCAAATTTGATGTCTCATGTTGTGCTGTGATTCAATGTAACAGCAACATTTATAATGACAGTTCATCATCGCTTTCCTTTCCATTTGTTCGTTTTTTTCTTTGCAGCTATTGTAATTTGTGTTGTGTATTGTAAATGGAAATGTTTTAGACATTGGTCTGTGTGTAAATGACTGATTAGGCAAGTTATTGATAATTTTTCCATACTAGCTGTTGTAACGTGCTCCAAATGTGTGCTTGCAGGTGCCTGTCCTTGTCAAATTCAGAAGAAAAAGAAAAGCCCTGAAGACCAATGTAATATACACACGTGAAGAATTGGTATAGAAATGTGCACAAGTATGTATATATATTTGGGTTTGGACATGTAGCATTTTGGTAAATTAAAATTCAGGTTCTTTTAGTTGTGATTTAGAGGTCATAAACTGTCTTCTATTGGTGCCAAAGCTTGTCTCTGTTTCGTCAAAGGAGGAAGAGTTTTGTGTTAGATCAAAAAACAAATAACTGCATCCTTTACCCTACAAGTTAACTGAATGGAAAAACGAGACTTGGAGGTTTCGGTTCTTTTGAACCCAGAACCTCTTGCTTTCAGAGCTTTGTAACCATGTTAGATCACCATTGAATCTCGAAAGCTTAAGTTATTAACCGTTGAGTTAACAATGTATATCAACCGTTTCCAAAGAGAAGGAAATGAAGTTAATACCGGACTTTGATTCTTATTTTCTTGCTATCTCCGATCATCATGAAATTGATATGCTTGTCAATATAGATTGTGAAAAAGGTAACCATTGCCGTGGGACTAACAGGACAAACATGGATTTTTCTTATAAAATTTAATATATGACATTCCCTATGCTAGCTGTGGACTTGGAAGTCCGTTAGAGGAATGTTACTGTCAGTCGCCTATGCGAATAGATGAAATGTGACTGACTGTTGTTGTTTATAAAGTTATTCATTCATGACAATAGTTTGCTGATGCTAGTGATGTTTAGCTACTCTTCTTCATCCAGAACATCTCTAATGATCTGGAGACTTTTAGGCATTACAGTGATTAACACCTGCCTGAAGGTTTTAAGCATAAAGCTAAAGCTTCACCTACAGAACCACATGGTTTTCTGGAAACATGTAGTAGTGTAAGTAAATAACATGTATTGGTGTTGATAAACCGTACATAAGCAGAAATACTAATGTGAAACGAGAATATCACTATTTTACTATATCCGACTAACCATTATTACGCAAGTGTTTCTGCTACATTGCAGGATATACCAATTTATGCACAAATTTTTCTGCCGCGTAACAGGATGTACCAATTTATGTTTCCAAGAACATAACCAAACAGAGAAAAGCACTTTTGTCTGCAATCACGAAATTCATGGGACAATACCAATGTACTTTACAGGTGTTTTTCCCTAATTTATCGTTTTTTCTTTGTCTGTTGTTTTTCGTTTTGGCAGGGCCCACATTAGAAATATATGCAACAAGGTGTTGAAAGTGAAAATGGATAATTTGTCTCCAGCCGTGAATAAGGTTGTTGTTTCTCCACTAAGAAGTTGGTGAATGCGTTTTGTCTGGCCAAAATGTATGTAGACTAAGAAACACGCCTACTTTTCCAAATGGTATCAGAAACTTTATTGACATCCACTAAAAAAGTTTATAATTTACGTATTGTTTTTTATTAAAGATTAATGGCAATCTGCAGACCGGGTCAACGTTAGAAAAAGAAAACGTCATGCATGACTAATTCACTTCAAGACCCACACTACATTTTTTTTTCAAGAAGATTCTATGGAATTTCGTGCGTTGAGATCTTTTTCTGCTTCCGATCCCAAAAAATAGACAAAAGAAGAAGAATTTCTCTCTCTCTTTTACAGGTGGGCCGTCAATCCCAATCATCATTATTCACCAAGAAAACCCAAAAGAAATCCAGGTACAATTTTAATGACAACTCAGGCGCATGGTCTCCGGATCCAGCAAGATTGCAGGCCATTTTTCTTATATCATGTGTTTTGCGAGGTCAATCAAGTGACTGATAGATTACTTCATTTTTCTTTATTGGTATTTCAGAGGTCTGCATGGTTCGGAGAATCACCCGATATTGTAACAGATGTGTTGTCATTTCATGTGCTTAGTCCAGATTTTTCCACCGTCCAAAGATAATTGATTGCATTTTTTTTTCTTCTAGAAGAAAAAATTTTTGTTTGGTTGTTTTTTTTATTTTTATTAGTTTACTCCTATATGGTTCAGTCCAAAAGGCCCAACGCCATTTGGCTGCTACTTTTCCAGTGATACGTTCACACTAGAATTTTTGGCCGGCAGAGAATGTTGTTCTTTTATAAGTTTTTTTTTTGGGTACAAAGAAGAGAAGAAGATTCAAACTATAAGTTATGAGTTAGTATGAAATTGTGTTGTCATGTCCTAGAACTTTGTATTAGTCTGGAAGTGTCAATTAGCTTTAACGTTGAAACAAAATTGATGTCTCTGATTTCCAGAAATTGAAAAATAGAAACAGATCTAGCAATCTCCGAATTCCAAAATTGTGACTTAACACGTTGAGTCATTTGATCTACATTATGCATTCACCTTTTTTGATTTTATTTCATATTTGCTTTCTTTCTTTTTCTTCACTTCCTATCAAGCCTCTTCTTTTGAGTCAAGTCTTGAGTGCTTGCAAATCAAGTAACTATCAGATACTCTATTAAAAATTAATTGTGATATTCTTGAAACTTGCTTCAATAATATCAAGGGTCTTTAAAGAGTAATATTGTGACAAAAACCTTCTTGCTTTGGCTCATACCTTTTTCTCTTCTTCTTTTTTTAATGCGGAAAGAGGAAAACTACAAGCATAAAACCACGAGGGCACGCATGCCCCAATAGGTTGAAAAAGAAAGGGAATAAACAGTTCAGAGGCAGCCCCGACTCCCAAAGCTTGGAAGGATTTAGCCCATGGCCCATGCTAGCAACAGCATCAGCCGTGAATTTAGCCTCACGGAAGACATGACTGAAAGAGCAAGAATTACAAAAGGAGCTGATAAGCACTATATCTTTAATCAATATATTGATACTCCACGGGGCCAAGGCTTTGATTAACTCAATCAATAATAAGCTTAGAATCTCCTTCAACAAGAACTTTTACGCCACCCTCTATGAGTTGCATACGCAAGGCTATCCCGTAAAGTAGTACATTCTGCGACAGAAATGGTATTGTCACCAATGTTCTTAGCAATAGCCAATAAAACTGACCATCAGAATCTCGAATAACAAAACCAATAGCCATTGAACCATTCCGGATAGAACCATCAAAGTTCAATTTGACCCATCCACTTGGGGGTGGTTTCCATTTAATATGAATAGGTGTTTTAAGCCCCTCCACATCCTTGAAATTTTGGTGCCAATAGTCCAAACCAACATGCCCAGCCACAATAAGCACACGAACAGGATATGGGTTGATGTCTTTGAAAATCATATTATTCCTAGATTCCCAGATCTGCCAACATAACAGCAAAGCTTTGGATAGGATGTCAGGGCCTCTAGAGGTAGTAGTAGAAGTGAGTGTACCCAACCAGGTGAGAAAGTCAAAATTTGGAGAAGAAATCGCAGGGACCAGGTTGGTACAACTCCAAACACTTTGAGCAAAGGGACATGTTGAGAAGAGGTGATTAATGGTTTCCCTGTGAGAATTACATAGGGGCACTCAGGGTTAATCTGGGGGAGAAAGCAATGTAAATGGTTTCGAACTTGAAGTCTTTTCCTGATAAGTAACCTTGAAATTTTTTTGACTTTAGGGGGAATAGCGAGACCCCACATTTTCTTAAAAAGAGCTGCTTGAGGGTGATAAGAAACATCCTGCACTTGCACATTATAAGCACTTTTAATAGAAAAAGTTTCATTAGGGTTAGGGCCCCAAATTAATTGATCTTCCAGAAGGGTTAAAGGAAGAAGGATAGAAATAATTTTGTCTATGATATCCTCATCAACAACTTCTTAGAGCTTGCTTGCATTCCAATGTTGAGCAATTAAAAAATTAGCAACAAACAAATTAAGATTAAGAGAGATTCGTTGGGTAATAGGAATTAGATCAATGAGGGGGAAAGGAAAAACCCAATGGGCAGTCCAAAAAGGAATGGACTTACCATTTCCCACAATCCACCTAATTCCCATGTTAAGAACAGTTCTTGCATCTAAAATTGCTTGCCACGCTGAGAACTGAGAGGACTTTTTTTTTAGAGCTAAAAAAATTTCTTTTTGCAAATATTTGATTCTGACAATTTGAGCCGACCAATTAGAATTATTGGTTAGACATATCCAACCAAGCTTAGCAAAAGCAGCTTTGTTAAAATGGGATGCTTACCTCACTCCAAGACCTCCCATTTCTTTAGGGTTGCAAATCTCTTTTCAAGAAACATGAGGAATTTTTGTTTGGTTGCCCCAGAAAAATTTCCTACAGGTAGAGTTCATCTCTTTACTAACTTCCGAAGGACACTTAAAACAAGATAAACTATGATTGGGGATTCCAAAAACACTTGCCTTGATCAAGGTAAGCCTACCAGCTCTGGACAAGGTTTGAGCCTTCCAACAAGCAAACTTACCTTTAATTCTTTTCACCATGTTCTTGGCATTGAGAGGATCTTTCCAAAAGATAATATTACTAATCCTAAGGTAGCGACCAATGGTAGCTTTATGTTGAATTTGCAGAATGCTACTGAGATTAGATCTTGAGTTGGCTGCAACATTGTTAGAGAAATACACAATTGACTTATGTAAATTAACTTTCTAACCAAACACTTCAGAGAAAGAGAGTAGCAACTTATTAATGTTTATGGCAGCCATGGTGGTGGCTTTGGCAAAAATTAAATAGTCATCCACAAAAACTAGATTAGAAATACGAAAACCTCTTGGCGAGGACAATAAGCCCATATTGGACTTGGACGAAGAGTCTAAAAAATTGCAGTACTTGATAAAAGGCTCCATGCATAAGATAAAAATATAAGGGGAGAGGGGGTCTCCTTGTCTAATACCCCTAGAAGGGGTGAAGTAGCCATGAGGGGAGCCATTAACAAGAATAGAAAACGAGGTGCTAGTGATAATGCATATGTCGTGGACTTGGCATCTTTTATGGGGATTTCTCACACTTTCAATGTCGCTGACTTGTTTGAGTTTCATTCGAATGATGAGCTGTTGTATCCAGTTGATAACTGGGGGATGAGTTCTTTCCAAGAAAGGAAGACTGGCATAGGGCTGGAAGAGGACGTTAGGAGGCTTCACAACAACATTTAGTTATTTTAATTATTTTAATAGTTCTTTCATTAAGCCACAAATCATTGAGTATATATCTTTTATTACATAAAAATTATGAGTATGCAAAGTATTTCTTCATGTTAAGAACTACATGAAAAGAAAAAAAAAAGTGACACAACAAAATAAAAGGAATGAAAATTCTTTAAATACCCTAATATGTTTCTCATTTTAACATTTTTTTTGTTTATCCAACTTTGTTATTGTTCATTAATTAAGGATCATTCTTCTTTACATTAGTAAATTGTATGGTATTACATTTAATTACATATTATCATAACATGGATGAGCTTCTGATTGGGCAGGGCTGAACTGAGCCTAATTTGACTTAAATGAGCTGAACCGTAGATCGGGCTAGAATTTCAAATCCTGGGCCTAGGCCTTATTCAACCCAAAAGCAAACCGAGCTGATAGAGCCTAAGCTATGAATCGAGCTAGGCTTTGGCCCATCGGGCATGAGCCAGCCCACTTCAACCCACAAGCCAATGGTGAAATGTGCCTAACCCTTAAGACCTATCCCCATATCTCGCTAACAACCCTTATTTTAAAGTTGTCTCTTTTCAGTCTTAGAGCATCCACAATGAACTCCCTAAACCATCTCCTTAGACAAATTTTAGGGAGGAATTGGAAAAATACAACTTCAACTATGCATTATCCATCTCCTAAAATAGGGAGACTTCTAGAAGCTCCTAAATTTGAGAAGAGAGAAAGAATTCCTAGTGGCTTCCGATAATTTAATGCTTCTTTATTTTATGAGTATTTTAAACATTTAATTAATGCTAACTATTTTTTTTATAGAGATGGACTAATTTAAAAAAAAAGTTATAGCATATATGGCTCCCTAAACTAGGGAGTATGATTGGAGTTTAAATTGTATAGAGAGCTCCTAAAATAATTTGTGTGTATTTTTGGCTAAATTTTAACGAAAAAATATAGGGAGGATGATTGCTAATTGTGGAAGAAAATATAATGGATAAGCAATGAGTAATGATACACTTACCATATTTTTATCCCGCATTTCTATACCACATGATGTGGTATGTCCATATCATATGTCACATCAATTAAATGAATGAAGTGTATTTTAATAAATAAAATTAGAAAAAAAGAAACTAGTATTTTACATGATGTGATATGTACACATCAGTTGCCACATCATATGGTATGAAAATGTGATATAAAAAATGTGATAAGACTAGTATTATTCATAAGGAATTAAGTAGCTTGAATTGAATTGTTGAGCTTATCATGAAATTGGATTATCACATTCCCATTGTTGAATGAGCCCTGCAATGGGCCCCACCGCCGAAGAAACTCACGCATGGTAGTGTTTCGTCTATGTGACGGTGCCATTGACCTGCCTTTGTATTCCACTACCTATTTATTATATTTTTGTCTTAATTCGTTAACCTGCGCTTTCAGTCCACTTGTTGTTTCTCCTTTCTATTAATTTAGCACAAATGTTGGGCAAGAAAAGAGTGTATTGATCAAGACGTGGGAATAAGAGAGTAAGCGACACAAACACCAAAAATAGTATAATTGTGTATGTCTGCGAGTGCAAGTCCAAAGCAAAAAAAGTCTCACAGTCATATCCATACAACTAGCAAGTTTTCTCTTCCTTGGCTATTTCTTTGTTGCTTCTCCCTCCCTTTCCAGGAACTTGACACACCCAGAAGACCACAGATATATCTGGATATCTAAATAGCAAGCTAACCAACTTCAAGTTATCAACCTCACATCAGACAGAGGGAGAGTGATCATCGATCGATCCGTCGATCGCCATGGGAAATTGTTATGCAGCTCCTGTGACTAACCATAGCCCGTCTACCTCAGGTATATATATTTACATAGCCCTCTTGATTGATGCCTTTAATTGATCAATTAATTAATTGTGTGTATACATATATATATAACAATAGCAAGCAAAATGGATTGGCAGGAATCAAAAACGCTGCCGGGAATATTAGTGGCAAAACAAGTAGTGGAATAACCCCAAAAAATGCTAGCAAGGCATTCGGCAAAGGCAACAGCAATAATAATATTGAAGAAGAAAGTGCAGCTCCTGATGCAGCAGCTCCAAGGGAAAGTGTGGAAACTGAAGTACCAAAGTTGAAAGAGTTTAGTTTAGCTGAGCTGAAGAAGTGCACTCGAGATTTCAGACCAGACACAATACTGGGTGAGGGAGGTTTCGGTAGGGTTTTCAAGGGATGGGTAAACGAGGACACCTATGCTCCATCCCGGGTCGGCATCGGCATGGCCGTTGCCGTCAAGAAGTCCAACCCCGATAGCTATCAAGGCCTCCAAGAATGGCAGGCAAGTTTTTATTAATTTATTTATTTCATTAGGGATGATGATGATAATATGGATAGATATTTTATATAAGGCTATATATATATATATATATATTTTTTTTGGCTACTAGCTAGGGTTAATTTGGCCGGCCAAGGAAAACTAAGCAGTACATGGGAGTTTATTTTCTTTTTCTCTTGATCATTATTTAAAAAAAAACATGGCCATAATAATTGAGCTCAAGAAGTCAATGTTGTTGACTAGTATAAAACCCTAGCTAATATATATAAGTTCATCGAGCACGTATTACTTCAATGATTGCATGCTTTAATTTTAAGGTAGGAAATGGGTCATGATTAACATTGTGCATTGGTGTGGTGTGGTGTGCAGGCGGAGGTGAATTTCTTGGGGAAGTATCGTCATCCAAACCTTGTTAGGCTGCTGGGATATTGCTGCGAAGAAAATCAATTCCTTCTTGTTTATGAATATATGCAAAAAGGAAGCTTGGAAAACCACCTTTTCAGAAGTAAGTAAATGGCCTTAACTTGTAGATCAAATGTCTCAAGTTTGAATCCCCACAACACGATAGTTGTGTTTTGTGTGTGAGAAATATCTCTCTCCTTTAATTTAAACTATCTGTTCTACTAAAAAAAGGACTAATAACATTAATTTAATTCAACACACGCTACACACGGGCATGCAAGCTTTTCTTCTATTGCATTTTCATTTGGAAAGTAAAAAAATTGCTAGTATTAATTAATAACCCAATTTTGCTTTTTTTCTTGTTGATGCATGAATTCTGCAGAAGGTCAAGAACCACTCGGATGGGAATTAAGACTTAAGATAGCAATTGGAGCTGCACGAGGTCTTGCTTTTTTGCACACCTCAGAAAAAGTCATCTACCGTGACTTTAAGGCCTCCAATATTTTGCTGGATCTGGTACCCATTCTTTGTCATACGTCTTTTTTAATTTTATTTTATTTTTGTTTTGGTTGATTATTGATTTTTTCTCTTTCTTGTTGGGAATTATTCAAAACTAGGCCTACAACGCAAAACTTTCAGATTTCGGGCTGGCAAAGGTGGGCCCAATAAATGGCAACTCCCACGTAACCACACGCATCATAGGAACTTATGGATATGCAGCTCCGGAATACGTCGCAACTGGTAATATAAGTTTTTTTCAAAGAAAAAGCTCGTATAAGTTTTACTTCAAAATTTTCCTAACTAGCCATAAGGTAGTCACTTTTATTACCAGACCAAGATTTACTCAATCTTTTGGAGAGAGGTGGAGAGAGGTCTCAGTTGACTTTCATTTTGCAACCTTCACCTCTTTTTTTGGCCTTGGTCAACAATAGACGCTTTCCATACGAATAGATATTCAGACTCTAGGGATCACCTGATCTTATGGGTTAAGCAAGTCTTCTATTCTATTGCTGCAGTTATTATGGCCAAGTAAAAGTCTTCAATTTTGTGACTTGACTTTCAAATGATTTTTAGTTGTACGAAAATGTCATGAAACTGTCAACATTCACTCTCTTACTTTAACAAGTTTCACACGAAAACCTCGTTCATATGGGGATGGTTCTGTGCACAGGGCAGCGTGGGTGCCCGCCTATCCCAAATTTTAAAAAAAAATAGAAAATACCTACATATGTCATAACTCGCTCTTTCTCTCTCTCTCTCTCTCTCTCTCTATTCTTGGGTGGGCAACAATATCTTCTTATTCTCATCGTCAACAAAAAGTGTTATTCTCATTCTCTCTTCATCTATATATAATTATAGTTTTAATTAAAGTTGAGTGTTCTCGGGATTAACATTAGGGATGAATTATAATTTGGAAATTTTGTTAAAATTAATTAAGGTTTTGATTTTAGTAATTTTGTTGAGATGTTTGATTTGATGTTGATATTGTTGAGATGCTCTATGACATTTTGTTGGTATTTTTTTTATTAAAATTCTTTCTACATAAAATATATATATATATATATTAGTATGTATAGAGATGCATTTTAGGGTAAGGTTCATTATGTCCCCTGTGTATCTTTTATGTTTATTAATGAAATTCATTCATCCTGTTGAGTTTAGTATGTAAGCTTTCCCCATCTGACTTTCGAATCTTGAATCCGCCATATGATATGGTGTCCTGTCCACCATTACAAAATTCACCCAACTTCCTAATATGTTAATCCAAATTCATACCTATGTCTACTCTTAAACTTATTTATTTTCAACAATTTTTAGATTAAAATAATTCAAATTCAAACTTCTTGGTAATATGTGTGTGTGTGTATATATATATATATATATATATATACCTGGTGTAAAAATCTTGCAACAAATAATTCTTTATGATATTAATGACGTCATCCGTCTTATCACACAACTAGCCTCTTGGCACACGATAACACGTTTGTCGATTGGCCTTTTTATAGTTTTTATTTCTTTTCATTAGTTAAGTATATGAATTTATATAAAGAGAGGAATGTGGGTGTAGTAGGGAGACAGAGAGACAGAGAGAGTTATATATCGGGTGGAGTTATTTTTGTAATTCAGCAAATTCGTTTATTTATTTATTATTATACCCTCATTATTTTAGATTGTATGGTATTCTAATATTTCTTTCAAACATGGGCATTCTCGAAGTTTTTAAATGTTTTATTTTTAAGGCATGCTGCTTATATATATAGATATAGATTAAAATCTCTCTCAAGTAGTTGGGTACACTTCCTCCAAAAATAAAAAAAAGTAGTTGGGCACGATATACTTCAACATTAGGTATTGTACCTTAATTAGTGGTTGATCTAAAACGAATAAATTGACTTTTGTTTCCTTCTTGCCCCATGTCAACCTGAAATTCTACGTACGTCAAGACTTTTTAAGTAACTATTTTTTACACAACTTTTCTTGGTCCAGAAATATGCGACAAGGAATAATTTCATCCAATTGCATAATTAAGATAGGAAATTAAGAAAAGAGATCATCTTCCTTAGTGTGCCTAACCAAATCTCATCACGCCCTCTTGCAAATAAAGCCTAATTATCATTTTTAATTTATCAGAGGCTGATTATATTTTAACAGCATGGAATGCCTATTGCCCTTATATTGCTTAATATTGTGTCTTTTGTGTAGTTATTTTCTCTAATATTTGTCTTCATTATTTTTCATCAAATCTTTCACGTGGTTTTTGGTTGTTGTCATCCTCTCCGCTGTGTACTCTTATAATGTTTGTTTAATAAAGCATCTTTCCCTAACAACAACAAAATTTTAATTATTTTAACTAACACTTGCACGAAAAATTATCAGGTCACTTGTACGTAAAGAGCGACGTGTATGGTTTTGGTGTGGTATTATTGGAGATGCTAACAGGCTTAAGAGCCCTTGACAACAATCGACCCTCTCGTGAGCATAGTTTGGTGGATTGGTTAAGGCCTTCTCTTCACAAGAAGAAGGAGCTAAAGAAAATAATGGATCCAGGGCTTGGAGATCAATACCCATTAAAAGCTGCCTGCCAAGCAGCTGAGCTCATTCTAAAATGCCTAGAATCTGATCCCAAAAACAGACCCTCCATGGAGGAAGTTCTTGTAACTCTAGAAAAGATAAATGCCATTAAGGAAAAGCCAAAAACTGCAAAACCCAATGGCAGAGGACGGCCAGATGTACGTTCATCACCATCACCCCATCATTATAACCATCATCTTCATAGGTCTCCAAACTTTGGTCCACGAGGAATGTAGTGCCAGTGCCATCCCTGTCCAAATTTGTATCTTGTAATAAACTTGTATTTTTATTTTTTCTTTCTGGGGACTTTGTATATGGACCTGTAATTTTGGTGAAATAAAAATTCACTAATTTTTGTCAACAGTAAGAAATTCAAGATTTGACTAGTCAAAGTTAACCCATTCAACTCTTGGATCTCACATAAAATACACATGGCGCATGACTCACAAAGACAAAGATGAGTGCCGGAGATAATGAATGTCAACATCGAAGGAGCTCCATCAACAAATCAAATTATTTGCCAAAAATGTCAAAACAATTGCCCCTTTGTTAGGCCATATAGGCCTGGCCCGGCCCATTCAACTCAAGGCCCCGTTATTGGGTAGGATTTAGGCCAATCGCTCTTTGCTGGCCTGGTCCAGCCCATTTTACAGGCCTAGTTTCCCCGGGTGATTTTGTCGTTGGACAGTTCACTTGGATAGAAGCTGAGGATTAGGAGGGTTATCCAAATTTAATCACTCGCACCTTGCGCCAGACAAATCACCGACCCTTTCCACTTCCCACTTTCCACAGGCGGATTATCTCTCAACTGAATCCAATCCAACCTCGCAGAGGCAGAGGCAAAGGCAGACCAACAATGGCGGCCATAAGCTCTGTTGTAGGAACTGGAAGCGTGCCCCAAATCCAAAATCGTAGTGGCCTTGCCCCTTTCACCCCTTTACATATTTCCTTATTTTCTCCAACCAGGTATTTTCTTCTTTCTAATTTCAACTTATTAATTCTGTCCTCCTTAGAACAAGTATGATGCTTTTAAGAAGTTTTCTTGTTTTTTATTTTGAATTTCATTTGGTTTGGGCTAGCGAGCCAAGCCAAGTTTGTTACGTTCAGCAAACCAAATCCCTTGTACATGTTAGATTGTTTCCTGGTTGGCTTATTGAACCCAGAAAAGAAAAAAAATTGAAGCGAAGTTAGTTGGTAGCAATGATTAGTCAGGAGTAGGTTGGGGAGATAGTTTCAAATCTAAAGAGTTGAGTTTTTGTGGGAATAGAGAGCAAATCAGATTGATATAGTTTTAATTTCATGTCCTTAGTTTCTTTTCTTCATAAAATTTCACACAAGGGTAATTGGATATTGTGAACTAATAATGCACGAGACAAGAACAAAGTAGGAGTGAGAGAGATTGTGCCTCAACAGTAATTGGAGAGGGCAAGCCATTAACACTAGTTATGTATGGGTCGCGAGTGTTACTAGACAACTCATCAAAAAAGTTAGCATCATAACTCATATGATCAGAAGCACCAGTGTCAATTATCCAAGTATTGAAGTCAGTATCTGGAATAGAGTCAGAAACACATAATTTTGCAGAAGAAGCAGCAACAACACCAACAATTGAGTTATCACCCATAATTGCGGCATAAACTCGACAGATCAAGGTAGAGTATACAATGAAACACAGCAAAGGCACAAATGAGGTAAATGCACGAAGACAGTATATGCACGAACACAACATAGTACACAGCAGAATTCATCAAAGGCACAAATACGGCAGATGCAAGAAGACAGGAATGGCACGAACACTACAACACAACACACAAACCCAGGAGGGCACACACGGCACAAGTAGAAAAAAAAATATGGGGCTAGAACATGGGTGGACACAACACACAGGTCACCAGAAAAGTTGGCTCTGATGCCAAGTCAAGCAATATGGGTAGAATATTTTCAGGTTGCATTTCATTCTCCAAAAGGAGATATTTATAATACAATGATGTAACCCTAGTATGGTCATACTAGGAAAAAAGATAAAATCATAATTACACAATATCTGTACAAAAGGAAAGAAATATAGTCCTAATAAACTAGGAAATAAATCTCCAAATTAAGCTAGGATCTCGCTAACAAAATATGGGGTTAACCGAGTGAAAAATAGTTTCAAATCTAAAACGAAGAGAAAAAAAAAATCCGAAATAAGAACAGGGGTTATTGCCTCAGTAGTATTACACATGGATAACACAATTGTTAATACCTGTTAAGTTAACAGATAGCAGAGTAGAAACTGGAGATGACTGTTTTTGACAAAAATATGATAACGTAATTCGAAACCAACATAGAGTTAGCAGGCATGTAGCTGGGATTCTTTCTACCCAGTATGGCTCTCTAATGTTTTAACAAAAGATGTAAACTTTGATTCTTCAATTCAATAAATTCTGCAGTTTTGACCCAAAAAAAAATATATGTTTCTCATTTTAACATTTCTTTTGTTTATCCAACTTTGTTGTTGTTGATTAATTAAGGATCATTATTCTTTACATTAGTCAATTGTATGGTATTACAATTAATTACATATTATCATAACATGAATGAGCTTGTCTGCAAGTCTGATTGCGCATGGCTAAACTAAGTTTAATTTGACTTAAATGGACTGAACCATAGATCGGGCTAGAATTCAAATCCTTGGTCTAGACCTTATTTAACCCAAAAGCAGACCGAGCTAATGGAGCCTAAGCTATGAATCGAGCCAGGATTTGGGCCATCGGGCATGAGCCAGCCCACTTCAACTCACAGGCCAGTGGTGAAATGTGCCTAACCTCATATCTCTTTAACAACCCTTATTTCAAAGCTATCTCGTTTCAGTATTAGAGCATCTACAATGGACTCCCTAAATTGTCTTCTTAGACAAATTTTGTAGAGAAATTGGAAAAATACAACTTTAACCATACTCCCTATCCATCTCCTAAAATATAGAGATTTCTAAGAGCTCCTAAATCTGATAAGAGAGAAAGGACTCTTAATGGCTTCCGATAATTTAATGCTTTTTTATTTTATGAGTATTTTGAACCTTTAATTAATACTAACTTTTTTTTTTTAATTATTAATTTTTTTTATAAATAGAGATAGACCAATTAAAAAAGAGTTATAGCATTTATGACTTCCTAAACTAAGGAGTATGATTGGAGTTCAAATTTTATAGAGAGCTCCTAAAATAATTTTTGTATATTTTTAGCTAAATTTTAATTAAAAATTAGGGAGCATGATTGCTAATTGTGGAAGAAAACTTAGGGCTCGTTTGGTACGTCAGACAGTACTGACTAATTTCCGTCGAATAGTATTAATCTGTTCCGGAGAGTACTGACTATTTATCCATAATATTATAAGGCGTTTGGTGCTGTTCCAGATAAATAGTCTGACTAAGTTATACTATATTTGGTGATGTTCCGGATAACATCAGATCCGACTATTTTTAAAATAAAAAAAAATCTTTGATAATTTTAATGGAAATTGAGATTCAAATGACACGAATTTTTTTTGGTAAGATTCATATGACAAGATTTGTTTTTCAATTGTTTTTGCCAAGATTGTTTTTCATATAACCCATTATCATAATTGTAGTATCTCAAAAAAATTCCAACATACTCGCATACGTTAATAAAAACAGTACCAAATAATGTATAATTCAAAGTGATCACATACTAAGGTGATAAAAGCAAAAGGGAAAGTTGTTCATAAACCAAACTACATCAAAGAGTGAATCACAGCTCCCTCGTCCCAAGTAAGAGAAGAACAAATGTTTTTCGCATAGCACCATCCAATGTCAGGAATGTTCTCTCATCACTTGCTTTCTCCAAAATTAGCCGTAGTGCCTTAATTTGGTCATTAATAGACAAGTCCATCTTTGCCAATTCAGCAGCAATGTCAGGTCTTAGTTCTGATCCTTTCACCAAACTATTAGTTATAGTTTTCAATTGGTCAACAGACTCAGAAATCATCTCACCAAATGCTTTAGCCATTTCCTTTTGAATATCAGTATCTACATTTCGTTTGCGGTGTCGACTGCTTGAGCTAGCTGAGTTTTGTTGATTTGATCTTGGCAAAGAGGCAAAATGTTCTGGATCAACCTCAACTTCCTCATCATCATCATTGACATCAATGTGATGCACAGACTCATTCATCATTTCAATGGGAGTTGCATACCCTCTATCAATTGCTCGGTCCTTCCCAAATATATTCTTCAACCTATCATATATTAGACATTGTTTCCCCCTCCAACCATCAGTATCCTTGTTATGCTGCATCAAAATGGAAAAATTATAAATAAAAATATAAGTATAAAAAATATAAGAATTACATATTACTTAACAAGTGTACTAACCTGCACATAAGTGTTTCATGCTTCATCGATGTCAACCTCAATGCATTTCAAAGAATCATTCCAAGCAAAACCACTTTTGTTAATCATGTCAAATATTATTCCATACAATTTTTTCCAAAATCTCATCTTGGACACAATATGTGGGACTGCCCTTAAATCAGTATTGGGAAATTTCTCAGCTAATGATTTTTCAATTTGGATCATTGTTCCAGATTTAAAGGAACCATTATCACATCGTAAACCACGGTTAACCACATCCTCAAGTATGGTCAACAATGCTTCTTCCTCATGTGCTTTCCACACCCTTCTACTTCCTTTTAATTGACTTGACTGTCCACTCTCCATTCCTATAATCAATATAGACAATATAATTTGCATACATATAATTAAGAGAAAAAGTTGGAAGATCGAATAAAATAAATACTAATTATCAAAACAAATAGTCTATCTTTGTTGAGCTTATCATAAAATTAGATTATCACATTCTCATTGTTGAATGAGCCCTACAATGGGCCCCACCGCTGAAGAAATTCACGTACGGTAGTGATTCGTCTATTTCTGTGGTCTTCTGGCTATTTCTTTGTTGCTTCTCCCTCCCTTTCCAGGAACTTGACACACCCAGAAGACCACAGAAATATCTGGATATCTAAATAGCAAGCTAACCAACTTCAAGATATCAACCTGTACATCAGACAGAGGGAGAGTGATCATCGATCGATCCCTCGATCGCCATGGGAAATTGTTATGCAGCTCCTGTGAATAACCATAGCTCGTCTACCCCAGGTATATATATTTACATAGCCCTCTTGATTGATGCCTTTAATTGATCAATTAATTAATTGTGTGTATACATATATATGCAGCAACATCTAGAAACAATAGCAAGCAAAATGGATTGGCAGGAATCAAAAACGCTGCCGGGAATAGTAGTGGCAAAACAATTAGCGGAATAACCCCAAAAAATGCTAGCAAGGCAATAGGCAAAGGCAACAGCAATAATAATATTGAAGAAAGTGCAGTTCCTGATGCAGCAGCTCCAAGTGAAAGTTGGGAAACTAAAGTACCAAAGTTGAAAGAGTTTAGTTTAGCAGAGCTGAAGAAGTGCACTCGACGTTTCAGACCAGACATAATAGTGGGTGTGGGAGGTTCCGGTAGGGTTTTCAAGGGATGGGTAAACGAGGACACCTATGCTCCGTCGCGGTTCGGCATTGGCATGGCCGTTGCCGTCAAGAAGTCCAACCCCGATAGCTATCGAGGCCTCCAAGAATGGCAGGCAAGTTTTTATTAATTAATTTATTTCATTAGGGATCATGATGATAATGTGGATACATATTTTATGGTAGCTGATTTTCTCACTCTTTTTTTTCTTCACTTACACTTCCTTTTATTTTTTAATATTTTTTAGCTGATTTTCCCTTCTTTTTTTTTCTCTACTTACCCTCCATTTTATTTTTTAATATTTTTTAATTAATATTTTTTCTTTTTTTTTCTTTCTCTTTCTTATTTTATCCTCGGTAACATAGCAAGTGAAATACCCACTTTGGTGTTGATGCGTGAAAAACATAATACAGAATTCTTTAAAAATAATATTTTTAAACCAAAAAAGATAATATCCCAAACCCCAGCCACGCTCTTTCTCTTCTCCCTTACACACCCGCCCTTCAGTGTTCTCTCTCCCCTTACCAAGCCCATCCCTCCTCATTTTCTCTCCCTCTTTTTCTCTCTTCCCCCCTCTTTCTTCAAAAACCATCCAGGTTTTTTTAAAAGTTTTGGGATTTGAGTGTGGCTATCGGTGGGGCAATAAGGTCGTTTGTGGCTGGCTACGTTGGGGCATCGATGGCTATCGGTGGGTGGGTGGCTGTGTGGGGTGCGGCATGGGGGTGGGTTGAGAAAGCTTTAATTGGTTGAGTTGAATCACAGAGTGTAAAGCTCCTTACTTGAAGCGAAAAGCTTCAGACCCGAGCATTAGAAATTTCTCTTTGTTATCACTTAGCAGAAATGTTACAAGGAAGGACAACAAGTCAGAGACTTTTGAGAATTTGGTGGGAATAAAACATGATTTTGACTGATGTTGCTTTTGGAGATGAAAAAGAGAAAGCTGGCTTTGGAGATAAAAAATAAAATTTTGGTTTTTGAATTTGCAGAGAGGGGTAGAGAAAAGGAGTCGAGGGAGAGCGAGCCATTGATGTTGTTGTGGCTAGGGGGCAGTGCAGTGTTGGATGGTGTGGGTGGTAGGGGGTGGTGGGCCTGAGTGCAGAGATGGGAAGAGGAGGGGGTTGACGAAGAGGGGGGGTTGTGGGGGCTGGGGAAAATATTTTTGTTTTGTTTTGTAAAATATTAATTTTAAAGAATTCATCTATCCATTGAGAAAAATATTAAAAATGAAGTGCAAGTGTGGAAATTAAATATAAGGAAAAATAATAATATAAAAGTGAAGTAAGATAAGAGTAGAATAGGAAAGAGAAAGAACAAAAGAGAACAAAAGTGATTAAAAAATATTTAAAAATTAAAAGGAGTGTAAGTGAATAAAAGGGGAGTGGGAAAATTAGTTTTCTATTTTATATAAAGCTATATATATATATTTGGCTACTAGCTAGGGTTAATTTGGCTGGCCAAGGAAAACTAAGCAGTACATGGGAGTTTATTTTCTTTTTCTCTTCATCATTATAAAAAAAACATGGCCATAATAATTGAGCTCAAGAAGTCAATGTTGTTGACTAGTATAAAACCCTAGCTAATATATATATATATATATATATATATAAGTGCATCGAGCACGTATTACTTCAATGATTGCATGCTTTAATTTTAAGGTAGCAAATGGGTCATGATTAACATTGTACATTGGTGTGGTGTGGTGTGCAGGCGGAGTTGAATTTCTTGGGGAAGTATCGTCATCCAAACCTTGTTAGACTGCTGGGATATTGCAGCGAAGAAAATCAATTCCTTCTTGTTTATGAATACATGCAAAAAGGAAGCTTGGAAAACCACCTTTTCAGGAGTAAGTAAATGGCCTTAACTTGTAGACCTGAGGTTTGAATTCTCACGACATCATAGTTGTGTTGTGTGTGTGAGAAATCTCTCTCCTTTTTGGTTTAAACTATCTGTTCTACTAAAAAACAAAATTAATAACATTAATTTAATTCAACACACGTTGCACATGGGCATGCAAGTTTTTCTTCTATTGCATTTTCATTTGGAAAGTCAAAAAAATTGCTAGTATTATTTAATAATACAATTTTGCATTTTTCTGTTGATGCATGAATTATTCAGAAGGTCAAGAACCACTGCGATGGGAATTAAGACTTAAGATAGCAATTGGAGCTGCACGAGGTCTTGCTTTTTTGCACACCTCAGAAAAAGTCATCTACCGTGACTTTAAGACCTCCAATATTTTGCTGGATTCGGTACCCTCTCTTTGTCATTCTTCTTTCTTAATTTAATTTAATTTTTGTTATTTTTGTTTAGGTTGATTATTTATTTATTTTTCTTTTCTTTCTTTCTTGCTGGCAATTATGAAATCTAGGCCTACAATGCAAAACTTTCAAAATTTGGCTTGGCAAAGGTGGGCCCAATAAATGGCAACTCCCACGTAACCACAAACGTCATGGGCACTTATGGATATGTAGCTCCGGAATATGTCGCAACGGGTAATGTCACAACTTCTTCCGTAAACTTTCTTAACCATTTGAATTATAAGTTTTTTTCAAAGGAAAAGCTAGTATAAGTTTTACTTCAAAATTTTCCAAACTAGCAATAAGTCAGTCACTTTTATTACCAGACCAAGATTTTCTCAATCTTTTGGAGAGAGGTGGAGAGGTGGAGAGAGGTCTCAATTGACTTTCATTTTGCAAACTTCACGTTATTACCAGACCTATTTCCTTGATTCAATGGGAAAAGGAAACTCTATGTTGGCTTGGTCTTGGTCAACAATAGACGCTTTCCACACGAATATATTCAGACTTAAGGGATCACCTGATCTTATGGGTTAAGCAAGTCTTCTGTTCTATTGCTGCACTTATTATGGCCAAGTAAAAAGTCTTCAATTTCGTGACTTGACTTTCAAATGATTTTTAGTTGTACGAAAAGGTCATGAAACTATCCACCATTACAACATTGAATTCACTCAAGTTACTCTTAAACTTATTTATTTTCAACAATTTTTGGATTCAAATCATCCAAATTCAAACTTCTTGTTAATATGTATGTATCTATATATATATATATATATACCTGGTGCAAAAAATCTTGCAATGAAATAACCAAATCTCATCACGCCCTCTTGCAAATAAAGCCTAATTATCATTTTTAATTTATCAGAGGCTGATTATAATTTAACAGCATGGAATGCCCGTTGCCCTTATATTGCTTAATATTATGTCTTTGGTGTAGTTATTTTCTCTAATATTTGCCCTTATTATTTTTCATCAAATCTTTCACGTTGGTTTTCGGATGTTGTCATCCTCTCCGCTGTATACTCTTATGATTTTTGTTTAATAATAAAGCATCCTTCCCTAACAACAACAAAAATTTAATTATTTTAGCTAACACTTGCATAAAAATTGTCAGGTCACTTGTATGTAAAGAGCGACGTGTACGGTTTTGGTGTGGTATTATTGGAGATGCTAACAGGCTTAAGAGCCGTTGACACAAATCGACCCCATGGTGAGCGTAGTTTGGTGGATTGGTTAAGGCCTTCTCTTCACAAGAAGAAGGAGCTAAAGAAAATAATGGATCCAGGGCTTGGAGATCAATACCCATTAAAAGCTGCCTGCCAAGCAGCTGAGCTCATTCTAAAATGCCTAGAATCTGATCCCAAAACCAGACCCTCCATGGAGGAAATTCTCGTAACTCTAGAAAAGATAAATGCCATTAAGGAAAAGCCAAAAACTGCAAAACCCAATGGCAGAGGACGGCAAGGTGTACGAGGAATGTAGTGCCAGTGCCACCCCCGTCGAAATTTGTATCTTGTAATAAACTTTTGTTTTTATTTTTCCTTTCTGGGGACTTTGTATATGGACCTGTAGACATTGAAATTTTAGTGAAATAAAAATTCACGAATTTTTGTCAGCGGTAAGATATTCAAGATTTGACTAGTCAAAGTTAACCCATTCAACTCTTGGGTCTCATAATAAAATACACGTAACGCATGACTCACCAAGACAAAGATAAGTGCAGGAGATAACGCATGTCAACATAGCTCCATCAATAAATCAAATTACAATTGCCCCTTTGTTAGGCCATATAGGCCCGGCCCGGCCCATTCAACTCTCAGGGCCAAAATCCTGTTATTGGGTAGGATTTAGGCCGACCCCTCTTTGCTGGCCCGGTCCGGCCCATTTTACAGGCCTAGTTTCCCCGGGTGCTTTTGTCGTTGGACAGTTCACTTGGACTAGAAGCTGAGGATTAGGAGGGTTATCCAAATTTAATCACTCGCACCTCGCGCCACACAGATCACCGACCCTTTCCACTTCCCACTTTCCACAGGCGGATTATCTCTCAACTGAATCCAATCCAACCTAACAGAGGCAGAGGCAGAGGCAGCAATGGCGGCCATAAGCTCTGTTGTAGGAACTGGAAGCGTGCCCCAAATCCAAAATCGTAGTGGCCTTGCCCCTTTTACCCCTTTACATACTTCCTTATTTTCTCCAACCAGGTATTTTCTTCTTTATAATTTCAACTTATTAACTCTGACTTCCTTAGAACAAGTATGATGCTTTTAAGAAGTTTTCTTGTTTTTAATTTTGAATTTCATTTGGGTTGGGCCAGCAATCCAAGCCAAGTTTGTTAGGTTCAGCCAACCAAATGCCTTTACATGTTAGATTGTTTGAAATGAACATTATGCTTTTGTTCGACCCTGGCTGGCTAATCGAACCCAGAAAAGAAAAAAAAATTGAAGCGATGTTAGTTGGTAGCAATGATCACACACCTGCACTGCACTTTTTTTTAAAAGCTCCTAAACGATTATGAATATGCCAAGTTTGGGTTCTCCCTTGAAAATCAAATTATGTGTGAATGGGAAAATGATTAGTCAAAGATGACGGTTCAGAGTCAGGAATAGGTTGGGGAGATAGTTTCAATCTAAAGAGTTGAGTTTTTGTGGGAATAGAGAGAAAATCAGATTGATAGTTTTAATTTCATGTCCTTAGTTTCCTTTTCTTCATAAAATTTCACACGGGTAGCTGATTATTATTTTTAAAATATAAAAAATATTAAATATGGGGTTAACCGAGTGAAAAATAGTTTCAAATCTAAAACGAAATGAAAAAGAATCTGAAATAAGAACAGAGGTTACTGCCTTGGTAGTATTAGGCATGGATAACACAATTGTTAATACCTGTTAACAGATAGCAGAGTAGAAACTGGAGATGACTGTTTTTGACGAAATGTGATAACGTAATTCGAAACCTACACAGTGTTAGCGGGCTTGTAACTTAGTGTCTATCATAGTCATGTTCATGTCCGAATGGTGTTGAGTGTTTAACACGACTAGTAAACTGGCTGTGTTTCAGTTCAACGGACTTAACCTGAACATAACATGTGTTAATAGTACGCTGCTCACTACCTATTTAACATGTTTATTAAATGTGTGGTGTTACTGTTGTGTAGAATGTTCCTTTATTATTCATTGAATTTAAATGATAACTTTCATCGATCTTCGGGCATTTTCTTGTCGGTGAAAGGCGTTTGCTTGAAGTTGGTGCTGGTAGGACATCTACACAAAGTGCCATTGATGACAGAACTACTGTTTGTTTATCCAAGCCTAAATTTGACAATGCCGGTGTAAGTAGGACACCTCAAATTTCCTTCTGTTGATGCATATTTTTTCTCAATCTTGCGTTGTGTGTCCTGTGTTGCACAGTTAGCTGGTGTGTTTGAATTTTTTTGTACAGTTACAGTATGTCTATGAAGTTTGTGCATTTATGATAACATATGATACTAGCCTTGAAGCATGAAAAGAAAAAAGTAAATTGGCTTAATTCTTTAACCGTGTAGCACTTGTTGGATGTGGATCCAAGATGAAAAGTGCATTATTTCCTCTCCAAAACATTCTTGAAGAACTTTTGAATAGCCAACAAGAAAGAACCAAGTTTCTCCTCTGAAAGCTCCTCTTCAAAATTGTTCTAATTTTGGTTGCTTTTGCTTTGGACCCTTGCTCAAAACAGAAGTACGAATTCCTAAATCCAACCATCCATTGACTCATCCAATCCACATTTAAATCTGAATCCTTTTATGCAACACATATTCTTCCTCAGCCTTTACCCTTGTTGTTTATAGCCTTAACTTTGGGACCAAATAGTTTTTATTACCACGACCCTAACAAAAAGGAGGCAACAACATAACATAGTTTTCAATATGTGGTGATATTATTTAGTAAATTCCCAATCACTTGCCATAGAATGAAAGATTAGAAACTGTTTTTTCTCATGCTGTGTTTCATCTGCTTTAGCAGCACACGGTAAGTAAACTGGTCACCTCTCAAAGAAATATTGTGTGCTCTGCTTTGCCAGAATCATCTACTTCTACTGGTAAGTTGTTCTATTTTCACAATTTATGGCAGGGATTCATTGCCTTCTGATTATCTGACACATTATACGGCAGCTTTGGTAAAAAGTGAACTCTTTTTGCCCCTTTTACGTACTAGTTGCTGCTGATACAAAGGAGGTAAAAACAGCTCAAAAGGCAGCTCCAGCCAAGCCTAAAGTTGCAGCGAAAGCTCCAGTCAAGCCGTTGCCTCAAATGATGGAGGAGGATGTTATCCCGCAACTGAAAGCAATACTTGAAACTCAAGATGAACTCTCTGACATTGAGCTATCTTTTCAAGACAACAAGGTCAGCTATCTACTTCTCTGTCTTTACTAGCATCATGTGTAACCTAAAAGCCAGTTATTACAAGTACACTACATTGATACTCTGGTTTGATTCGAAATGAATATAGCTGGAAGGTTTCTTTTTAAAAAAGGACATTCGGTATTCATTTTGGGCCTTCTTTCCCGGTGGAGTCCTCACAGGTACGTCTTGCAAAGTTTATTAATGTTGTGTAGTGCACAATTAGAAAGAACGAAAAACCGGTAAAGTTACTTTGTTGCTTGGCAAAATGTGCAGGTCCAAAAGGGTTTTCTCTGTCTTCCTATGGCCAAGGAGCGAGTACAGTTGAGCCTTTTCTCATTGATGAGAAGAAAATAACGGCAAAACATATTGTATTTTGGGTTGAAAAGCGTCTAGCAGCTCAAGGAATCATTCCGGTGTGGAAAGACTAAAACTCCTAAACGAGTTATTGACATTCATTCCCGATGTTGTAAAGTAATTAAGCAATGCATCCCTTTTCTGTTTTTATGAAAAATGAATGAATAATTTCATTATTGGCTTAATTTTCCCATTGGTATTTATGGGGATTGAGTATTCGTCATAGCTTGTGTAAACCATTTTTAATTCTGGCATTACTTAATTGTGACAATGTTTATATATTGCAGATTGATGTCTTCCTGGATGCAGATTGACGTGATCTTCTTGTATTGGATATAGCTAATTCACTTGTTAACTTTTCATGTAAATCATTTTCTTGTTGTAAAGAGGTAGCGACCTTGTACAACTGTAATATTAGTCCTTTGTATATGATCAGCAGCAAACTACTCAATTGATGCAGACAAAACAAATTGTTCCCAGTTTTTACAAGTTATGACCTTGTATGCACTGCATGTAGATGTCTTGACATTTATTAATAATGCACAATTATGAGACAATTTGTAAATAATCGGCCTGCATGAAGGCCTTGGTTGATTGTAATTGAATGACTATCAATGTATGTTCGTGACACGTTGGAGTGATTAAAATGCAAATCGAGTACAAATTCATGGAAAGAAACCCTTTATAATTTGTCTTAAAGTTGGAGTGCCAGTGCCACAAGCTAAGCTGAGAATCTTAAAAATATTAAAATATTAAAACATTCAAAGCCCATGCTCCTCTTTACCCACGTGAAAGCTTAAGTAATGAAGTGAATCATTTAAATCCAGTAATTAAACATAATTAATTAAGAAATATGATTCCACATGCTGCACGCTCTTCTCCATGCTGGCCTGGCCGTGCTTTGCTTTGCTTTTGGAAAGACTGCAATGCATATGCATGCTCCCTTTATATCATGCCTCAGTTTTCTTGTTTTTCTTTTATTTATGAAATACGATTATAAAACTTTCCTTCCCTTGCCAATGCCATAGGCTATAGGCATAGGTGGGTGGTTTGTGTGTGGGCTTGTTGCCGCATACACTAATCATTTCTATTATGATCAATAGTTTTCAAAGTGCTGATGTGAAATGTGATGAGATTTAGCATTTGGAGAAGTATACAATAAAAATTAAATGTAAAAAACCTCAGGTGTTTTGACTGGGTTCAGACTTTGAGGTGGTTTCTTTCTTTTTTTCTTCCCTTTTTTGTTTTTGTTTTTGGGGTTATGAGATTCACTTCATTGAAAGCCCAAAGCAGTGCATGTCAAGTAGGACTTTAAGTCATGAAAAGTGGATTGATCACTAGGGTTTGGTAGTCTTGAGATCCTTTTGAGATTAATTTATAACATTTTAATGGCATTTACGTACCTTTAAAAAATATATATATAATCAAAGCAGAACTTCATTCGAATTAGCTCTAAAGTTACAACCTAAAAATTTGAACCTCTAAGTAGGTGCTATTTAGCGACTTCGTTAAAACCTTGTTATAAAAAAAATTTGAAAACGAGAAAAATTGGATAGGGGAAAAATAGTACCACATTGAATGTCCAACATAATCTCGCATTTTATTATCATGTGAATGAGTTATCAGAATAATCACTCTGACTTTTGAAAGAAAAACAAAAAAAAATCACACTGACGTTATCAGTCTCATCTCATGCCCCGAGAGAGATTTATATACAAGTACTCTAAAACGCATAATATGCACAAGCACAGGATTCCAGAATTACTTGTTGGCACATCATCCGCAAGAAGTCCCAATCATTTTGGCCCATACAAAATAATACAAGTTTAACGTTTGTGTGGCTTTTATTGTAGTTACTGTGAGCGGGTTGTTTCGTCGGTTTCTGAGGGCAGCTATTGTGATGGAGGTGGTGGGGTGCGAGTGGACGGTACGGTTCAGCCATCGATGTCACTTGAGTGAGATTGAGGAGGAAGTGATGACTATGGATAGTGACAAGTACACAGGGGAGCAAAGGTGATCAACTGAAGCAACACGGAAGCACATGTTCGACAAACATATAAATCCAAAAAAATAAATTAAAATTCATCACCGACTAGAATCTATCAGAACATAGATAAAATCTCTAAATTTGATTAATAATATATATAAATTGATTAATAAAATGTCATGAGTTAGCTTAAATAGAAAACCAAAAAAATCCTAAAACCGTAGGAAACCCTAGATTCCATAATATTTATAAAACTTAACTAATAAGAAAAATAATTAAAATCATATCAGGAAAATAATATCCTGATTGATAACGTATTCAAAAAATATAAATATAATATAAGTCTTCTAAAAAAATCAAGCAAACCGAAAATCTCAATGATACGTCTTCCTTCTTTTCCTAGCATCATAATTGACGCTTAACTAGAATTTTCATCTCTTGCACGATTTCCATTCAACTTTGAGGCACTTTATTTTAATTAATATTTCACACTATAAATGACCCATATTTCACGGGTGGACTAAACCTTAAAACCTATATATTAACTATAAAACCTATAAATAAAAAACCTTAAAATCTATATACTAATTATAAGGAAAATAATAATAATACTCCCATGTTAGACACTTCATGAGTCCGTCATGCTTTCAACATTGTGGAAGAAAAATACAACTAAAATAATGCTGGCCAATGTAGAATCTTTTTATTCTACATTTGTTAATGGAACTCTCATATGTTGCTTACATGAGAAATTATTTTTTTTGGACACTGAAGAATGACAAATTAGGCAGCATGTCACTTGTTTAAGTTAATTGTTATAATTTGTAATCACATTGATTATCAGTAAACACGAAAAAAATCTCATAGAAGTAGCCCACATTGTGCGAATCACACAAATTTTGTGTTTTGTATAAGTTAATAATCGAATCAACGACTTTTTAATTGGTCAAGATAGTATACTAATCTCTTCAATCTTGGTGGAATCAGATGCTCAAGCTGTCATTACTCAATTGGAGAAAGATGAGGAGGATCTTGCATCGGATGGCAACCTCATTGAAAAAGTGAAGGGGTGTTTTAATCAATATGAGAATAGATTTCTGTCTCTTTTATTCCTAGATGTTGTAATATTGTTGCTCACAAATTGGATGTTCATGCAATGACTTGCCCAGTTGTAATTTGGGATGAAAAAGTTCTTCTCTGGTTGAAATCTTCTGTCGAGGATGAAGTTTTTTTTCTGCTAAAAAAAAGATGGTATTCTAATATCTGATAAGTAACCAAAAAAAAACTGCGAAGATCCACTTGGCATTAAGGGTTCATTTGGAAGGAATGATTATGAATGCCGAAGTTAAGGATTTAGATATATTATAAGGTTAAATTGTAAAATTACAATGCTAAAATCTATGTATGTCAAGATTTGAATAAGAAGGAAATGAAGAAAACAAATGGATTTCAAATATGGCTCTTTGCATATAATCATTTCAAATCCATCCAAGTGTTTTACATCCAATTATTTCGAATATAATGTTTTCTAGTTTTCGTTTGAACAAATTTAGCATTGTTGACAAATCTAAACCCTTTCTTTTAATTACCTCCATCCAAATGAAGCCTAATCCTATATTTTGGGAGAGATTTGAAACTGAATATATGCTTATGGTTAAGTAAACTCTAAAGGCCTTGTATAATTGTATTTATATGCATCTAATTACAAATTAGCGTGTGGCAATCTTTGCAATACTTTTGCATCATCAATCGAGGCATGCCGGTGCTGCGGAGGGTGATGATTATATCCAATGAGTGTCAATCATGAACCTGAATGGCTCTCTCTTTCTTTTTCTTTTCTTTTCTTCTCAACTTAAACAGTTGAGCCTAATCTAGCTAACAATCCCAAAAGGCCCCTACCTCCGCAAGTGTGATTCTCTCCCATTCATTAGCACTGCTGCGCTGACTGAGTGAGTGAGTGAGTGAGCCAACTCATCACCATCATTAGTCCCACCAACATACCTTTTTAATTTGGCCAACTCACCGTTGAATATGCATGCCTTACTTAACTAATACTATCCCTTTCTTATTAGATTCTTCATGAACATGCAGCTTTGTATATTTTACCCAGTTGTTCATTCATCGCAATTCTACTTCTATATTATTAAGCACACAATCATCACTAGTTACTGCATTGACCCCATATATATCCATTTTTATAATAGTTAATGTGCATCGACTCTAAATAATAAATTTACATACACATCAATTATTAATAAACAAGATGTATAGCGATTTTAAAGATACATAAGCGATTGGTCTACGAAGACTAGCAAGCTAGAGAATTGGTAAGCAACAGCATTTTTTAAAGACTAAACGGGACTTGGTAATTTGTGGTTCCTGTTTTCCAACATTCTTATTCGAGTGCTCGCTGCATCAAGGGATTTATATATCGTTACATCCAAGTGGTTCGTGTTTTCCAACATATCGTTACAACTAATTACATGCAAAAGAATATAAAAGACACGCCATTGATGTAATGCATGCCGACCCATCTTCAATTCCAACCGCAACAAGTAGTAGTACTTGATCTGCTCATACATTACATAAGCAATTTTGTTTCTTTTCAATCATCTCTCTGTCATGTCTAGCTACAAGTAGGCTTTGCTTTGAGTGAAAGTTTTGACCTTTACATAGGAATTAAATTGCGTGCAGAAAGTTGCTTCCACACCATCTTTATTTCATGCGTATTTTAGGAGAAAATGAGGTGCACTTGTAAATAGTGCTTAGCTTAATGGGCCATGATCATGAACTCATCAGTTCTAGTTCTAGTGAAATATAATATATACCCTCATCATCTCACTGTGGTCTACATTTGACTTCTCATCATATACCTATATATCCCAAATCATGAAACGTTTTCTGATTTTTTTTCTAAAATTTAAAGGCTAGGAAATTTGTATTTACTTTGAATCAATCAACGAACCCTAGAACAAGAGAGTTGAGAAAATTCTCAAGGTTTATTTGATAATGATATAAGATATAAGTCTAACTGTAACTCAAAAAGTTCATTAAATACTCATACCAAACCCTAGCTCAAAAACAAAA